CAGAGGCTTTCTAGGAGCCTGGGGAGGGCGAAAACAGCCTTCCCCACCACTGCGGAGGCCCTCCGGCGGCTGAAAACAGCCCATTTCCCAACTTCCAGTGGGACCGAAAGGCCCAAAAATCAGCTGGCCAGCGCACACATGCGTGCTGGAGCTGAGCTACAGCAACACTTGCGTGCTCACTGATATGGCTCCGTGTGCCACCTGTGGCACTCGTGCCATAGGTTCGCCATCACGGTTATAGGGTCTTCTGCTTGGGGGAGGTGGGTGGGTGGGTTGGACTAGAAGACCTCCAGGGTCCCTTCCAGCTCTATTCTGATTGATTGATTGATTGATTGAATGAATGAATAGAGTGGCTGGCAAAGTGAGGGCCTCACTAGCACCAGATCCCTGCCTGGCCTGGACACCCTCCAACCCAGATCTCAGCCTTGAGTGTGAAAGGACATCTCTATCCAGAGACTGAGTTTGCACAATGTGTGCATTCTTGCCCAGCACAGGTAGTTCTGGACTTACAACTATAATTAAGGCTGGAATGTCCATTGCTAAGTGCTCTGGTTGTTAAGTGAGTCACGCCCATATTTATGACCGTTTTGTAACTGCGGTTGTCAAGTGAATCGCATGGAGTTGTTATTTGTGTCTGACATCCCTCACTGACTTTCTTTGTTTTACACACAGAGAAAATTACGAACCCGGGATGCCACAAGCATCCTTAATCAATGGCGGTTGCCAGGCGACTCAGTTTTGATCGGGGGGCTGCTGGTCAGGAGTCTGAAGATTCTGAAGTCTGAAGTCCATTTTTTTCAGTGCCCTCAGACGTCCGAACAGGGGCTAAATGAATGGTCATAAGTGGATCACTACCTGTAGGAACAAAAGTTTCTCCTGCCGGAAGAGAATCCATCTTGTGTTTGTTTATCTTCTTGACCCAAAGCGAAGAGCTTCTGATCCCTGCCCGATTTTGGTGGCTATGGAAAAATGAGGGTTTGGACTCATTCTGGCTCCCCAGAATTCTGAAAGTCTACAGTCATCCCTCAAACTGACGTATTGCATGTCTGTCTGTCTGTTCATCCATGCACCCATCCATACAGCCATCCACCCAATAACGCAAGCCAAATCAAATGAAAAGAATCCAATGAAAAGAATTTTCTTGTGAAAGAAAACCCCCCCTCCCCCCCCAGATTTAGTGGGTGCTTTGTAAACAACAGTAACAAAACCATTTGCATATGGAAAAAGGGGGAGGAGGGGTGAACGATGACCAGGAGGCAGCCTGGAGGGGTTTGGACCCTGGAGTGCAATGGGGAGCAAGCTGCCTTCCAGTCTCTTAAGCGTAAATCCCGCTGAATTCAGTGGGGCTGACTCCCCCATCCAGAGGTTTGAGGCTGCAGCTCCTGTGCCACAAAACCCCCACTTCCCCGCTCTTGGGAAGGGTGCCAGGCTTTAGGTACCCAGGATCCTTGGCTTTGCTGACACAGACTGACAGCTTCAGCCAGTGTTGAAACCCCAATTTTTTTACTATCGGTTCTGTGGGAGTGGCTTGGTGGGCTTGGTGGGTGTGACAGGGGAAGGATACTGCAAAATCCCCATTCCCTCCCCACTCCTGGGGGAAGGATATTGCACAATCCTCATTCCCACCTCACTCTAAGGCCAGCCAGAGATGGCATTTGCCGGTTCTCCGAACTGCTCAAAATTTCCACTACCGGTTCTCCAGAACCTGTCAGAACCTGCTGGATTTCACCCCGGGCTTCAGCCCATCTGGAAATCCTTCAACAAAAGCTAAAAAGAGAACTGAAGTGGCAGGACAGAGGGAAAACTCCAGCCGTAGTAAATTTACTTGCCCGTCTGCAAGCAGTGGGAATCAGTGGCAAAGCCCCAAACAGCTCCTAACGTCCAGATGCCACATTGAAGCATAGCACAATGAGAACGAGCGCGGAGAAGAGCAGCAAAGACAATCAGGGATCTGGAGGCTAAGCTGTACGATGAATGGTGGAGGGAACCAGGTATGCGATGGTGGTGAGTATCTGTAGCTTGGGTGGAGGATGACGGGTGGAGGGTCTCCCTCCAAGCTTGTGTGGGTGGGTTTCTGCCCGTTTTGTTACCAGGCTAGGTGACGTCTTCAGTGGAGTTTAGAAGGGGTCAGTGTTGGTGTTCTTCTCCTTATAAGGGCCTCGTGTGGTCAGTAGGTCCTGGGATGGGAGGGTCACGTCAGGTGAGGGCCTTGGGCCTTGGGAGGGGTTGGTCATGTCTGGTGAGGGTCAAAGCCAACAAGCTCTGAGAGCACCAAGGACCTCCTGGTAGCCAGATGGGAGGGAATGGATTAAGCACGCTGGAGCAACGGGGGCTAAGATTGGGGGGATTTTCCCCTAAATCCCACTGAAGATGTTAACCTAGGCTGGTAATGAAACGTTCAGAAACCAACCACCAGCTGGGAATAAGGTATGTCTAGCCTAATGAAGAGAATTAGGGGTGACACGATAGCAGTTTTCCAACATCTGAGGGGCTGCCCCAAAGAAGAGGGGGTCCATCTATTCTCCAAAGCCCCTGAAGGCAGGAGAAGAAGCAACAACGGATGGGAACTAATCAAGGGGAGAAGCAACCTGGAATGGAGGAGGAATTTCCTGACAATCAGCGGAACATCTTGCCTTCAGAAGTCATGGGTGCTCCAACACTGGAGGTTTCCAGAAGTAGCTTGGACAACCGTTTGGCTAGGATGGAATAAGGTCTCTTGACTTGGGCAAAGGGTTGGACTAGATGACCTACAAGGTCCCTTCCAGCCCTAGGATTCTATGATTCCAATGACTGCTGACTCTTCCTGCAAGGATGGGCGGGGTCTGCGGGGGGTCCCGAGCTCAGTCCTGGAGCAAGCAAACCAAGCCTGGGCCTGGCAGGGAGTGACTCAAGGTTTGTTGCCCTGGCAACAGTTTACAAGAACCTGGTGACCGCTTCCCCCCTTCACTCCCTGCCCCCCTCCTCCTGCTCCTGTCCCACCACATTCCTGAGCCGGCCGGGGGGTGGGTGGGTGGGGGGTCACTGAGGACAAAAGGAGGGGACAGACTCATGGTGCACCTTTGCTTTCAAAGCAAGCAAGAATCACAGTCCTTCTTCCCACAAGCCACCGAAGCCTCCTTCAAGAGGACCCAGAGACCCAAACCAGCTACAGGAGAGACTCAGGGAGGCCCCATCCATCACTCTGTTTGGACTGGATACTGCAGGAAGCCTCTCTCTAGAGCTCCAGAACCCATGGTGCCCAGCGCCTTCTCTGTCTGGAGTGGGCTTAAATCCCACTGGTGCCCGCCAACTCGATTTCGCCCCCCAGAAGTTTGAAAATACAGAGTCTGAATCCTAATTTTTAGTAGGACAGAATGTAGAAACTATGAGATGCCCAACAAGAATACTCATATTATCAACATTTAATACAGAGGCAGTCCAGTTTCCTTGTCTTGGCTGACTAACTCCTTTCTGCAGGAGGGCTTCTGACTGTGGCCAAGATGGACCTCAGCCCAGCTGAGCCTCATCCAGTCCAAGCCATTCCACACCTTGCCACTCCTCCCTCTGGTTTATCTGCTGGTGACCGGATGAATCCTGGAAGCTGAAGGACCTCCAGCTACTCTACTTCCGTCTGAGCAACTGTGGAAGGTTGATCCCGGAGGTTTGACTGGCTATGGTGGTAGATCACCAGAATCCAGTCCCCGAGACTGCTGGTTAAAAGGATCAGAAGAGCAGGCGATGGGTACAAAGACTGCTCCAGATTCCACATGGAAATTGTGTGCATGCTTGCCCTGAAGCCACCAACGTGGTCCTCTCTGGGACTCTAGTTCTGACTGGGGCTGTTGGCCACCAGGGATGGAAAGGATGAGGGTTTGGTCCAAGGTGGCCTGGAAAGGACCAAGCAGAGAAAGATCCCTCTGAAGCTGCCCCATTCTCAATTTTACAGTTCTCAGGTGGCTTCCAATGTGCCCTTTGGTGCAACAACCTCCTTAGAGGAGCAGGAATAGGACCGAGATGGAGAGGAAGAAGAGGACACGCAGAAGCCTCACCAACAAGCAGCCAAGAAGAGCCAAGACTTCAAGGTCTCAGGGACAGATGCTCCTCACCTGAGTGATGGAAAACTCTGCCCAGGAGAAGGTGGCCCTGACTAAGTGGCATGGGGTAGCCCAAGTCTCCGCTTGCTTTTGGCCAACCACTGTAACTCTTTCCCCCACTCTGTCCTTCAGGCCATTCCCCAGGTCTCATGGCAGGGCAGAAGCTCTGGTCAAAGAGGTCAAGATGATGGCCATGAAGATGTGATCGGAGGCCCACCTGAGAAACAGCTGGAGCTTCAATCTCCTCCTTAGGACCATCTTGTTCTGTGATCATGTCCTGCAGAGCCCCCCTGCTGCAGCAACGTGGCATCCAAAGGGGGCTGGCTGTGGGTCTAGCACAGGAAACCCGCCTCCCTTCCCCAGACTAGGTCACTCATGCCAGACTGGGAATCTCCCTGCCTCCCTCCCTGCACCCAGAGCGGGTGGGACCTCTGCCATGCACTTCAGTGACCTGACTCTCTCCATCACCTTTCTCCTCCAGATGTCCTCCAGATGTTCTGGGGACTGCAACTCCCAGAACCCACAGACTGAATGGGATGGAGGCGTTGACTGTGCTGGAACAAGTGTGCCCAGACACGGGTGGGGAGCTCCCCACCCCCGGCCTTCATTCATCGCTGGCAGCAGGCTCCCCCAGATCCAGGGGCTTTTCAAGGGCTTAGAGATTCTTGCAGATGTTTCCTTACCCAAACTAAGTAACATCATCATCCTCAGGCAACACTGAAGATGTTCCCTAGTTGGATCATGAAACATCTGCAAGAAAACAGCCCAGCCCAGAGAGCACCAGGGACCCCCCAGTTCAATCCTGAGCTATGAAGGTTCCCCTTTGTTAGCAAAGGAGCTCTTGCAGCTTCATCCAAGATTCCTGTTCCCTCCCTCCTCCCCTCCCCCCCCAGGCCTCTTGCACCCCTTCGGGCAATCTGCACTCACCATCTTCAGCTGAGATCGTCCCCAGCAGGATCACCGCGAGCAGGACGAGGAGCTTGGCCTTCATGGTGCTGCTCAAGAAATCAGCCTCCTTCCAGGCTAGCAGAGCAGGCATATAAAGGGCTCCTTGGGGTGGGGTAGGGGCAGAGCATCAGGGGAGGGAGGGAGGGAGGGGCAAGGCCAAGGTGTGCTTTGCTCATGACTCACGCTTCGCCCCCCCTCCCAGAAGCAAATCATTTCATGCGTGGGGATGGCAGCCTTGCCTGAGGCAGTTGGGCCCCAGACACGCAACCTCCTTCTCCATAGGCATCCACCGCCACCTTCGCCACCTGATGGGTCTGCAGAGTTTGTGTCAATAAAGTTCTCGTGCTGGCAGGCTGCCCATAGCAGGAATCGAGGCACATCCTGCTTCCCCGGTCTGCAGAGGATCCCTGGGGTAGCACGGGAGCCTCCCTGCCCCACCTGCAGTCCTGTCCAGAAGTGGGGCTGCACCGTTTCCCAGGAGGACGCGTGACCTTCACCCTATCTCCCCTGCCTGAGCCCAGCACGGAGAGCTTTCCCTGGCTTGCGTCCTCTCCATTCTTCAGATGAACAGAGTTGGAAGGGGCCTTGTAGGTCATCTAGTCCAACCCCCCTCTGCCCAAGCAGGAGACCCTACACCATTTCTGACCGATGGCAGTCCAGTCTCTTCTTGAAAGCCTCCAGTGATGAAGCTCCCACAACCTCCGAAGGAAACTTCTGTTCCATCAGTTGATGGTTCTCATTGTCAGAAAATTTCTCCTTATTTCTAGGTTGAATCTCTCCTTGATCAGTTTCCATCCATCATTCCTTGTCTGGCCTTTGGGTGCTTTGGAAAATGGGTTGGCCCCCTTCCTCCTCTCTGGGGCAGCCCCAACCATTTGTCTGAAATGAGAGCAGGGTTTGGACTAGAAGACCTCCAAGGTCCCTTCCAACTCCTCTGTTATTCTGGCACTTGGCATCCATGTTGAACTGGGCTACCTGATGTGATTCTTCCAAGGTATAAGGAAGGCATGTCTAAGCTTCCTCTTGGAAAGATCTTGCCTTGAGTTGTCCCAGTACTCCAACGTGGTGCTCTGTTATTCTTAATAACAGGATAACAGAGTTGGAAGGGACCTTGGAGGTCTTCTAGTCCAACCCCCTTTAATGACAGGAGTAAACCTTTTCTCCATTATTTGGAAGATTGCCTTGAAAGTCTTTGGTAATGACTGTCCTTCAGGTTTTGGGCCTCATACTTTGAGCCTTCCACTCTTAGGGTTTGCGGCTGCTGGGGCTGCATTCAGCCATGGTCCTCCTTCCCAGAAAACTCTTTTAAGGAGTCCAAGAAGAAAAGTGGGGATTGGTAGCTGGGAGATGTGCCCTGTAATGCAGGGATGCCCAACGGAGCAGGCAAAACCCACCAGAGGTCAAGAGGTGAAGCTTTCCTCCCTGGGCAGAATGGGACAACCAGCCACCACCAACACAGTGAGACAACTCACTGCGGGATAATGTAACAATTCTATTTAATTATTTAAAATAAATTAAAAAAATATTTTAACTTTTGCCATTTCACATTTCATTTCTCTCTCTCCTTTTGCATTCTTCCTTTAATGATTCTATTCCATCATTTCTTTGATATTAGCGTAACTCTTGCCCTGTGGCCAGTTGGCCGTAGCAAGTTGGCCCTGGCAAATGGTTTGGCTTGGCTGCAAGAATTTGCACCAAGGGGTCTCGGTCTCCAGAATGGCTTTGGGGCAGCGAGGTGACCATCCATCCTTTCGGTGCAGGCTACAACAGCCCAAGTCCATCCATGATGACCAACTCAACTGTGGTGGTTTGCATGCCACAGCAGTCAGGATTCTCCTGGATCTCACCTTGCGTTGTTGCGTGGTGACACCATAGCTGCATGCCCCAAAGGTGCTTTTCAAAAGGCAACTGGACTTTCTTGGGTTTTGTTTTGAAAATGTTTTGCTTCTCATCCAAGAAGCTTCTTCAGCTCTGAAGTTCAGTTCTGGACTGAAGAAGCTTCTTGGATGAGAAGAGAAACGTCTTCAAGGAAAAAAAACCAAGGAAGTCCAGTTGCCTTTTGGAGAATCTCCATGGACACATAGCTGCCTGTTGCACGGATGGCATGAGGACACCACAACACCATATCTGCCTCCATGCAACACAAGAGACCAAAAGGAAGTTGAGTCTGCATGTTTCGGGAGAACTTTGCAAGTTGGAGACAGCAGACTTCACGTTCTGCAAAAATACTTCCTTTGGGCCTCGTGTTTCCTTAGGCTGGATTTGGAGCGCAGCTGGTGGTGGGAACACAGTTTATGAGTCCGCGTGAGATCTGACATGGCAGGTGTGAAAAATCCCTGAATATTTAGGATCAGCCTTCCCAGGAAAAGGAAAGCCAGGCCCTCCTGGTGGCTTCACGGACAAATCCGCACTGGCTCCCGGCAATAAAACCAACGTGGTTTATAGATTCTTTATAGGTCTCCTATAAAAGAGGTGGGAAGATGGCAGCATAAAAACTGGCAGATGTTTGATCAGGTCATTGCAAGCACCAGCGTGACTGTTTATCAGGTCCTGTGGACACTCCGTGGAATGGTATCTCCCTTCTTCCACTGAAATTACTTACTTTAATCCTTCCACTGGCTGGTATCTTCTGTCCAGCATTTCACGACTGGAAGACTGCCTCAGAATAAGGGAATAACAGAGTTGGAAGGGACCTTGGAGGTCTTCTAGTCCAACCCCCTGCTCTAGGCAGGAGACCTTATACCATTTCAGACAAACGGCTGCCCAGCCTCTTCCTAAAAGCTTCCAGCGTTGAAGCAGTGTTGAAACTTCTGGAGGCAAGGTGTTCGACTGGTTAATGGTTCACTTGGACTTCCAGTCTTGCTTGGGGATGTGATCAAAGAGGATGCAAATACACCCCACTTGGTTTTTATTAGGACAGAGGGAGGCAAAGTAAAGAGCGAAAAAGGAAGCTGGCAAGGAAACCATAGGACTCATTGAACGGCATTGGCCCAATCTCCAGAGTTGTAAAAACTGCTCAGCTCTTGAACCTCCCATTTTACGGCTTCAATAAACTTGGAAACTTGGGAGCTGCTGCCGTCTCTGAATTGCAGCCGGAGTCAAGATTTTAAGAACAGATTGCACAACCATTTGTCTGGAGTGGTAGAGGGTCTCCTGCTTGAGCGAGGTGGGTGGGGGTGGACTAGAAGACCTCCAAGGTCCCTTCCAACTCTGTCATTCTGCTACTCTTCATTAACTGATTTTGGGGAGTCCTTCTGGACAGCAAAGATTCTGAGGGGTCCCTGGCGCCCTCTCAGCTTGCTTGTTTTCTTGCAGACGTTTCATGACCCAACTAGATGATGTCATCAGTCTAAAAGGGAGTGGGATTCGTGGAATAATAGAGGACAATGACTGAGGGGTCCTTGGTGCCCTCTGAGCTCGTTTTCTTGCAGATGTTTCATTACCAAACTAGGTAACATCATCAGGGCATTTTGCATCTGCAAAGATCCTCTCAGTGATTTTCTGCAGTTCCTCACTAAAGCTCTTTTATAATCTGTGGTTTCCTAGGTCTATTGCAGTCAGAAGAAATCCTTGATTTACAACCATTTGTTTAGTGACTGTTCGGAGTTACAAAGTCAGTTTTTCACACTTATGACCTTTGCAGCTTCCCCTTGATCCTGTGATCCAAATTCGGCCCCTTGGCAACTGGCTCCTATTTACAACGGTCGCAGTGTCCCCAGAGTCACCTGATCCCTTTTTAGCACCTTCGGACAAGCAAAGTCCATGGAGAAGCCAGATTCACTTAATGACCATCTTAACAACTGTGGCAGGAAAGGTCTTAAAATGGGGGCAATACTCCCTTAACCACCGTCTTGCTTAACCAAGGAACTATTGAGGTCAATTGTTGTCATAAGTCAAGGACTACCTGCAATTGTGACAGTCCAAACTCTTATTCCGTCGTGATTATGCTTAAGAAGAAATTCCAAACGGCCATTTCTAAAGCCAAAATAATTGGATTTTATAGACTCCTAAAGGAAATTTTGCAAAATTCTAGCCTGAGCCACGTTGCTTGTATCAATGCTCACCCTAAGCACAAAGAGAGGCTGAGTTTCTCTTGGCGCTTGGCTAATAAAATTCTGCTAAGGTCACTCGGTTCGTTGTTATTGTTTTCTTTGCTCTTCACCACCCAGAATCAGGTTGTTTGAGTTGGGCGGCCCCGTAAATCCATTCAGTAAATAAAGTTAATCATTGAACAAATTCCCAGGCTTGCGTGGCCTTCTACCACCTGCTTGCGTGGCCTTTGACGGCAATTCCAGGAGCTCATCTCTCTGGGGCAATGCTCACTGCAGTGGCTCTCTGGGTCCCAAGCGAAGAGAAGAGGCATTTCCAGCCCCACTTACAGAGGAAAATGGGGCACGGCTGATGCCTCCATAGCAGCAAAACCTGCACAGGAAGGTCCAGAGGCTGAGTAGCCAGGTTCCCAAGAGAGTTGGGAGGGACTTTGGAGGTCTTGAAGTCCAGCCCCTATTCAAGCAGGTGAATACCCTATACCCATGATGGTGAACTTATGGCACGCGTGCCAGAAGTGGCACACAGAGCCATCTCTCTGGGCACATGACCCACTGCTCTTCCGGATTCTGGTGCACCGGCCAGCTGGAAACCAGAAGAGCAGCTGCCTGGTGCGCATGTGCGTGCCGGGAAGACGATCTTTCGGTTTCGTTGCATGTGTGCACCCTTTTCAGCACTCAGTGCCGAAAAGGTTCACCAACCCTCCCCTATACCATTCTGGACAAATGGTTGGCCAGTCTCTTCTTAGAAGGCTCCAGTGATGGATTCCCCACAATCTCTGGTGGCAAGCTGTTCCACTGGTTAATGGTCCTCACTGTTAAGCAGTTTCTCCATAATTCCAGGTTGCTTCTCTCCTGGAATAGTTTCCATCCATTGCTTCTTGTTGACCCCCTCTTGTTTGGGGCAGCCCCTAAAATACTGGAAGACTGTTATCATGTCACCCTTGGTCCTTTTGTTCTCCAGACTGGCCGAACCCCCAGTCCTCCAACCATTATTCATTTTTCAGCCTCCAGTCCCCTGGTCATCTTTGCTCTCCTCTGCACACTTTCTAGACAACCATCAGGTCTTCAGGCAAGGTGGCAGGAGAGCAATCTGGCCCAAAGGAGCTTTTTAGAAGGCAACTGGAGCTTCACGGTTTGTTTTCCTCTTGAAGACATTTCGCTTCTCATCCAAGAAGCTTCTTCAGAGAACTGAAGGTCTAGTTGCCTTTTGAAAAGCACTTCTGGGACAACCATGACCTGGATGATGGAGAATCTCCATAGACAGAGGGCAAGCGGAGTTCTGCCGGGCCTGTCCAGCTGCAGCGCACACCAAGGGGGTGAGGAGGAGGGGACAGGCAGGGGAGCTGCAGCCCTACAAGTCAAGAGATGAAGCCAAGGGCTGTTAGCACCTTGGAGAGCTGCTCTAAGTCCTTGAAGGAGCCCACTCCCCTGGCTCCAGCTCTTGAGCCCTCCTTGAGCAATGCTCATGGTTTAACAGATGAACAGAGTTGGAAGGGACCTTGTAGGTCATCCAGTCCAGCCCCCCTCTGCCCAAACAGACCCTACACCATTTCTACAGATGGCAGCCCAGTCTCTTCTTGAAAGCCTCCAGGGATGAAGCTCCCACAACTTCCGAAGGCAGCTTCTGTTCCATGGGTTGATGGTTCTCACTGTCAGAAAATGTTGCCTTGTTTCCAGGTTGAATCTCTCCTTGGTCAGTTTCCATCCATTATTCCTTCTCTGGCCCTCTGGTGCTTCGGAAAACAGGTTGACCTCCTCCTCTTTGTGGCAGCCCCTCAAATAGTGGAAGATGCTCTCATGTCTCCCCTGGTCCTTCTCTTCACTAGAGAAGTTCCTGCAACCGTTCATCGTATGTTTTAGCCTCCAGTCCCCTCCTCATCCTGGTTGCTCTTCTCTGCACTCTTTCTAGGGACTCAACGTCTTTTTTATAGTGTAGTGACCAAAACTGGATGCAGAATTCCAGGTGTGGTCTTCCTAAGGCTTTATAGAGTAGTATTAGTACCTTACTTGATCTGGATTGAATCCCTCTGTTAATGCATTTTAGGATTGCATTGGCTTTTTTGGCTGCTGGCTCCTATTTAGCTGGTTGTCCACTAAGACTCCAGGATCCCTCTCCCAGTCCCTGCTATTAAGCCTGGTTCCAGCCATTTGGGGATTGCAACCAAGGCTCCTATATCTGTTGGTCCTACCTATGCTTTCTTCTGTGACTGTCGTTCTATGACACCGCTGACCCCATGAAGCCAAAAGGGTGCTGACAGTGCACCATGGGAGATCTTGCAGGACATCCGTGTGCATAAAAGTCTGCGGTTCAGAACTGCCATGCTGGAAGTTTTCCCTCCTTTCAGCCGAGCTTGCAAAACTGCCGGTGCCACTTCTGGAATCACACAGAGTTCTTGATTTTTGAGATGGGAGCGGGGGTTCTCTTGTCTTGGAACACGTTGCATGAGGCCAAGGTCAGAGAGGTCACGTGTCTCTGGCAGAACCGGAGCCAAGATTTTGGCACGCGGTGCTTCTGTATAAACAACCTTGTGTACCTGATGCCGAAGGGTGTGTCTCTTGCACCCAAGAGGGAAAGGGGGAGAGCAAAGCCTGGGCACTCCCAAGGGAAACAGAATGTGGCCAATTCCAAGGGGGGGGAGGAGGCCTAAAAAACCCCACAAGAACCCAGAAGGTCACCTTTGCAGCCATTCCGCTTCCATGTTTACACAAAGACAAACAGCAGCTTATCAAGATTGTAATAATAAACACAAGACTGCAGCATTCCCAGAAACTGGGGGGTAAGCCATTGGTCACACTCACCTCCACAGTGGAGGGGCATCATGTGCCCATGAGGGCCGGTGTAATAAAAAACCCAACAATCCGAAGTTGGCAGCTGTTCCTGAACTCTGAATCTACCCGTGAAAGAGCCCCTCCCCCCGGCCATTTCCTCTTTCCTGGCTCCACCAGACTCTGAGTTTGGGAGGGGGGGGGGGCAGGGGGCACCAGTGCAGACTTTCACTTCCATGCACAGGTAGTCCTCAACTTACAACCACAATGGAGCCCAACATTTCCGAGACAGACGTTAAATGAGTTTTGCCCCGTTTGTACGAACTTCCTCCCCATACTTCTTCTTAAGTGAATCACGGCTGTTGTTTGAGTTAGTCCCATGGTCGTTGAGTGAATTCCCCATCGACTTTGCTGGTCGGAAGGTTGCAAAGGGGATCACCTGACTGTCATAACTAGGAACCGGTTGCCAAGCGGCTGAATTTTGATCCCCTGACCAAGGCCATGCTGCACAGGTGTGGAAAAGGGCTGCAAGCCAATTTCTTTCATTGTAACTCTGAATGGTCATTAAGGGAATTGTTGTAAATTGAGGACTGCCTGTTGTTTGCTTGGGCCTCTTGCTCTTCTTTCCAATCCCCTCTTCGTTCGTTTGTTTGGTTTTTAAAAAAGGCTTGGGACTCCTTGGGGGAAGCCCCTCAGAATGGGTCTCCCGCAGCCCACAGCCTTAAAGGGTCCCTTCTCTTCCCAGGACCGGGAAGGCCCCGCGCTGGTGGAGACCCTTCCCCTCGCCAGGGGCCCAGGACCCTCCGGCGCACCTTCTCCTCCCTTGCCGGTATGCGGACTCCCGCCCGTGCGCGGGACGCCCTCCTTTTCTCCGGCGTATCCCATGCCTCCCCCGCCACCCCACGCGTCGCCTCCAGAGGTGGAGTGCACCCCTCCCTCCCCGCCCCCCCCGGTGGTGGCTCCAGGGGCGGCGGGGGAAAGGGAGGGTCGGAAGGGGGCGCTCGCCAGCTGCGGGGTAGGAACTGCCCGGCATCCCTTCATCGCGCTGGGCTGGAGCCTCTCGGCGGTCTCTCCCCATGGGCGGGAGGAGGGGAATGAAAGTGGGGAGGAGAAGGAGGAACCCCTTGGGGGGGGGGGATCGGGGGAAAATCCGGCCGTCTCTGGTCGGGGCAGGTTGAGTCGGAGTCTCCGCCCGCGGGGACGGCCCTTGGCGCAGCGGGGGAGGGGCTGCGGGGTCCCAGCCGGCCCTGCTTCTTCTACCCGGCGTCCGCCCCATCCCGGGTTGTGGGGCGTCCCTGCCCCCTTGGAGCCCACCCCACCCCCCTGCCCGACACCCCCCGGAGCCCCGCCGGTCTTTTACGGCCTCTTGCGCTCCGGCCGCCTTTGCTCTCCGGAACAAAAGGGACCATTAGAAGATGATGATGATTGTCGTTACTTGCATTTATACGCTCGTCCCTCCGACCGTCACGATTCCGGGCACCTGGCACCAATTCAACAACAACAGCAACAGCAACAATAGCAGACGGCAGGAGAACAAAGGACGGCAGAGGAAGAATAAAGCCATTTTCAGAAGAACAGCCGTCAAATCCGAGGAATGAGAACTTTCCCCCCAATCGGCTCCTTCCAGAAACAGCCCTTTACTTTGCTCGCTTTTCTGCAGAAGCCGCGCGCGCGTCTGTAGTGGGGGGGGGGGAACACACAGGGGAAGGGCACACAGGACTTCGGAGAACAGGCCCTTCAGCCAAGGGGGCCGCGGTTGACCCTTCCTCTCTTTTAAGGGGCGCCCACAGCATCCACTCCCCACCGACTGCGTGGGGACTTTGTGGGAGATCAGGAACAGGGTCTGGGGATGGGACTCCTCCGTTTTTCAGCAAAACCTGTTATTAAACTCAGGCCGCCATACAAAAACGTTTAAGGCCCAGGGATGCCTGTATGCTCGGTTTCTAACAATACTGTTGCCACTCAGAAAGCTCTAGGCAGGCTTCAAAGGAATATCCCCAAAGTGCTTTTTCAAGTGGCAACTGGACTTTCTGGTTTTTCTTTGACAACGTTTTGCTTCTCACCCAAGATTCTTCAAAGAAGAAACGTCTTCAAAGAAAAACCAGAAAGTCCAATTCCTCTTGAAAAAGCAACTTTGGGACAACCATGACCTGGATGACGGAGAATCTGGCTTCAAAGAATACAAAAGGGAAAGGAGGACGAGGAGGAGAAGCAGAAGCAGAAGCAGAAGCAGAAGCAGAAGCAGAAGCAGAAGAAGAAGAAGAAGAAGAAGAAGAAGAAGAAGAAGAAGAAGAAGAAGAAGAAGAAGAAGAAGAAGAAGAAGAAGAAGAAGAAGAAAGCATCCAATAGAAGAGAATATCTGTAGTTCAGGAATTTTAATAATGGGGTCCTTGATGGTCTCTGAGCTTGTCTGTTTTCTTGCAGATGATTCATTACCAAACTATTCAACCTTCTAGGACTGATAATGTTACCTAGCTGGGCAATGAAACGTCTGGAAAAAAAACCCAACCAATCTCAGAGAGCATCAGGAACCCCACAATCCCACCCTCCTCCTCCACCTCCCTTCCACAACCCCCCCTTCCTTCTAGGACTGATGATATTCCCTGGTAGGGTAATGAAACATCTGGGAAAAAAAGCCCAACCAAGCTCAGAGAGCACCAGAAACACTACAGTCATCAGCCCCCTCTTCCCTCTCCTCCTCCTCCTCCTCCTCCTCCTCCTCCTCCTCCTCCTCCTCCTCCTCCTCCTGTCTGCAAACCCCATTCCCTTCTAGCACTGAAGATGTTCCCTAGTTTTGTCACGAAAGGTTTGCAAGAAAACCAAACTCAAAGAGAGTACCAAGGACCCCACAGTCTTCCTCCACCTCCTCTCTACAAACCGCTCTGACTTTTTGAGAAGAAGGCAGGCAGACCCCAGAATTTCCAACAGTGAGTTTATTTGAGAAGCCTCGTTTCTGGAGAAAGGACTTTGTGCAGGCTGAAGCAGCTGGTGGGAAGGTGGTCAGGAGTCTGGAGCGGGGAGGCCAAAGAGGAATGGACCATGCAGCAGGAAGACCTTCTCTGGCTGGGCTGGATGGGAGGATCCAAGGAATGGCTGCTTCCTGCTGGGCTCCTCCATCAGATCTTGGGGCTCAGAGTGGTCCTGAGGAAAGAGCAAAAGGGGAGCTGAGAAGGAGGAACAGAAGATGCATCCCGGCTGGAACGGGGCTTCTTCTTCTGGTCAGAAGGAGATCCCACTGAGTGGAAGGCAGTGGGCCAGAGTCCCAGGAGGGAGGGGCCATCCCAGAAGCGTAAGAGACAGCAGGTAGTCTGTGTGAGAGAAAGAGGGTGAAGACAGTGTCTCCTTAATTGTTCCCAGAGAACATTGTGGGTTCAGATAGTAGAGTCCTTAATTTGGCAAGATTCTGTCCATAGATGTGAAACAATACTCAGCTTTCAAGAATCACCATGTGCCCTTCTTGGTTTGGGGCCTGACAGAAAACGGCCGAGGAATTCTGGGAGTTCACACACGGCGGCTGAGGGATTCTGGAGTCTACACGTGATGTGGTGGAATATAGTTAGGAGGTGGGATCATAAGAGCGAAGGGTATAGAAGAGGTAGCAGATAGGTAGCTGTGTGAGAGAAAGAGCGTGAAGACAGCCCCTCCTGAATAGTTCCCAGAGTATATCCTTGGTGTAGATAGCAGGCAGCTTTAGTGGGAGTGGAATCCCAAAAAAAATCTAATTGGAAGAATCATTACTTGTTTTTCTGGGAGCCCGAGAGTCCTGTTCTGGTTTTGAGGAAAGAAACAGGGCCCTTGTGGCCCCTCAAATTCCTCTGGGCCCTCTGGAATATCAGGGCCACAGTGTTTTGTCATTCATTTCTATATATTTTGCTCAGCAGGGACAAGTCAGGAAGGTCTCCCTGAGCCTCTGGAGCTCTTTGAGATCTTGGATTGAGAAAGAGCTTCCCCTTCTGTGTGTTGTGGCCAAAAGGGTCTTCACTGCAGAGGCCCTGCCGTGAGTCAGGGACCATTCCAGAGACCCCACGGATTATTCTCTGGGTCCCCGGAGGCAGAAGGGAGGGAGGGAGGTGTCGAGACTCGTTCTGGTTCCAACGCAGGAAGGAAAGAGGTGAAGGAGACCCCTGGGTCTGCTGGGACGTTCCTTGGGCAGCTGGAGAGGTTGGCCTGCAGGAGGAAGGAGGCCTGGCTGAGGAGGAAGATTTCCTCTTTGGGGCAGATAAGCCGTTCAGAAACGTGAAATATAAATAAATCAAGGAGAACCTGCTGTGTGAGTTCCTGCTGTGAGCTGAGAGTGCTGCTGCCAGGAAGGGAACCCCATCATAAGGGAGGAGGGAGCTACAGGGGTTTGAAGGGCTTCAAAACAAGATGGGTGGGGAAGCAAAGAAGAAAGAAAGAAAGAAAGAAAGAAAAGAAAAAGAAAGAGAAAGAAAAGAGGGGAAGGAAGAAGAAGGGAGGGAAGGAAAGGAAAGAAAGAAAAGAAGGAAGGAAGGAAGAAAAAGGGAGGGAGAGGGAGAAAAGAAAAGAAAGAAAGAACGAAAGAAAGAAAGAAAGAAGAAGAAGGGAGGGAAGGAAAGGAAAGAAAGAAAAGAAGGAAGGAAGGAAGAAGAAGGAGGGAGGGAGGGAGAGAAAGGAAAGAAAGAAAGAAAAAGAAAAACAAAAGAAGAAAGAAAGAAAGAAAGAAAGAAAGAAAGAAAGAAAGAAAGAAAGAAAGAAAGAAAGATAGATGCATATAGCTCAGCTGCAGGGCCTTCCTTTACCTGGGGGGAAACAGTGTCTGGCGCATCCAACTGGGCAGCATTTCTTATTCCCGTCGCAGTCGGAGTCCCAGACACAGTCTTGGTAACAATAATAGTCCGGAGGGACTTTGAACATGGGACACTCCCCCAGCTTGACTGGAAAAACAGAAAATTGACATTAAAATTGGCCCAGAATGCAGGAGTGCTGCTTTCCAACCACTCAAACACCTTTTCTGTAAATAGTTAATTGCACATTTTCCCTCCCTCCCTCCCTCTCTCTCTCTCTCTCTCAGCCCTTTCTCCTTCATCTCAGAAAATGGGCCCCAGTCTGAACCTGCCCCACTTGCTTCTCATTAGTGCATCTCATTTCCAATCTTTGCCTTCAAACTGGAGACCTGTGGGGACTAGATGACCTCCAAGGTCCCTCCTGACCGTTGCTCTGATGGGAGAACCCAGACCCTTGTTCCATCAGGACCCTCAGCTGGGCAGGGGTGTCTGCGAGGCATGGCCAAAAAAGTCACAGCCTGATCTTCAGTCAAACTCACCATTGTGGTTTTTCTCCCAGCCCCACAGACGCCCCAGCCATTCTCTCTTCGGTGAACCGTGGTTTGCTAGACTATGAAAAGTTGATCATGAAAGCCATCCATGAACTGGTGACCACCATCTACAGAGAGCAAGCAGCTTCTCCTCTCCTTAGGGAGACACTTCCAAGACATTATCCGAAGAACCCAGATTGACTACACGGTCTTTAACAGATTAGCAGAGTTGGAAGGGCCCTTGCAGGTCATCTAGCCCAACCCCCCGCCCAAGCAGGAGACCCTACACCATTTCTGACGGATGGCAGCCCAGTCTCTTCTTGAAACCTCCAGGGATGAAGCTCCCACGACTTCTGAAGGCAACTTCTCTTCCATCGGTTGATTGCTCTCACTGTCAGAAAATTCCTCCTTGTTTCTAGGCTGAATCTCTCCTTGTTCAGTTTCCATCCATTATTCCTTGTCTGGCCTTCAGGCGCCTTTGGGAAATAGCTTGACCCCCTTCCTCCTCTCTGTGGCAGCCCCTCAAATATTGGAAGATGCTCTCCTGTCTCCCCTGGTCCTTCTCTTCACTAGACCAGCCATGCCCAGTTCCTGCAACCGTTCATCGTATGTTTTAGCCTCCAGTCCCCTCATCCTCTTTGTTGCTCTTCTCTGCACTCTTTCCAGAGTCTCAGCATCTTTTTTATGGTGTGGTGATCAAAACTGGATGCAGGACTCTAGGTGTGGCCTTACTAAGGCTTTATAGAGTGGTGTTAGTACCTCCCTTGATCTTGATTGAATCCCTCTGTTAATGCAGTTTAGGATTGCATTGGCTTTTTTGGCTGCCACTGCACACGGCTAGCTCCCATTTAGCTGGTTGTCCACTAAGACTCCAAGATCCCTCTCACAGTTCCTGCTATTAAGCCTGGTTTCCCCCACTCTATATGTGTCCTTTGGGTTTTTCTTGCCTGCCAAGTGGTTGCAAGGAAAGGGGGAGGCATTGAGAAAGTATCTTCTGACCCCATGTCCTACCTCCTGTAGGACATGAAGTATACTCTGGATATGGAATTCAAATTCTATTTGGGGCTCTTTCTTAATCACTTTCTTTTGCTACCTTCTAGCTATTGGGTTTTGTTCCTGCTTGATACAGTTAACCTGCCTGCTATTAAGAAAATAATTCTAGGTTGCATTTAGAAGCGACCAAAAGCTTCAGTATTTATTATTTATTTATTTATTGGTTCGATTTATATGCCACCCTTTTCCGGAGACTCAGGGCGGCTTACAATGCGTTAAGCAACAGCCTTCATCCTTTTGTATATACCTGCTTAGTAGGGCTTTCGGCCCCCCATAAACGGTGTTTTTTTTTAATACAAAGTCAGCTTATTGCCCCCACAAACCGGTCCTCATTTTACCTACCTCGGAAGGATGGAAGGCTGAGTCAACCTTGAGCCTGGTGAGAATTGAACTTGCAGTAATTGCAGGCAGCTGGTGTTACTTAACAGTGCTTTAGTCCGCTGCGCCACCAAGGCTCATTGATGACTCCCAAGGCTCATCAAGATTCCCCTCCAGGTGACCATTAAACCAGGCACACACACTCTTCTCTGAAATTAAAGGGATCCTGTCCACCCAGACCATGTGCCATTCTCCACACCTTCTCCAAAGGAAGAAGAACAAGCTGACCTCAGGAGGACCAAGTACAATATCATGTCAGTCCAAGTAAGATGACCTGGGGTCTTTCTTAGGGGCTGCGTTGAGGAGAAGTATAAGAGACATCCTCAAGCTGTGGTGCTTACCTAGTTGGTAATGACGTCTTTTGATTTTTGCTGATGTCTGTTGAGTAGAAAGAATGAGGAGACCAGCTAGGAGAAGCAGAAGCCAAGGTTTCATGATGCAGCTCAAGTCCAGCTGGCAGCAGCAAGAATTCGTCCTCTCGACTGTGTATTCCCAACCTCACCTGGACAGGGTATGCTCCAGATCGGCTCAGGTGATGCAACCTCCTATGATAGTTAGCTGGCGCACTCTGTGCAAGAGAGGGGCGTATCCAGGAGAGGACATCATTGCCTGGAGGGTGAGTAAAACTTGGAGTTGGTCCATCTGTCCCCAGTCCATCTCTTGACTCTCCTTGTTCCGTCACAGAACAAGGAGGGTTTTAACAGAAGGAAGATTCTATCTGTTAAGAGGGATAGAATCAAAATCAATCAACGTAAAGTATTAGTACCGCTTTATAATGCCTTGGTAAGAGCATATTTGAAATATTGCATCTCGTTTTGGTTGCCACGATGTAAAAAAGATGTTGAGACCTTGTAAAGAATGCAGAGAAGAGCAATTAAGATGATTAAAGGCCTGGAGAAAAATATATGAAGGACGGTTACAGGATTTGAGTTTGGCCAATGTAGAGAAAATAAGGACTAGGGGGACATGATAGCAGTCTTCCAGTATCTGGGGGGGCTGCCCCAAAAAAGAGGGGGTGTTTCACCTGTTCTCCAAAGCACCCGAAGGCAGGACAAGAAGCAACAGATGGAAACTAATCAAGGAGAGAAGCAATCTGGAATGAAGGAGAAATTTCCTGACAGTTAGAACAATTAACCAGTGGAACTGCTTGCCACCAGAAGTTGTGGGCGTTCCATCACTGGAGGCTTTTAAGAAGAGACTGGACAGCCATTTATCCAGAATGGAAGAGGATCTTCTGCTTGAGCAGGGGGTTGGACTGGAGGACCTCCAAGGTCCCTTCCAACTCTGTTATTCTGTCACTTTTGTTGCTCTGGGTTTTCCACCCTGCATCGTTTTGCACATCAAAGTCCTCCACCCCAAGGTGACAAATTTACAAATTTAAGGCTGCTACAGTAACGGTTGACATTCCTGCACTTCTGGCTTTTGCTGCTTTAGTGCAGGCATTGAGCACCAGTTGAAATGTGGTGGAGGGAGGGGGCGGCTCCAGAGCAGGCAGAAGCCCCCTAACTCTGGAGAATCGCACTCCTCCTGCAGCTGTCCCACCTCCCCCACGTGTCCTTTGGGGGGGAGCCACCCAGTGCACCCCCTTCTGCTGGCCGCGTAGGGACTTCTGGGAGGAGCCTGGAGACTGGATTCCTCCATTTTCCACCAAAAGCTGCTATAAAACTTGGCCCCAAAAGCAGAGACTTTCTTTCCTGGTTGCTCTCAAGCATTTCGGTCTCAGGGCCCCTGACTTTCTGAAACATTATTGAGGGGTTTGGAGCAGTGGTGAAATCCTATCAGTCCGCACCCAATTCGGGCGAAGTGATAGTGATAAAATCTACCGGTTTGGCAAAAAAAGCTCCCGGTTGGTCTGAATCAGTATTTCCGATGATCAGCTTTGCCACACCATTTATATTCATAGGAAGCAGGAAATCCTGCTTTCTCACAAATCTAAATCGTGCAGCACAGCTGTTCCCCCCTTACTGTTCTACTTACCTTCAAACGGCTCCTTTTCCTGCACGAAGCGCATGTTTTGTGCACACTGCACATTCGCGTGTACGCAGCATGCATTTGGCGTGCACTGCACATGCATGTGCATGCAGCGTGTGTCTGGCATGTACCGCGCATGTGCGGGCAAGTGAACCGGTAGTGACCCACGGAGGACTTCACCCCTGGTTTGGAGTTTATGTCAGTTATATCTATCAATATCTCCTGGATTAGGAAACAGGAATGTCAGAATATTTATTGATTGGACTTGACAGATTCCCTGAAAGGATCCTGGGGGCCCAGCATTCCCCAGCCAACCTTGTGAGAACTGCCAGATTAGGAAATTGCAAGGAAAGTAGTGAACATCAAGAATTGGGGTGTGAACTGGGGGGGGGAGGGCAGCTCCAAGACCCCAGATTCCTAAGGATTTCTGATGTGGTTCCCTAGTCTGGACTAACTTGAAGTGCTGACCGAATGACGGGAGGGAAAGGGCCGTTGCCCACCCCTCTGCATTTCTGAAGGTAAAGAGTGAAAAAGGCATAAAGGGCCGAGTGCGGCCACAATCCTACACCACAGGATATGAGCAACCTCAGGCTCAAGGCTTCTGTTCCTGCCCTCGGCCGTCCCTCCTTACGCCTGTTGAATGAAGTGGAATGAACATCACCAGGAACGGGAGGATTCTAGAAATGGGCAAGGCTGACTTCAAATTCCTCCACCTCCTCTCTACAAACCGCTCTGACTTTTTGAGAAGAAGCAGGCAGACCCCAGAATTTCCAACAGTGAGTTTATTTGAGAAGCCTCGTTTCTGGAGAAAGGACTTTGTGCAGGCTGAAGCAGCTGGTGGGAAGGTGGTCAGGAGTCTGGAGCGGGGAGGCCAAAGAGGAATGGACCATGCAGCAGGAAGACCTTCTCTGGCTGGGCTGGATGGGAGGATCCAAGGAATGGCTGCTTCCTGCTGGGCTCCTCCATCAGATCTTGGGGCTCAGAGAGGTCCTGAGGAAAGAGCAAAAGGGGAGCTGAGAAGGAGGAACAGAAGATGCATCCCGGCTGGAACGGGGCTTCTTCTTCCTGGTCAGAAGGAGATCCCACTGAGTGGAAGGCAGTGGGCCAGAGTCCCAGGAGGGAGGGGCCATCCCAGAAGCGTAAGAGACAGCAGGTAGTCTGTGTGAGAGAAAGAGGGTGAAGACAGTGTCTCCTTAATTGTTCCCAGAGAACATTGTGGGTTCAGATAGTAGAGTCCTTAATTTGGCAAGATTCTGTCCATAGATGTGAAACAATACTCAGCTTTCAAGAATCACCATGTGCCCTTCTTGGTTTGGGGCCTGACAGAAAACGGCCGAGGAATTCTGGGAGTTCACACACGGCGGCTGAGGGATTCTGGAGTCTACACGTGATGTGGTGGAATATAGTTAGGAGGTGGGATCATAAGAGCGAAGGGTGCATTTCAGAGGTGTAAGAGGTAGCAGATAGGTAGCTGTGTGAGAGAAAGAGCGTGAAGACAGCCCCTCCTGAATAGTTCCCAGAGTATATCCTTGGTGTAGATAGCAGGCAGCTTTAGTGGGAGTGGAATCCCAAAAAAATCTAATTGGAAGAATCATTACTTGTTTTTCTGGGAGCCCGAGAGTCCTGTTCTGGTTTTGAGGAAAGGAACAGGGCCCTTGTGGCCCCTCAAATTCCTCTGGGCCCTCTGGAATATCAGGGCCACAGTGTTTTGTCATTCATTTCTATATATTTTGCTCAGCAGGGGACAAGTCAGGAAGGTCTCCCTGAGCCTCTGGAGCTCTTTGAGATCTTGGATTGAGAAAGAGCTTCCCCTTCTGTGTGTTGTGGCCAAAAGGGTCTTCACTGCAGAGGCCCTGCCGTGAGTCAGGGACCATTCCAGAGACCCCACGGATTATTCTCTGGGTCCCCGGAGGCAGAAGGGAGGGAGGGAGGTGTCGAGACTCATTCTGGTGACGCAGGAAGGAAAGAGGTGAAGGAGACCCCTGGGTCTGCTGGGACGTTCCTTGGGCAGCTGGAGAGGTTGGCCTGCAGGAGGAAGGAGGCCTGGCTGAGGAGGAAGATTTCCTCTTTGGGGCAGATAAGCCGTTCAGAAACATGAAATATAAATAAATCAAGGAGAACCGGCTGTGTGAGTTCCTGCTGTGAGCTGAGAGTGTTTGCAGACAAGATGAACTTTTGGGAAAGGCCGTGGCTGCCGGTTGTTTTGTGGGCTTGAGGAAGTTTCTGCCAAACCTCGACACCGGCTGTTGCCAGGAAGGGAACCCCTCATGAGGGAGGAGGCAGCTGCAGGAGCCATGAAGGGCTTTAAAATGAGATGGGTAAGAAAGGATAGGACAGGGAAAGAAAGAGAAAGAAAGAGGGAAAGAAAGAAGGAAAGAAAGAAAGAAAGAAGGGAAGGAGGGAGGGAGGAAGGAAGGAAGGAAGGAAAGAGAAAGGAAGTGAGGAAGGAAAGAAAAAGAAAGGGAAAGAAGGAAGGGAGGAAGGAAGGAAGGAAAGGAAGGAAGGAAAGAAAGAGGGAATGGAAATGAGATTGAAAGAAAGAAAAAGAAGGGGAAGGAAGGAAAATGATAAAAAAGGAAGAAAGAAAAATGGAAAGACGGAAGGGAGGAATAAAAGAAAGAGAGAGAAAGAAAGAAAAAAGAAGAAGGAAAGGAGGGAAGGAAGGAAACAAGGAAAGGAAGGGAGGGAGGGAGGGAGGGAGGAAGGAAGGAAGGAAGGAAGGAAGGAAGGAAGGAAGGAAGGAAGGCTCATAGTCTAGTCCTTCTCCTTACCTGGGGGGAAACAGTGTCTGGCGCATCCAACTGGGCAGCATTTCTTATTCCCGTCGCAGTCGGAGTCCCAGACACAGTCTTGGAAACAAAAATAGTCCGGAGGGATTTTGATCTTGGGACACTCCCCCGGCTTGACTGGAAAAACAGAAGATGAACACTGAGATTGGCCCAGAATGATGGACGGTGCTGCTCAAGAACCCCTCCGCCAGCTTCTAATGGCTTGGTGTTGGATTCCCCTTGTTGCGAATGTGGTGCCGCCATGCAAACAATTAACTGTATTGTGCCAGACTGCCCACAATGTGCCTTCTCTGGTTCCCTAGAAGATCTGCATGAAGCAACACCAGAGGAACCCATCGCCCAGATAGCTGACCTGGACATCCGGTTATGAGGCCCCTGCCGTAACCCCTGAGATGTCTTGTATGTAATTTTGTGGAGTGTGTGTGTATATGTTTACTTCTCTTTGTCATGTTTTCATCATATGCAAACTAATGGCATGTGTGTGTAGGAGCCCTTGCGCCTTCATCCCAGAAAATGGACCCCAATCGGGACGTGGCCCACTTCCCTCTCCCATTTTCAATCTTTTGCCTTCTAACAACTGGACTTTCTTGTTTGTACTTTTGAAGACGTTTTGCTTCTCATCCCAGAAGCTTCTTCAGCTCTGACTGGATGGTGGGGAAGGGAAGGATTGATGCTCCTTGCAGACAGCTGGACATTTGCATGCCTTTAGAGACTCCTTGATGTCACCTGGAAGTTTATCTGTGTCCTCTGAGAACCTCCGTAGACATGGTCAAGAAAGTCAACAGGCTGAGCTTCAGTCAAACTCCCTTGGCTACTACCATCTTGTTTTATCCTGGTTATCTGTTGGAGTGGGCAAATACTCTCTCCTGATTGGTTGTTGGCTCATTAGTTCCTTATAAAAGGAATATGTCAGCTAGGGAGTTTTAAGTTGCCTTTCAGGCAGAAATAAATCAAGAGCCGTTTGAGATAACTCTGGCCTCACCGCCATTCTTCACCCAGGACTTAACACCAGCCGCTAAGTTTAAATATCTCAACACGTGTCCCGCAGATACCCCTGTATCTTTTCTATAAATCTGCTTTGCTAGACCATGAAAAGTTGACATGCATCATGAAAGCCACCTCTACACGCACAAGGCAGTTTCTCCTCTCGGTCTTTATGGAGGCCCTTCTAAAGGCCTTGTCTGAAGAACCCAGATTGGCTGCATGCCTGCAAAGAAAGGAGGAGGAGGAGGCATTGTACAAAGTTGAGCTGTTCATCTGAGCTCCCAGCTTGGCAATTTGGCTGCAAACATTTCAGCACCATTCAAGGAGACATCTTTGAATTGTGTTTGTCTGCCAGAATGCCGGCCTTAAATACCTTCTTATGTGATGCAAACTAGCATTAGTATGCTAGTTTGTTCCCATACTTTTGAAGTACCCTGTATTTTTCAGACTATAAGACACACCTAAATTTATAGGAGGAAAACAAGAAAAAAAATAGTTTTTGGCTTCTACATGTTGTGTTTTGCCATCCCCGGCACCCAGAAGCACTCTGCAATGCTCCACATGGCCCGTTTTTGCCAAAATTGGAAACGTGACGTGCGGAGGGCTTGGGAGCCCCAAAACAGGCCCGTTTTTGGCAAAAATGTGCCATGCAGAACACTGCAGAGTGCTTCTGGGAGCCTGGGAGGGCAAAAACGTGATGCCCATATTCGGTCTATAAGACACACCTAAATTTTCACCCACTTTTTTTGGGGGGGGGAAGGTGCGTCTTATACTCCAAAAAATACGGTAAGTAATTTATATCACATAAAATTCGCATCACATAAAAAGGTATTTAAGGCCAGCATTCTGACAGACAAGCCACAATTCAAAGCGCACTGATGATGCCTTTGGCGAAATGGTGACGAAATGTTTGCAACCAAATTGCCACGATCGGAGCTCAAACCAACAGCCCAACTACCAACCTAAGCTACTAATATTCAAAGATATTTCATTTGACAAAGTTTCTGACTTCATGTCCTACCTCCTGGGTGAGAAGTGTACGCTAGATATGGACTTCACGTTCTAGGAAGTATTTTGAGCTATGTCTTAATCAGTTTCCTTTGCTGCCATCTAGCTATTGTGCTCTGTTCCTGCTTGATACAGATAACTGCTTGCTATTTAAAAAACCAAAGGTTTCATGATTTCCATCCAAGTGGCCATTAAGCAGAGGCATTTGAAGCCCACCCTCTCTGAAATTAACAGAATAACAGAGTTGGAAGGGACCTTGTAGGTCATCTAGTCTAGTCTGAGGATGATCTTTGGCCCAGAAAGAATGTAGTTCTCCAGAGTTGTAGGCCTTCTGCCTGATCTCTATTCTCCAACCTATCCCTGCTTCATTCGGGGCACAACTCAACTGGTATTGAAGGCCAGCACCAAACACTTGTGATCCAGTAGTGTAGGAGCTTCAACCACTATTTCTTTAACAGATTAACAGAGTTGGAAGGGACCTTGTAGGTCATCTAGTCCAACCCCCCGCCCAAGCAGGAGACCCTACACCATTTCTGACAGATGGCAGTCCAGCCTCTTCTTCAAAGCCTCCAGTGATGAAGCTCCCACGACTTCTGAAGGCAACTTCTGTTCCATCGGTTGACTGTTCTCACTGTCAGAAAATTTCTCCTTATTTCCAGGTTGAATCTCTCCTTGTTCAGTTTCCATCCGTTGTTCCTTGTCTGGCCTTCAGGTGCTTTGGAAAATAGCTTGATCCCCTTCCTCCTCTCTGGGGCAGCCCCTCAAATATTGGAAAATGCTATCATGACTCCCCTGGTCCTTCTCTTCACTAGACTAGCCAGGCCCAGTTCTTGCAACCGTTCTTCATATGTTTTAGCCTCAAGTCCCAGAATTGTCTTGATTGCTCTAATGGGATGTAATTAATTAATGGGATTCTGCCCACCCAGAGTGTATGCAATGGGTAGACCCTACCTTCTGCAAAGGAAGAAGAACAACCTGGCTTCAGGTGGACCAATTGTAAATCAAACTAAAAGTATTCTTAGTGAGGTGCAAAGTCCTGGATTGAGGAGAGGTGTGGGAAGACACCCTCAGGCTGTAGTGCTTACCTTTTGGAGGACGAAGTTGTTTGGTGGTCTTTGCTGTTGCCAGTTGAGTGGAAAGAATGAGGAGACCAGCTAGGAGTAGAAGAATCCAAGGTTTCATGATGCAGCTCAAGTCCAACTTGCAGCAAGAATTCTTCGCCTCAACTGTGTATTTCTAATCTCACTTGGGCAGGGGTTGTTCTGCAGGGAGGGTCAGGTGATGCAACATCCTATGATGGATTGCTTGCATGTTGTGTGCAAGAAAGGGGCGTATCCAGGAGAGGAGATCTTTGCCTGAATAGAACTTGCTGTTGGTCAATCTGGCCTTGGTCAATCTCTTGACCTTCCTTGTTCTATGACTTGCACTGCTCTGGGTTTTCCATGCTTTGCATGTCACCCCAAGCAGATGTAAGACAGAGGAGGGAATTTACAGTTATTGCATATGAAGAATGTATAAAGAAAGGTTGCAGGAACTGGGCATGGCTAGTCTAGTGAAAAGAAGGACCAGGGGAGACATGATTCCAATATTTGAGGAGCTGCCACAGAGAGGAGGAAGGGGGTTAAGCTATTTTCCAAGGCACCTGAAGGCCAGACAAGGAACAATGGATGGAAACTGACCAAGGAGAGATTCAACCTAGAAATAAGGAGACATTTCCTGACAGGGAGAATGATCAACCCTTGGAACAGAAGCTGCCTTCAGAAGTTGTGGGAGCTTCCTCACTGGAGGCTTTGAAGAAGAGGCTGGACTGCCGTCTGTCAGAAATGGTGTAGGGTCTCCTGCTTGGGCGGGGGGTTGGACTAGATGACCTACAAGGTCCCTTCCAACTCTGTTAATCTGTTAAAGAAATAGTGGTTGAAGCTCCTACACTACTGGATCACAAGTGTTTGGTGCTGGCCTTCAATACCAGTTGAGTTGTGCCCCGAATGAAGCAGGGATAGGTTGGAGAATAGAGATCAGGCAGAAGGCCTCCAACTCTGGAGAACTACATTCTTTCTGGGCCAAAGATCATCCTCAGATATTTTGTCCTGAAGGGGGCAGTTGTTTCTTCCCACTCCTTTCTTATTAAGGCCACAGAGGAGATTCATGTCTTCCAAATGAAGGTCACCTCCTTGGAACCATGGATGGAAACCTGCTTGTGGAGTCTTGCAAGCAGACGTGAGGCTGTCCACCGTAAGAGAAGCGTTGATTCAGCTGCTCTGGTGTTCTCAGGGATAAGAGTCTTTTAAGACAGACAGGGGGGCTGTAGGAGAAGACCAGGCAGAGCTGGAAGGTGGAGTTAAATGCGTGATCCGTTTAGAATCATTGCATTCCCACAAGTGATCCAGGTCCAGCACCCCTTGAATTTCATTGACCCTTATCTAGCACCAACTTAGTGCTGATCCTTAGTTGACTAAATTCTTGCACATAGAGTATAATAATAAAATCTCTGTGCTTAAATTCAACAAATTTAAGTGACATAATAGCAGCGTTCCAATATCTCAGGGGCTGCCACAAAGCAGAGGGGGTCCACGTATTCTCCAAAGCACCTGAAGGCAGGACTAGGAGTGACGGATGGAAACTAATCAAGGAGAGAAGCAACCAGGAAATAAGGAGGAATTTCCTGACAAAGCAATTAATCAGTGGAACAGAAGTTGCCTCCAGAAATTGTGGGTGCTCCAACACTGGAGGTTTTCAAGAAGAAATTGGACAACCATTTGTCTGAAATGGTCTATGACCTCCTACTAGAGCAGAGTGTTGGACTGGAAGACCTCCAAGGTCCTTTCCAATTTTGTTATTCCATTATTCTGAAGATTCCTGGTTCTTTGGACCTGACAGAGGCCCTGCAATTCACCACATGAGGCCCTTATTTGCAAGAAAGTAGACCCAGAAAGATACAAAATCCTTCCATTCTCCACCATTCAGTCAGAATTGAAGAAGCTTCTTGGATGAGAAGCAAAATTCTTCAAGGACATGTTTAAGTCCAGTTGCCTTTGGAAACAAAGTACATTTGGAACACCGAAAGATTGAAGTTTCAGTGTTTAAAATATCAAAGTTTCTTTGAGGTTATTTCAGGGGAACCCGTCCCAAAGAAGCAAGTGAAGGGTTCGTTCCAACTGGTTGCAGGTGTGGAGAGCTTGGGAAGTCTCCCTACTGATGGCCTGGAGAGCCTGGCAGCTGCTGTTGCTGCTGCTTCTCTTGGAAGACTGAGGCACGGTCTTCTCTCACCTCTTGGGTTCAACTTTCCCTTCGACCTCTTAGTGCAGTGATGGCTAACCTTTTTGCCGCCGCGTGCCAAAAGCGGGGGGAGTGGGGAGGGTCACGGGTATGTGTGCCCACATCCATAATTCAATGCGCCCCACCCTCCCACGCATGCACACATGACCCCCCCACACTTCCCCCTGCTTTTGGCACGCGATGGCACAGTGGATCCGGTAGGCCCAATTTTCCCCCTCCCCAGGCTCCAGAGGCTTTCTAGGAGCCTGGGGAGGGAAAAAACAGCCTTCCCCATCCCCCTGGAGGCCTTCCGGAGGCCAGAAACAGCCAGTTTTCTGACTTTGGGTGGGACCGGAAGGCCTGAAAATCAGTTGGCTGGTGTGCGCGTATCGCACTGGAGCTGAGCTAAGGCAACACTCACATGCCCACCAATATGGCTCCGCGCGCCATCACGGTCTTAGTGGAAGGAGGTCTTGAGGTTCATATCCTACATTCCTGGGTGAAAAAAACAAGTTGGATATTAACTTTTAACTAGTTGCACCCATTCCATAAGCACATTCTTTCACTATTGTCTGGCTGGTGCATTTTGTACCTGCTTGAGGTATGCACCTGTTTGCTGAGAAATTAAAAAGGCAAGGAATGTGTGTTGTTGTCATGCTGTTGACTCCCAGGAAGTGTGACCAATAAACAGAGGCAACTGAGGGGGTGGTCTAGCTTTGGAAAATGTTTTGGGGATTGTGCCCACCCAAAACACATACAATGGATAGTCCATTTCAAATCAAACCAAACCAAACCTTTATTGTCAATGCACAACATGTGTACAATGAGATTAAATGAGCTTCCCTTGGTGCAGCCCCTCCCCCCCAAATCACAGAATATATCACAATAACTCAATAAATAAAAGAAAAAGAAATCCCTAAACCCAAATAAGTAACTAACAGATATTCCCATATACATATATGTACTGTATATAACATTATATTATGTTACACCAGTATGAACATGATGTACCTTGCGCTGGCCCTGCAAGTCTATCATACTAAACCTAATTGTGGTGTGATGTTGCATTCAGAAGTCTGACGGCCCACAGATAAAAGCTCTATTTCCTTTGGGAGGGCAGAAGAAAGAACATACTGGTTCTAGGTGGACAGTGGAATTTACCATAGATAAATTAGAAAGAGAGTTGTTCTTTAACGGCTGAGAGAGAGAAGAACTGGGAAAAGGTTTCCCATTGTCATTTGACCAAGGAGTATCTTTTTGTGGCCACAGACCCGCAAGACTTAACTCAAGATTTAAATCATAACATTTCTTCAAACTTTCACAGACCCCTTTTGATGACCCAAAGTGGATCTGGGACCGGAGGTTGAGATTTACTGGACTAGAAGAGATCCAAGGTCCCTCCCAAACTTATTCTATGTTCCACAACCCTATTGAGAACCAGTCCCTGTCTCGTTTGCCTGTACGTTGATGTCTAGATGACCCAAAGGAGAAGGGATTGCTAACCCTTCAGAAGGCCAACTTGAACATCAGGCCTAACAAAACATGGTTCAATTCCAAGAACTCCAGGATTCTCCACTACTTTGGGTTTACTGTGTAAGTCACCCAGAGTTACGTGCGTGAAGACGGGAGGCTATGGTTATAAATCATATAAATAGTATGAAAAAGTAGATGTTACAAGATAGGTATTACCTGACTCATCAGTAGTATTAGTAAGAAGGATCTGAGTGTTTTGGTAGACCATTAATTAAGTATGAGCCAACAACGTGCAGCAATTGCCAACGCCAATGCAATCTTGTGATGTATCAACAGAAGTCACAATGCGAAGATCTCTATTGTGTTGCCCAGAGCTATCCATGGTTGGGAAATCTGGACCTTAAAATCAAGACAGGAAGAAAACTGATTTCAGTTGTGGTGCTAGAGAAGGCATCTGCATATTCCTTGGACAGTAAACTAACAAGCAAGCACAGAAGCGCATCGCACCAGACCTGTCACTGGAAGGCAAAATCATGAAACTGCATCTCACTTATGTTGGCTGTGTCTTGTAGGGAAATTCACTGGAGAAAGCAATAAAGTTGGGAAGAGTTTGTGGTCAAAGGAAACCAGGTCACCAAAGAACATGGTGGCTGGACACCATCAAAACTGACCCCGGCCAGAGCACAGAACGACTCAAGGAAGTAGGGCAAGATCGGAAGATGTGGAGACCACCTGGCCCACAGAGTCACCAAGAATCAGATGCAACTGAATGGATATCATCATCACCATCATCATCATCATCATCATCATCATCATCATCATCATCATCATCATCATTGTCGTCGTCATCGTCGTCATGGTGAACATTTTCCTCTTGGCTTCACTGGTGGAGCCACCCCTGGGATCCAGTTCTGGTCATCATAATACAAGAGGGATGCAATAGAGCTGGGAAGACTGCAGAGAAGAGTGACAAGAATGGTGAAGGGATTGCAGCTAAAGCTTAGAACATAGCAAGGGACCTTGGAGATCTTCTAGTCTAACCCCCTTCTTGAGTAGGAGACGCACTACCATTTCAGACAAACCTCCAGTGATGAACCACCCACAACTTCTGAAGGCAATTTCTGTTCCACTGATTAATTGTCCTCACTTTCAGGAAGTTTCTTTTTAGTTCTAGGTTGCTTCTCTCTAAGAGCAGTGAAAGTAACTTGGTATGTTTAGCCTACAGCAGAGAAAGTTGAGCCAAGACATAATAATAGTCTTCCAAAACATGAAGGGAAGGGAAGAGCAGACAGGGTGATTGATTCTCCGTAATGCCTGAGGGCAAGACAAGACAAGAACCAACAGGTGGAAGCTTAGAAAGGGAAATCCAGACGTCAAAGAATACCTGTCTGATGCCCCCATCTTTTTTTTTCTTTCCTCCTGCTGCTATCCTGGTTTGATATGATGAATGAACATCTACTCTATTCTGTCTAGGTTAAATCTGAGCTTTTTTTTCTTTGTCTAGACCCTGACAGTGTCTAGAACCAGGCCTCAGGGTTGGAGATAGATGAGCTGCGGTGGTGCAATGGTTAGAGTGCAGTACTGCAGGCTCCTTCTGCTGACTGCTGGCTGACTGCAATTTGGCAGTTCGAATCTCACCAGGCTCAAGGTTGACTCAGCCTTCCAGCCTTCCGAGGTCGGTAAAATGAGGACCCAGATGGTTGGGGGCAAATATGCTGACTCGGTAAACTGCTTAGAGAGGGCTGGGAAGCACTGTGAAACGGTATATAAGTCTAAGTGCTAGTGCTAAGTGCTATTGTCAGCACTATGTTGTTGATGCCTCATCCTAAACTGGTGGCTGACCTCTTTCAATCTTGGAGGTCTTCTAGTCCAGGGGTGGGCAAATGTGGCCCTTTTACAACCTGTGGACTTTAACTCCCAGAATTCCTGAGACAGGTATTCTGGGAGTTGAAGTCCACAGGCCATAAAGGGGCCATATTTGCCCACCCCTGTTCTAGTCCAACCCTCTGCTCAAGCAGGAGACCTTTTCAGACAAAAGCTCTGTTCCACTGATTAGTTGTTCTCACTGTCAGAAAATTTCTCCATATTTCTACCGAAGATCACAGTTCTCTTACCTATGACCTTTATTACACTTCTATGTTTTCATGAGATACATCATTTTGTATGGATTAATTATAGTTTTCCTCCTTTTTGCATGCAAGCCAGATCAACTTGGTTTCAGTTGGGGGAGGCATTTAATAAGTAGGTAGGTAGGTAGGTAGGTAGGTAGGTAGGTAGGTAAATAGGTAGATGATAGATAGATAGATAGATAGATAGATAGATAGATAGATAGATGTCACATGGACAAGAAGGAGAAGAGACGTTCTCAGCCAGGGTGGTGTTTGGGCCCACCACAAATGGTGAGAGGAACTTGATGGAGCAACTGGACTTCTTGTTTTCTTCTGGGAATTGCTCCCAGGATGGGCTTTCTAAGGATTGACCATGCTTTGAGCATAGGAGACCTATCTCTTCAGACTTTGCTCTCTCAGGTTTCGCCAGATTCCAAAATCTTTCCTGCTCTGCTCCACCCATTTAGAAAATGGGGAAGGTCCACCTGAGCTTTGGCTCTGTCCTTCCAGGGAGAGAAAACCTCCCTCCCCGCTTTTTCTTCAAGCTGCCAAAGACTCCACCCACACCCCACCATGGCTTATAAGGGAGGGATTGCTGGTGGCCAGCAGACTGAGTCAGGATGCCATCTGCTAGCCTTCTCCTGCTAGTGGGGCTCCTCAGCCTCTGGATTGAGTTGACACCTATCTCTGGATGGAAGATGCATGGTAAGAGACACCTTTTCTTTCCTCCGATGAAAGGACAAACCTCAGCATCTGTCCCCAGATGTTTGAAGTTTATTCATGAAGCAGTTTTTCTACTTTGAGATAGATACTATTTCCTGCTTTATGAGCTTGACCTTCTGAGGCAAAGACAGGCTACTTCTGAACATGGGTGTCTATTTAGACAGCATGAAAAGAGTGGTCACCTTGAATTGTTTACAGTTCAGAGTCGGACAGAGAACCTCAGCTAGGTGTTGTCCAGATCAAGGTTAACTTCTGGCCTTCATAAATGCCATTTATGGGAACTTTTGTGTGAAATTTACATTCCCACTTTACTCTAATGCCTGCTCCTCTTTTCTCAACTTCTTCTGGTCCTTGTCTCAAGATGTTCTGCAGATTGCTTAAGTTTCTTAAGACAAGTTTATCATTCTTAAGGATCTTGTTATATGATATGAATAGAATTTTAAGGATGGAAGGAATAATGGACGCTTGAGATCTGGAATTCAAAATGCCAAAAAACTACCTCAGGGAGGAAAGTCCACTGCTGTCCAAAGACATCTGCTCCATTTCTAAGATCTCCCTCCAAATGTCTAACGCAGACCTGTTTGTGGGATCCTTGTTCTTCTTTGAGTTTGCTTGTTTTCTTGCAGATGTTTCTTTACCTAGCAAAATGGTTATGGTTATGATATTACTTAGTTGGGTAATGAAATGTTTGCAAGAAAACAACCAAGCACCCACAGTCCTTTCCCTCCTCCTCCTCCTCTCTACAAACCCTCTTCCTTCTAGCATTGATAATGTTACTTAGTTGGCTGTGAAACCACTGCAAGAAAACAGCCAAGCTTAGAGAGCACCAAGGGCCCCAGCTGTCATCCTCCTCCTCCTCCTCCTCCTCCTCCTCCTCCTCCTCCTCCTCACAAACCCTCTTCCTTCTAACATTGATGATGTTACTTAGTTAGGTCATGAAACATCTGCAAGAAAACAGCCAAGCTCAGAGAGCACCAAGGGCCCCAGCTCTCGTCCTCCTCGTCCTCCTCCTCTCCACAAACTCTCTTCCTTCTAGCATTGATGATGTTACTTAGTTGGGTTGTGAAATATCTGCAAAAAAACAGCCAAGCTCACAAAGCACCAAGGACCCCAGCTGTTGTCACCGTCCTCCTCCTCCTCCTCCTCCTCCTCCCTCCTCCTCCTCCTCCTCCTCCTCCTCCTCCTCCCCCACTTGCTTCTAACACTGATGATGTACCCTAATTGGGTAATGAAATGTCTGCCAGAAAACAACTGAGCTCAGGGAGCATCAAGTACACCAAATACATCACACTATTCCTCCTCTTCTTCCTCTCCACAAGCCCCACTACCTTCCAGCACTGATGATGTACTTAGTTTGGTACCTTAGTTCCTCTGTCCTAAGGTCTTCCATGGAAGCCTTCAAAAGAATTTAGAAATTACTTTACAGCCGGAATGTTCAATCTTGGCAAGTTTAAGACTTATGGACTTCAACTCCCAGAATTCCTGGCTGGGAAATTCTGGGACTTGAAGTTCACAAGTCTTAAATTTGCCAAGACTGGACGCCCCTGCCTTACAATAACAGATATTAGATATAAGGAGCACCTGAGCCTTGGGGGCCTGCAGTGGCCTCCTGTTTCTGTGAACAATTTGGAGTGTCGGGGTCTCCTTTTGACGCAAGAATGACTCAAGTCATCTGAAGGACACCCCTCCTGTCAGGAACCCGTCCATCTCTTGAGAGAGCTGTTCCCAAGAGCCCTCTTGTGCATTTCTACAACTCTGAAGGCATGTCAGGTTACTCTGTTTAACAACAACAACAGCAGAATGTTAGCCAAGACATTTTTTGTCAACTTGGTGCCAGTTTTGGTAATTACTGCATTGATTCTAAGGAACCGACGGATGGATTCCTTTGCAATCTTCTCTAACATCTTTCTCAATACTGACGTCAGACTGATTAGTCTTCTTGTTTTTGAAGATGGGGAAATTTCCTGTCCTCCTCTTGGGTTTAACGCTTCTAAAACTAACATCCAATACTAACATGGGCTCCCCAGGCCCTCCCCACCCATTTTTTTATGCATTGCAATGCCTTGCATGTTCTCCATGTGGAGCAAGGATCACGGTCTGTTGAATGAGAAAGAATTATACAAGGAGAGATACTTGTCCTGTATTCATTTGTCCCAGTTTGTCCAGGAGAATCTCAGGTTTCAACAGAAAAGAATCTTTGCAAATGACAGGACCTTTAGTGCTCTCTGAACTCGGTGGTTTTCTTGCAGACGTTTCATGACCCAACTAGGTAACATCATCAGTGCTGGAAGGGAGAGGGATTTGTGGAGAGGAGGAAGAGGAGGAGAAGGTGAAGGCGAAGGAGAAGAAGACTATGGACTCCTTGATGGTCTCCAAAGTTGGTTGTTAACTTGCAGATTTTCATTACCCAACTAGGTGACATCATCAGTGCTTAGACGGGAGTGGGGTTGGCCCACTGGAGGAGGAGGGAACGAGGAGGAAGGAGGAAGTTTCCTCTCCAGATAGTTTGGTACTCAGCATCATCAATGCTGGTGTTAGTTCTATCATGATAAGGCACAGTAGCCCTGATGACGTCCCCTAATTGGGTAATAAAAAGTCTTCAAGAAAAAAAAAACCCAACCTCAGAGATCGCCAAGGAACCCACAACCTTGGTGTGGGGGATCCTAGAGGTTCATAGACTAGATGCCCAGCGTTGGGCCTGAGGTTGGAGAAGCATGGTAGAGATCTCCATACTCCTTTGGCCTCTCCTTCCAAGCCAACGAACGAATCCCCTTTTCGCCACAGAAAGATGTCACCAACCTCTTGACCATGGACAGTGTGATAAGGAAGAGATTCGCTTTTACTACGATCACAGTTATAAGAAGTGTAAGAAATTCTATTATCACGGCTGTAAAGGAAACGACAACAATTTTGAGAGTTTCAAGGAATGCCTTCACTTCTGTAAAGGTAAATGGGGAAGGGGCTTTGGGGATGGGTTGGCCTGACAAGGACCACCAGTGTGGGCAAAAAGGGAGCAGCCTCTGGCCCCACAATTAGAGAAAATTTAATTTAGAAGAGAGCTGGAAGGGACCTTGGAGGTCTTCTAGTCCAACCTCCTGCTCAAGCAGGAAAACGTATATAGCAATAGCAGTTAGATTTATATATCGCTTCACAGTGCTTTTTACAGTCCTCTCTAAGTGGTTTACAGCCTCTTGCCCCCAACTCTTTGGATCCTCATTTTACCCAACTCAGAAGGATGGAAGACTGAGTCAACCTTGAGCCTGGTGAGATTTGAACTGCCAAATTGCAGGCAGCCGGCAGAAGTAGCCTGCAGTATTGCACTCTGACCACTGCATCACCACAGCTGATACAGCATTTCAGACAAGTGGCTGTCCAGTTTTTTCTTCAAAACCTCCAGTGATGGAGCACCCACAATTTCTGGAGGGGGAGGGTTCTAGGTTGCTTCTCTCCTTGATGAGTTTCCATCCATTGCTTCTTGTCCTGCCTTCTGCTGCTTTGGAGAATAGGGGGACCCCTTCTTCTTTGGGGCAGCCCCACAGATATTGGAATACGGCTATCATGTTCCCCCTCCCCCTCCTTCTTTTCTCTAGACTGGCCAAACCCAAATCCTGCAACCGTTCCTCATATGTTTTAGCCTCCAGGCCTTTAATCATCTTCAGTTGCTCTTCTCTGCAACTTTTTCCAGGGTCTCAACATCCATTTTACATCGTGGCAACCAAAACCAGATGTAATATTTCAAAATTTCTGTTGCTCGAGACAGTTGTTAAGTGAATTTTGCCCTGTTTTACAGCTTTTCTTGGCACCATTGTTAAGTGAATCACCGCAGTAATTAAGTGAGTAAGACAGTTAAGTGAAGCTGGCCTCCCCCATTGAATTTGCTTGTCAGAAGGTCGCAAACGGGGATCCCATGACCCCCGGACACTGAGACCACGGAGAGCCTTCTCTGTGGGGGCACCTACCCTCTGGAATCAGTTACCCCCAGAGATAAGGAGAATCCAAGACCTCGGTGCCTTCCGTCGTGCCCTTAAAACCCACTTTTTCCAGCAAGCCGGGCTGGTTTAAGAAGAAATTTTTAAAAGTTTTAAATTGGTTTGTGATTTTTAATTTTTGGGCCAAATTTATATATATTTTAATGTTTTTTAATATTTGTATTTCATGTTCTTAATTCTGGCTGTACACCGCCCTGAGTCCTCAGGGAGAAGGGCGGTATATAAATTGGAAATAAAATAAATAAAATAAAATAAATAAATACGAGTCAGTTGCCAAGCATCCGAATTTTGATCACAGGGATGTTGCAACGGTCGTAAGTGTGAAAAACAGCCATAAGTAACTTCTTTCACTGCCGATGTAATATGAAACAGTCACTAAATGAATGGCTATAAGTCCAGGACCACCTGTACTCTTTTCTGGTTTGACTATGGGTTTTCTAACAATGGAGAATATGTTGGATTTCTCCTAGGCTGAGGGTCAACTGAATCTGCCTACTTGTCACTTAACTCCTCATTGCCCTCAGAAATCTGGGCAGATTCCAGAAGCTCCAAGGAGTGGACAGTTCTTGGGTAGGCCACCGTTTCCTTGGGGGAGAGAGCCAGGGTTTTCTTCTTCCACCCTGGCCCCACTGGATGTGGGGAGGGCACTCTGGGGTGTGTGAAACCAGCAGAGGATGCTATCTCCCTTTCCTGAAGAACAATGGAAAGAGAGGTGAATCCACAAAGAAGATGGGGTCAAATTATTCTCCAAAGCACCAGAAGGCAAGGCAAGAAATAATGCTTGGAAACTAATCAAGGAGAGAAGCAACCTGGAATTAAACTTCCTAACAGTGAAGACAATTCACCAATGGAACAACTTGCCTCCAGAAGTTGTAGGTGCTGCATCCCTGGAGGTTTTAAAGAAGAGGCTGGACAGTCACTTATCTGAAATGGTATCACCTGCTTGAGCAGGGGGCTGGACTAGAAGACCTCCAAAGTCCCCTTCTAGCTTGATTCTATTCTAATATGTTCTTCATTTAGGTATGGCTAGCCTAGTGAAAAGAAGGCTCAGGAGTGACAGGATAGCATCTTCCAATATTTGAGGGGCTGCCACAAAGAAGAGGGGCTCCAACTAGTTTCCAAAGGACCTGAAAGCAGAACAAGAAGCAATGGATGGCAACTAATCATGGAGAGAAGCAACCTGGAACTAAGGAGAAATGTTGTGATAGTGAGAATAATTAACCAGTGGAACAGCTTGCCACCAGAAGTTGTGGGTGCTCCAATCCTGGAGGTTTTCAATACTCTTCTTGAAAACCTCCAGACAAATCTGGAGCGATTTGTCCAGAACACTATAGGGTCTCCTGCTTAGACTAGAAGACCTCCGAGGTCCCTTCCGACTGTGATATTCTGTTATTTTCCTCTTTGAAGGAAACAGGATTGCACATTTCCACTTCAGGATCCCAAATCAAGAGAGAGGAGCTCAGTTCTAGGGTCCAGCCCAGGGTCCTGAGAGGTTGACCCCACAGTAAGGAAATGGCTGTCCATGGCTGTGTTTTGTGGGGCAGTAGGGGATGGGGGAGGTAGGATCCTGTCTCATCCGGATGCACGGAGATGTTTTGGCTGCTGAAAGATTCAGAGATGGGCTCTTGCTTGATCTGGGATTCCAATTCCAGAGGATTTTCTCAGCCTTGGGACTGTCTGTTTTGCAGAAAAACCTGGGGTTTGTCCCAAGGCCCCTTCGGGCAAGATCACGATTTGTCCTGTGTTGTGTGGAAGTGACTGGGAGTGTGATGGGAAACAGAAGTGTTGCCCTTATGCTTGCAAGATTGACTGCATGGATCCTGTCTAAGGTAAGAGCACTGAGTTTTATACCTCTCTGTAGGGATTCATAGATCCTAGAATGGACTGGATCCAAGCGGATCTCTCTGGAATCCTTGAGGCCACCTTGCATCTGTCCCTTGGATGAGCCAAGTCCCAAATATGATAATGAGGAAAGGAGAGCATCCCAGTCTTGCCTTGAGAACCTCAAGGTCTCCGTCCTTCTGAGGTGGGACAGGCCTCCCCCAATCCCACCTTAGAAGGACAGGCAGAGGGGATGGAGGGGGTGAAGTTCTCTATCAGCTGAGCCTCAGGAGAGGGTCTGATTCTGGCTTAGGAAGATTGAGAGGGGGGCCTCTTTCACTGCAGAGAACCCGATCTTCTTTGCTCCTTTCCCTCTCGTGGCAAGGAAGACCCTGATCCTGCCTTTTATTTGATATTTGTTCTAAATTCCTCTCCTTGACTATGTTGAGGCCACAAAGGTTGCAGGAAGCTCAAGGCCCATGGCTTGGATTCATTCTCTGATGCCTTTGGGAAGCCCTATCACCGTCATCACTACCTCTTAGGAGGCCAGAGGGAAGGAGGTAGGCCTGGAGGGGTGTGTGAAAGGTCCAGAAAGCTCTGAAGGAGAGCAGATGCTGACCGATGGTCACATCTTTGGGAGCGCAGGCCCCTGGGAGGATGACCCTCCACCCGTGGGAATCCTCACACAATCCCAGCATGTGGGGCCTGGCAGTGCTTCACTGCCATTTGGCTGTGGACTGGTGACACTTAGGTGACATAAAGACCAATGGTTTGGTCAGGTGAGCCACCTACAAACTCCAGCTCTCAGAGAGGTCCTCTAGACCCGTCACTGATTGTCCAACAACCTTTTGAATTCTCCGTTGTTATAAGATTAAGCAGGGCAAGGCTTAGGGCCGCCTGGTTGTAAGAGGTAAGCAGAGTGTGGAAGACAACGCTGAGCAGCAACACCCTAACTCCGTGATGGCGAACCTTTACGCACGGTCACTCATGCCCTCGTCACCTCCCGTCTGGACTATTGTAACGCTCTCTACATGGGGCTCCCCTTGAGGAACACCCGGAGGCTCCAACTGGCGCAGAGTGCGGCCGCGCGGGTGGTTATGGGAGCGACGTGGAGTTCCCATGTAACACCTCTCCTGCGCGAGCTGCACTGGCTCCCGGTGGTCTTCTGAGTGCGCTTCAAGGTTTTGGTTATCACCTTCAGAGCGCTCCATGGCTTAGGACCTGGTTATTTACGGGACCGCCTGCTACCACCAATAGCCTCCCACCGACCAGTACGCTCCCATAGAGAGGGGCTCCTCCGGGTGCTGTCGGCCAAACAGTGTCGACTGGTGGCCCCCAGGGGGAGAGCCTTCTCTGTGGGGGCACCTACGATCTGGAACGAGCTCCCCCCGGAGATACGGAGGATCCCGGATCTGCGTACCTTCCGTCACGCGCTCAAGACTTTCCTATTTCATCAAGCTGGCCTGACCTAAGTCTTTCCCCTTTTTAAATGGAAATTTTAAATTTGGTTTTAAATTATTGGGGTTTTAAATTTGTTCAGCCAAATTATTTAATTCGTTTTAGTTTATTTTAAATTTTGTATTTATATGTTTTATTCTATGGCTGTTCACCGCCCTGAGTCCTTTGGGAGTACGGCGGTATACAAATTCAATAAAATAAATAAATAAAATAAACCTATGGCATGCGTGCCACAGGTGGCACATGGAGCCATATCTGTGGGAACGCGAGTGTTGCCCTAGCTTAGCTCCAGTGCGCTTGTGCATGCCGGCCAGTTGATTTTCGGGCCTTCTGGACCCACTGGAATTTTGGAAACAGGTCATTACTGGCCTCCGAAGGGCCTCCGGGGGTATGGGGAAGGCTGTTTTCACCCTCCCCAGGCTCCAAGAAAGCCTTTGGAGCTTGGGGAAGGTGAAAAACAGGCCTACCGGGCCCACTGTGCCATCATGTGCCAAAAGTGGGGGGAGCGCCGGGGGATCGTGTGTGCATGCGTATGGGGTGGGGCGCATTGAATTATGGGTGTGGGCACGCACACGTGCGACACTCCCATGCTCCCCCCCCGCTTTTGGCACGTGATGGCAAAAATGTTAGCCATCACTGCCCTAACTGATTCTCTTTCTACAGATTCCTGTCAGTCAAGATTCACCATTCAACTTTTCCAAATTGTGTCTGGTGCCTCAACTTGGACCAAAGACCCAGCAGCTGCCATGCGGACCCTTCCCCTCAAATACATGGTGGACTTATTCTTCTTTTCTCAAAATAAAGGCATTGGGTCCCTGCTTCCCACGGAGTGGTGTTTTTTTCTGTCCCTTGGAGGCTCTCCCCCTCCCCTTTATGCATGTCCTCCACATGTCTGAGGATCAGGGGCTGATCAAACAAGGGATCTCTCAAAGGCTGAGGTCTGGGGATTCGGGAATCTTCTGTGTGTGATCTTCTGACTAACGAACCCAATAAAAGCAGACTGTCAGAGTTCCAAGTAACACCCCCAACGAAAGAAGACTCGGAGGCTTGAGTTTCCTCAAAGCTCCATTTTATGTCATATTGGCACATCTGGGAAAACCCAAATCTAAACATTTCCAGGTCTTCCCCACCCAAAAGAAAGTTTAAGTCCCTGCCCAGCACCCACATGTCCATCACATGATCCAATCAGGCACCATCCAAAACTGGAAATGCCTCTCAGTCACCTCATCACAGCTGCAGGGCAAAGTGGCCTTGACTCTCTGAGAAAAGAATGTTATTTTGACTACATATCACCCATACTCTATACAATCCCCCCTCCCATTTTCCTACAGTAGAAAATGTGGCAGGCCTGAAGGCCCAAATGTAAAAGATGGTTCCAGTTCTGACACTTTCAGGAACTTTAAAATCCCAAAAGCAAAACTTTACTGAGTACATCATTTCAGCCCTAAAGAAAGCAAAACCAACTCTAAATTTTCCCATGCAACCCTGCATAGTTAAAAATGAATTTCATCCCCTCCTCCCATGAAACGGGTCACATGGTCCAGTTAGGAATCAGCCTTTTGTTTTGATAGCAGTTCACTTCTTGGCCGGCATCTACAGAAGTGTCCTTGGCTCTCATGGTAGAAGTTTGTAGCCCCCACATTCCATCTCACCCTTCCCTCCCCCACACCCCAGTTCTTTGGCAACTTGGAAAGCAATAATGGTCACAAGAAGCTTAAGCGTTGAACTTGCCACAGGACCATTCAATGCTGATGGGCCTACAGGCTGCTGGGACTCCACACTTACCCCAGCCTTCAGAACTTTTAACTTGAGAAAGGTTCAAATTTAAAGCAAGACAAAACTGGCTGCAATTCCCTTGTCCTTCTCTTAAATTATCCCCTCTTGAATTGTCCGGTGGTGAGTTGGCCACAGCAAGTTGTCCCATCCTGGCAAGGACAGGGGCACCCAGCTCTGGCCATCCCCCTGAGACCTAATTCAGCATATATCTAGTTGAAAATCAAACCATCTTTAGTAAATTCACTACAAGACAAGGTGAAAAAAGGCTTAAAAAGTGGATTTTCCTTTCTTTTTTTTAAGCATATGGCAAAAATGTTAAAAAGCACATCACAATTACCGTCGCAATGAGCAAATATGAAACTATTTAGCCTTTTTACAAATTCAAAGGTAGACTATTTATATTATCAATACATGATGGAGTTATAGAAGAGAAACTCTCTGGCATTTCCCTGATATGCACACAGAGGGCGCTGCTCCACAATATGTCACACTGTCTTCTTTGGAGCACTACAACTACCTTCCAACGAGAACTTTCCCCATTTATGGAGGAGGCCAACACACCTGCTATCTTGAGTTCTAAGACTATTGAAGATTGACTTACGGGGTAGACAGAATCAGAATAACAGAGTTGGGAGGGGACTTTGTGGGTCATCTAGTCCAACCCGCTGCCCAAGCAGGAGACCCTACACCATTTCTGACAGATGGCAGTCCAATCTCTTCTTGAAAGTTTCAAGTGATGAAGCTCTCACAACGTCTGAAGGCAATTTCTGTTCCATGGGTTGATTGCTCTTATTGTCAGAAAGTCCCTCCTTATTTCCAGGTTGAATCTCTCCTTGGTCAGTTTCCATCCATTATTCCTTGTCTGGCCTTGGGTGCTTTGGAAAATAGCCTGCCCCCCTCCTCTCTATGGGAGCCCCTCAGATATTGGAAGACTGCTCTCCTGTCTCCCCTAGTCCTTCTCTTCCCTAGACTAGCCATGCCCAGTTCCTGCAACCGTTCTTCATATATTTTAGCCTCCAGCCCCATAATCATCTTTTTGAATCCTTTGGGTTCAGCTGTAAAGCTGGGAATGGTTGGCCACTCTGGAGTTGCTCTTCAGAGTGGACCTTCAACTAAGTGGGACAACTGCTAACCAGTCATGGTAGCCTTGATTTGTCTCCTATCTCAAGAGACGAAGGCTCCGGAATTTCATTGGAATTCCTTAAGGAGTTGTCAGCATTGAAGCAACAAGAAAAGAAAATGGGGGTCCAACTCTAGAAGAATTTCTCACTCTTGGGATCGTCTATTTTGCAGGAAAACCCGGGTATGTCCCACACCCTCTCCAGGCACAATCACTACCTGTCCCCAGTCTCCCCTAGTCCTTCTCTTCTCTAGACCAGGGCTCTCAAACTCACGTCCTCACTTCATCGTCACGTGATATATCAGGACTTTCCCCCCCTTCACTAAATTGGGGGTGGGGGTGGTCAGTACATGATGCATCCGACCCGTGGTCCGTGATTTTGACACCTCTGCTCTAGACCAGCCAAACCCAATTCCTGCAACCCTTTTGTAGTTCCTATTTTAACCTTGTCTTGAACCAAATAATGAAATATACAAATATACATAAAAAACCCTTGGTCAACTCTACTCTTCCCCTCGAGATCACCCAGGGCCCCGTTTATGAGCAGATGCAGCCCACTAATTTTATTAAGCACACCACGGCAACTGAACACAACAGAATTTGTACAATTGCTGGGACTTAGACATGGCACGCTGTTTGTGTAGTCCACTGCAGTTTTTGCAATTTCGTGTACAAGAACGACTGTCTACGGGACATCCTCAAGGGCAGCCACGTCACGAGGATACTTTTTTTCAGCGTCTAAGCAATGATGGACCCCTATTTTCCAAAGCACCTGAGGGCAGGAAGAGAAGCAACGGATGGTAACTGATCAGGGAGAGAAGCAACCTGGAATTAGGGAGAAACTTCTTGACAATGAGGATGTCACGTGTGTTTTTGGACCCACTGTGCATGCGCAAAACCTTCTGCACATGTGCTGAGGGTAAAAAACAGGTTACTTCTTGGTTAAAACCAGGAAGTAAAGACATCCGGGCAGGTGGGCGGAGTGTCGCGCTCCTGCCGCTACCGGTTCTCTGAAGCACCCGCTGCCACCGCTACCCGTTCGCCCGAACCTGTGCGAACCGGTAGCATTTCACCCCTGCAATGGATGGAAACAGCTATTTGCTCTTTATTTTGGATTCTTTACATTGTTAAGTTTATGATTAAAATGTTCCTTCACTCAGGTTTGAAGGAAAACTTGTCATTCCAAAGATTTCTAATAACTTAGAAGTAGCTAATGAGAAATTTCTAAAACATGATTAGAAATTGACATTTGCAAACTCAGTGTCCTTTAAAAGTATCTGCCACAAATGTGAGCAAGATGGCTAATCCCATCATCTCCGTGTCCAAAGCCATGGAAAACATCTGTCTTGTTATCTCCTTATGAGGAGCAGCTGTCTGAAGCGTATGTGGGCAATCTCCTGTCTTATCCAGAGATGTTCCAAGGAATCAGCTTACTTATACCGATATCCCTCACATCTCTAAAACTCTCCCACCCTCACACATATCCCAGTTTCTCCCCATTCCACCCTCAATTTATGGGTCCAGTGGACAGTCTCATCTCCCAAGGAGGCATCAGAGGCTGCAGTGGGTAGATGCCCAGATCTGTGGGGAACAAGATGGAAGATCTGGTACAAGAGTAGTGGGGTTCTGGACTGCTTCCTCCTGGACCACAACACAACTACCAGTTGCAGCCTGGCTGGTCACTAGATAAGGTCCCTGCCCCCGCACCCTGGGGGGCTCAACCTTTGCTGCTGCCCATTTTCAGATTCAGGTTCATTCTCCTCATCAGAAGGATCCTGATTCTAGTACCCAAATTCAGTTGGTGTGGAATTCTCTTCTCCCAGGCAAGACGGAAGAGTTTAGTTTTGTGTTTGGTCAACTGTAGAGTTCCCGTCAAGATCACCCAGGGCCCCGTTTATGAGCAGATCCAGCCCACTAATTTTATTGAGCACACCACGGCAACTGAGCTCGAACACAACGGAATTTGTACAATTGCTGGGACTTTGACATGGCACCTATAACAGGCATACTGAGGCCGACTACTCCAAACGTCTGGGATACCTTCAGGGGCCAAACATGGGGGGATTCCCATGAGCTCTACTTGCATACAGGTGTTAGCGCATAGAATAATAGGGTTGGGACCTTGGAGGTCTTCTAATTGAATCCCCTGCTCAAACAGACAACCCTATACCAGGGGTGTCTGACTTTGGAACTTTAAGGCAGCATGGGTTTCTCGGGAATTCTGGGAATTCTGGGAGTTGAAGTCCACAAGTCTTGAGTCCACTCCTGCCCTAGACCATTGCAGACAAAGGGCTGCCCAATCTCTTCTTAAAGCCCTCCAGTGATGGAGAACCCAAAGGTGCTTGTTCAGGAGGCAACTGGACTTTCTTCTTTGAAGACGTTTCGCTTCTCATCCAAGAAGCTTCTTCAGCTCTGACAGGAATGGAAGGATTTATATTCCTTGCAGACAGCTGGTCATTTGCATCCTTCTAGAGAGTCCTTGAGTCCACTTGGAGGTTTCTCTGTGTCCTCAGGGTCAAAGGGTTCCTGTAGTCTGCAAGTTTTTCCTCTGGAAATCCATTCCTGCTCTCACACCATTCATTTGGGTCTTCATCCCAAATTCAAAGAAAAAACAAGGAAGTCCAGCTGCCTCCTGAAAAAGCTCCTTTGGGACAACCATGACCTGGAAGAGGGAGAATCTCTACAGACTTCCAGTGATGAAGCACCTACAACGTCTGGAGGCAACTGTTCCACTGATTAATTGTTCTCAGTCAGGATTTCCCCCCTTAATTCCATGTTGCTTCTCTCCCTGATCAGTTTCCATCCGTTGCTTCTCGTCCTGCCTTCAGGCGCTTTGGAGAATAGGGGTCCATCATTGCTTAGACGTCATCAGTCTGAAAAAAGTATCCTCGTGACGTGGATGCCCTTGAGGAGGTCCCGTAGACAGTCGTTCTTGTACACGAAATTGCAAAACGACAGTGGACTACACAAACGGCATGCCACGTCTAAGTCCCAGCAATTATACAGATTCTGTTGTGTTCAGTTGCCGTGGTGTGCTTAATAAAATTAGTGGGCTGCATCTGCTCATAAACGGGGCCCTGGGTGATCTCGAGGGGAAGAGTAGAGTTGGCCAAGGGTTTTTTATGGATATTTCTGTACTTGGTTCAAGACAAGGTTTTAAAATAGGAAATGCAAAAGGGTTGCAGGAATTGGGTTTGGCTGGTCTAGAACAGGGGTGTCAAAATTACGGCCCACAGGTCAGAAGCATCATGTTCTGGCCACCCCCACCCCCAATTTAGTGAAGGGGGAAAAAGTCCCGATATATCACGTGACGATGAAGTGATGACGTGAGTTTGAGAGCCCTGGTCTAGAGAAGAGGAAGACTAGGGGTGACATGATAGCAGGCTCCAGTATTTGTGGGGCTGCCAAAAAGAAGAGGGAGTCAAGCTATTCTCCAAAGCACCAGAAGGCAAGACAAGAAACAATGGATGGAAACTGATCAAGGAGAGAAGCAACCTGTAATTAGGGAGAAACTCCCTAACAATGAAGACAATTTACCAGTGAAACAGAAGTTGCCTCCAGAAGTTGTGGGTGCTCCAACACGGGAGGTCTTCAAGGTGGGATTGGACAACCATTTGTCTGGAATGGCATAGGGTCTCCTGCTAGAAACAGGGGGTTGGACTAGAAGACGTCTGAGGTCCCTCCCAGCTCTATTCTGATTAAAATTAAGAAGCTATGGACCTTCCTGTCACCTGAGCATAGAGCAGCTGTGGTCTGCCCAAAGGATGAGTTGGCCCAAGAGTGGGCATGATGTTCTGTCATGGCTTCTCCTCTGGAAGTCCTCATTGCCTCATTGGTCTAAGAAAAACTGCACACGGGACAATGTACACAGCCTACCATAGCTGCCATAGGCAGGAACCCAGCACTCAGTCAGGCAACATAAGGGCAACACTTCTGTCTCCCAGGACATTTCCAGTCGCTTTCACACTTCACAGGACAAATAGTGATTGGTTACCCCTGCCTCAGTTGCCAAGCCCTTCATCCCAAGAGAGACAGCCACTGTGGTTCCCGCTCTCCTCATGGAGGGAGGAAGAGAAAGGGCTCTGGTAGCACCTTTACGGTGGCCTCCATACACCTGTAGAAATCGAAGCAATAAAAAAATAAATGTACCCACTGGCCACAGATCCTGCACACCTTGCTGGGTGCCCACCTGGCTGCTTTCTTTCCTCTTTGCCTGGCATACAGAGAAGCCTGTGCCAGTCCCACCCACCCAAGGAGCCAGCACAGACATAGGGGGAACTTGCTGGAGTGTCTCCCCCTCTTCATACAGGAGCCCATCAACTGTTTTGCCACTTTAACTGCGTCCCCTTTTATATCCAGCGCCTGGATTCTCACTCCTCCCGCAGACGGATAGTGCATCTACCTGTTTTTCTGTGTTCACACCACACACTGGATCTTAAACTAACCACAGAGCAACACACAAAGCCACAAAAATTAATCCAAATTTCTCCAGCTGTGGGACGCACTGGCCGAGGAGCCCCCAACCTTCTAATTAGACCAGGATGGCCAAGGATCAAGTGGAGAGAAGCTGGCACAAAAAAACCCATCTCCGGTTCTCCCCCTCTTCCATGGGGGGTGGGGAGATGGGAGGAGGGTCCGTGGTTGACACAGCCTTCCACCCCCTTCCCTCTCCCCGCGCACCATAAAGGGCCCCGCCGGCCGTCGGGCTGCAGACGGCTGTGCTCGGCTGAGTTTGGCGCTACCCGCAGGACCCGAGAGCGGAGAAGGAGAGACCCTCGCCCACCTCGCCTCAGGAGCCATGAGGGTCCTAGCCCCGGCGGCCCTCCTCCTCCTCCTGCCGCTCCTGCCGCTGCCCTGCTCGTGGGCCGGCCCCAGGAAAGGGAAGGGCAAGAGCCCCGTAGTCTTCCCCGGGGACGCGGTCAGCCGCATGACGGACCGGGAGCTGGCCGCCGTGAGTCTCCAAGCTGCGCACTCTGGCGGGTCCTCCGCTGGGCAGAGCCCCCCCCGCCTTTCGTACTCCGCGAGAGCGAGATAGAGACCGAGCGCGGCTCTCCCTCCGGGGCGCCCGGCGCTTTAACTCGCGCTGCGCTCCGCTCGCCCGACCCAGGTCAGATGGCGCGAGTGCGGGCGCCGTTGCGGGAAGCCAGCCCCGCCAGCGACTCCCAGCCGGCTCTTCATTCGGTGCCAGTGCCTGACTGGGGACCCCGGGGATCCGCTCACGGGATGAGGGTTGGGGTCAAGGCCAAGACAGGAGATCAACCAAGCTCCACCCAGCCGCCGCTTGGCTCCCTTCCCCGGCCGAGAGCCCCCCGCTAGCGCCCGCTCCTCTCTCTCCGCAGCGCTACCTCCAGCTTTGCGGGTACTTGACGGCGACCAACCCCGGGGGGCAGGTGAAGCTGAGGACCCCCGTCAAGGCGATGCAGAAGCAACTGGGCTTGCCGGAAACAGGGAAGCTGGACGCCCCCACCCTCACGGCCATGCGGGCGCCCTGCTGCGAATTCTCGCACGTGGCTCTCTTAAAGACCTTCCAGGACTACTCCAAGTGGAACCACACAGCCCTCACCTACCGGTGAGCGAGCGGGCAGGCGCCGTCGGCGGGTCCACGGCCCCCGTGGAAGACTGCAAGCGGAGGGGACCCCAAGATTCCTGGGGGGCATCAGGTTGGGGAAGGCTGCCCTCCCCTGAGGCAGATCTTCACTTTCCCGGGGATGTGTGCGCGCGCGCGCGTGAGGAGGGGGCTGGGGCAGGGCGTGCTTCAGGGTGCCTGGCACATTGGCAGCCTCTGAGCCTCCGGTCTTTGGCAGGGTGGTCGACTATTCCCCTGACCTGGACGGCACCAGAGCGTATAGTTCTGTGGGCATGGCTTGGTGGGTATGGCAGGGGAAGGTTACTGCAAAATCCCCATTCCTACCCCACTCCAAGGGAAGGATATTGCAAAAGCTCCATTCCCACCCCACTCCTGGGGAAAGATTACTGCAAAATCCCCATTCCCTCCCCACCCCACTAACCTGCTTTCCTCCCTTCTCCTGTGCAGGGTAACAAAAGAAGACCCAGCCAATCAGCTGGGACTCAGGAAGCAGAGAATAGGTGGGGGCCGGGCCAGTCAGAGGTGGTATTTGCCGGTTCTCCGAACTACTCAAAATTTCAGCTACCGGTTCTCCAGAACCTGCTGAAACCAGTGGTGGGTTCCTCCTGGTTCACCCAGTTCCACCGAGCCAGTAGCGGTGACGATATGACATCACTGAACCGGTTCTGCCCCCACCCCACCCACGTTATTCTTACCTTTTATTTGGCCCCACCCCCAATCTATTGCTGCCTCCTGAGTCCCAGCTGATCAGCTAGAAGGAAAAAAACTGTTTAAACTCTTGCCCCGGGGCTTCAAAGGGCCGCCCTACAGCTGATCAGTGTTAAAAGGCAGTGTGGTGGTAGACTGGTGCCTCTACTCCAATGAGTAGACCGGTGCCTGCAAAAATAAACGAGTAGACCGATACAGCTCTGCAAGCAGTTAAAAGCCTGGTAGACCAGTACCTCTGCAAAATCCTAAAGAATTGTCACATGACCATCAAGCCACGCCCACAAAATAAGCCACGCCCACAGAACAGGTAGTAAAAAAATTTAGAACTCACCCCTGGTTGAAACCCACCGCTCCTCACCTTCCACCGCCAGCAGGAGGGGGAGGGGGACATTCTCGTCCAGTTTGGAGGTGAGTTGGAGGGGAGGAGAGGGTTGAGGGCAGCTGGGGTTGCCCCTCCTCCCCCTTGTGCCTGGAGGCTTGGAAGAATTCCAGCAAGGCCCATTTTGAGGATGATGAGTTCTGGACACTGGGCACGGGCATCGGTGAATTGGCTCCCCTTGCTGGCTGCTAGAGAATGGGAATGGAATAGGAAATAAAATAGAATGCAATAGGGAGTAGGGAGAGGAGAGGAGAAAATAGAATGGAATGGAATGGAACGGGAACAGGAACCAGAGCTGGAAGGGATCGTGAAGGTCTTCTAGACCAACCCTCTGCTCAACCAGGAGAACCTATACCCATTTCAGACAAGTGGCTGCCTAATCTCTTCTTAAAAGCCTGCAGTGATTGGATTGATCAGGATTGAAACTCTGGTTGCTCCACCATGTGGGGGGGGGAGATGGGAGGCAGTTGGAAGGGGGCACCTGGCTTTGGAGAGCTGAGCTGCGTAGACCCTCCCAGGGGGAGAAGCAAAAAGCTGGAGGGGGTGGAAGCAAGCAGGGAGAATCTAACCAGGGGCAGGTGGGGGGGGCTTCTCAAAGTGCCCCCCCTCAAGCAATTTGCTTCTGAGACCCCTGACCCTTGTTTAGTCGTGAGCCACTTAGACTCACTGCTGGCAAGATGGCTGGCGTATAAATTTAATAAATAACAAGGGGAACTGAGCTGCCTCCCAAGGGAAGACAATGTGGGAAGCTTGGTTCCCTGCAATTATTGGGGGAATTCCTTTCTCCTGCCTGCTTTGCTAGTCCTCTTCACTTACGAAGGGAAGAGCAATGGGAAGAAATGTGTTTCCTCCTTTATCTTCGGGGGCAAATCTTACCAGGGATGCATCACTGATGGGCGCACAGATGGCTACCGCTGGTGCATGGCCACTGCCAACTTCGACCAGGACAAGAAATACAGCTTCTGCCTGAATAGATGTACATGGGATCGGGGGGGCATGTGGTGTTCAGGAGGGGGTGTGGTGCTCAGGGACCCTCAGAGCTGGCATTACCAAGGGGGGCTGCAGCTGCAGAGCCCACAGATCAGCCCTGATTGTCTCCCATTCAGCTTCGGGACATGCCCCCCCGCAAGGCTCCAGGGGGTTCTGCTCATCTGGGGGCCAAGGCTGACCTCTCCCTATCCCCTCCAGACACAGACACACACACACACACACACACACACACACACCCCAAGTGTGTTGGGAGGACTCCGGCAGCCCAGGAGAATGGGTTCCCCCTTTCCTCAGAAGGGGGAAGGGCAGTGAGGGGAGGATGATGACCCAGGGGCCACAGGGATTGAGGGTCCTGCACAAGACTTTGAAAGCTGTACCCAGGTCCAGCGTCTGTTGTTGGTTTGTAGCTGCAGAGACCACACACCAGCCCTGGATGTCTCCCGTTCAGCTTCGGGACCTGACCCCTCCAAGGCTCCAGGGAGTTCTGCTCGGCCGGTGAAAAAGCTGCGGCCCAAGGGTGGCCCCTCCGTATCCCGTCCAGGCCCAGCTGTGATTGGAGGGAACTCCCAGGGCCAGCCCTGCTCCTTCCCCTTCAAGTTCCAGGGCCAGATGTACAGCAGCTGCACCACAGATGGACGTGCCGATGGGAAGCTCTGGTGCGCCACCACCAGAGACTACGATGCAGACTGGAAGTGGGGCTTTTGCCCTGACCAAGGTATGGGGGAAGCCCGTCCCTCTGCCCTCCTGGTGGCGAGGACTTAGCACACCCACCCGCAGGGCATGATAACTCAACCGTTACCAACACTGAGTGTAGCCCGAGTGCTGCATGATGGGGTGAGCTCCTGTTCCTTCCTCCAGCTCCTTTCCATCCAGCAATTCGAAAGCAAGCAAATATGAGTAGATAAATAGGTATCATTTCCATGCGCCTTTTTTTTTGAAATATTTTTTTATTTATTTTTAAACATTTTAAACATAAAATACATCTTTTAAGGGCAAAGGTTTGGTCTGGTATTGAATAAGTACAATTGCTCACACTTCTTTAACCAATTTGATTCCAAATTTCATCCATTTACATCTTTAAAAAATAAATCAAATCAACATTTTTTTCATCATGCATTCTAACATCTTATTCTAAACATTTAGCATTCTATTGTATCACCATAAATCTTAAATCCCGAATAAACACAGCTCCTTTTTATATACAATCTTTCATTTCCAAATAGACACCATCTTAAATTTTTTCCATTGTATCAATCATTGTTCCATATATATTCCTTAATCATAAGACCCAATTAATCAAATCTAGATTTTAACCTCTATTGAATTACAATTTCCTTTATCTTATCATAAAATACACTTCTCATTTTACATAAAAACACTTCAAGATCAGTTCACATTATCACTCATTCCATGTTTCCATCCATAATTTTATCTAGTTCCCAGCCTACCTAATTTTAATTATTTGATCATTTTCCAGTGTATTCTCCATTACTCCTAGATCTATTATCTTGCTGGTTCACAACTGAATTAGCTGTTTTCCAGCATATTCTCCTCCACTCCTCTCGCTGATTACCAGTATATTCTCCTAAATCTATCTTTATTTATTTGGCTGGTTCACAGCATTTTGATTTAGCTGTTCTCCAGCATAGTAACCCCGGACCTGCTAGGGGGCGGCCTATTTCTGCTGTCCCACTTTGCTGCAGGAATCCGGAGGCCCCATTGGAGACTGGGGCTGTAGACTGGGGGTATAAAATGCTGGAAGACCTGGAAGACCTGGGGAGTGGGAGAGGTTAGAAGACGGCCGAGGGTTGGCCTTGCGCTGCCTCAGGCCATTCCCCCCTCCCCCCTTTTTTTGTTGGCCTGTATAGGCCTTATCATGGTCACCACCCCAGCTACTTTCTGCCTTGCAAGCCATCTCCCTTCATTGCTTTCCATGTGTCATCTGTTCCCTGGGTTTACTATTCTGCCTTCTAGACTGGCTCTATTCCACCTATGCCCTTGATGGTGTGGAGAATGGACAATTCTGATATGGATTCTGAGGGAGTCCGGTTCAACTGCCGTTTCCCTACCAGAGTGGATAGACTATCGAATCTCTCCATAGCCAACTCCATCGGCTAGCCATCGTGAGAGGATGGCCTGGAGAGAGCACCTTCTGAGTTTTGTTGAAAAGGCACGAGACTTCTTCCACTGTCGTGAGAGGACAGTGGAGCCCGTTTTTTTCCATGTCTTGAGTTGCTGCCTCTCCATGCCCTAGGACGATTAGACTATTCTATGGAACCTCAGCCAGAGGATGCTTCACCCTTCCCGGTTCTTGATGCACTCGGCCGCCGAACTCCTTGCGCTGCGAGACTCCCCCCTCTCGCAGGCCTGGCCCTCCACGCTATCGAGGACCTATCTTGATGACGGATTTTGGAATCCCGAGAGATGGCATGCAGCGAAGAGGGGGTTGAGGGGTTTTTTATTTAAATTTTTAAAGAAAATTTTAAGGGGACCCGGGAAGAAGGGAGGGGGTTGTGAAAGTGGACCTGGGGGGGTCCAGATAGCTACTGAGCGGGGTGACAGGTTGATGGGCTGCAGCAGAGGGGTCAGGAAAGAAAATTTATCCGGGGAGCAGGGGGATAACAAGAAGGGCAATGCAATTGAAATAATGAGTGGGAGGGGCAGGTATGACGGGCGCAGGGGACCATATCATGTACCGGGGGTGCGCATACGCTGTTTACGAGCAATTGCGCACTCCGGTCCCCAATGCGCGTCTCGTGGCCTGGGTTGTGCAGAGTCTCAGGCCCAGGGTCCACGGCTGATGTTATGTAATGCCAGGTCGGTTGTCAATAAAGCCCCCCTCATCTGTGATCTTATATTGGAGGGGGGTGCGGACCTGGCAGGTATTATGGAGACCTGGTTGGGCCAAGAGGGGGGGGTCCCCCTTGTTGAAATGTGCCCACCAGGTTTCCATGCATTTCATCAGCCAAGGGCCCAGGGGAGGGGTGGGGGAGTGGCAGTGATTATTAGGGAGAGTCTTTGTCCGAGGGAGACCACTGGTCCTCAAATAGCCGGATGTGAGTCCCTTTGTGTGAAGTGGGGCCGTGGGGTGCAGATGGGTTTGCTGACTGCGTACCTGGCTCCCTGCCACGTGGCAGCGACCCTACCCGAGTTACTCGACGTCATAGCCGGGGTGGCGGTGGATACCCCCAGACTTATTGTCATGGGGGATTTCAACCTTCCATCCGCGGGTGAGACGTCAGAGGTGGCTCGGGAGTTCATGGCTTCCATGACGGCCATGGACCTGACCCAGTTAGTTCAAGGCCCCACTCACATAGGAGGACACACTCTGGACTTGATTTTCATCTCTGGTCAATGGTTGAATGATCTTGGTAGAGGGGACTTAGACATTAAACCCTTGTCATGGACAGATCATTCGCTCCTTCACTTGGACTTTCCTACCGCTTCCCCCTGCCGCAGGGAGATGGAACCGACTAAATGGTTCCGTCCCAGGCGCCTGATGGATCCAGAAAGGTTCCTGACTGAGCTTGGGCCGTTTCCTGAAACTCTGACACACGACTCGACTGAAGAGCTGGTGGCCGCCTGGGAGAGTGCAGCCGCCGGAGCTTTGGATCGTATCGTGCCTTTGCGGCCTCTGACCCGATGCCGATCTCAATTGGCTCCTTGGTTCTCTGAGGAGCTGAGAGAGATGAAGTGTCGGAAAAGACGCCTAGAGAGCATTTGGAGGACTAGTCATTCTGATTCTGACCGGACACAGGTGAGGTCTTATATCAAGACCTACCTAGTGGCGATAAAAGCGGAAAAATCTAACCATTTTTCCGCTCTTATCGCATCTGCAGAGAACCGCCCAGCCGCCCTGTTTAGGGTGACCCACTCCCTTCTTCGGGGGGGAGTGCGGGAGGATCCCTTGCAGGGTCGAGCTGAGGATTTTGTGCAATTCCTGCACGATAAAGTCGCTCGGATTCGGGAAGGCTTGGACTCCGACTGGGTGAGTCCGGGGGAGGAGACGAGGGTAGGTCTTGAGAATATTATCTGGGAGGAGTTTGATCCTGTGGCTCCCAAGGATGTGGACAGGGTTCTGGGTAGGATTAGTGCCGCCACATGTTTATTGGACCCGTGTCCCTCCTGGTTGGTACTGGCCTCCCGGGAGGTTACACGAGGCTGGCTCCAGGGGATTATAACTGCTTCTCTGAGTGAGGGTGCCTTTCCCGCCGCCTTGAAAGAGGCAGTGGTGAGGCCCCTCCTCAAGAAGCCTTCCCTGGACCCGGCTGAATTAGTTAACTACCGTCCGGTCTCCAACCTTCGTTTTGTGGCGAAGGTTTTTGAGAGTGTGGTGGCACGACAACTGCCCAGGTACCTGGATGAAGCTATCTATCTAGACCCGTACCAGTCGGGCTTCAGGCAGGGGCACAGCACAGAAACGGCATTGGTCGCGTTGGTGGATGATCTCTGGAGGGCCCGGGACAGGGGTTGCTCCTCTGTCCTAGTCCTATTAGATCTCTCAGCGGCTTTTGATACCATCGACCATGGTATCATGCTGCAGCGGTTGAGGGGGTTAGGAGTAGGGGGCACCGTTTTGCGGTGGTTCTCTTCCTTCCTCTCCAGCCGCTCACAGTTCGTGTTGGCAGGGGGGCAGAGGTCGACCTCGAGGCATCTCACATGGGGAGTGCCACAAGGGTCGGTCCTCTCGCCTCTTCTGTTCAACATTTATGTGAAGCCGCTGGGTGAAATCATCCGTGGTTTTGGGGTGAAGTGTCACCTGTACGCTGATGATACTCAGCTGTACATCTCCACCCCAGACCACCCCAACGATGCCCTTGATGTGATGTCTCGTTGCCTGGAGGCCGTGCGGGTCTGGATGGGGAGGAACAGGCTCAGACTCAACCCATCCAAGACCGAGTGGCTGTGGCTGCCGGCGTCCCGATATAGTCAGCAGGTGCCATCGCTGACTATTGGGGGTGAATCTTTGCCCCCCACAGAGAGGGCTCGCAATCTGGGTGTCCTCCTGGACGCACGGCTGTCTTTAGAAGAGCATATGACGGCCGTGGCCAGGGGGGCCTTTTATCAGGTTCGCCTGATTCGCCAGTTGCAGCCCTTTCTGGACCGGGACGCCTTGCGCACGGTCACTCATGCCCTTGTCACCTCCCGGCTGGACTATTGTAATGCTCTCTACATGGGGCTCCCCTTGAAGAGCACTCGGAGGCTCCAGCTGGTCTAGAATGCGGCCGCGCGGGTGGTTATGGGCGCAACCCGTTGTGCCCGCGTGACGCCCCTCCTGGGCGAGATCATCTGTGGTTTCGGGGTGAAGTACCACCAGTACACTGATGACACCCAGCTGTACATCTCCACCCCAGACCACCCCAACAATGCCCTTGAAGTGATGTCCCGGTGCCTGGAGGCCGTACGGATCTGGATGGGGAGGAATAGGCTCAGGCTCAACCCATCCAAGACCGAGTGGCTGTGGTTTCCGACGTCCCGATATAGTCAGTTGACGCCATCACTGACTATTGGGGGCGAATCATTGCCCCCCACAGAAAGGGCGCGCAACTAAAACCCTAAAAATTAAAATACCCCAATTTAAAATTATTATATTGACAGCCCTGCCTGGCGGAACAACAGGGTCTTCAGTGCGCAGCGGAACACCCGGAGGTCGGAGATCTTACGTATTTCCGGGGGCAGTTCATTCCACAGGGGGGGGGGCTCCCACAGAGAAGGCCCTCCCCCTGGGTGTCGCCAGCCGACATAACTTGGCTGATGGCACCCTGAGGAGACCCTCTCTGTGGGAACGGACTGGTCAGTGGGAGGCTATTGGTGGCAGAAGACGGTCTCGAAGGTACCCGGGTCCTATGCCATGGAGCGCTTTAAAGGTGGTAACCAAAACCTTGAAGCGCACCGGAAAGACCACCAGGAGCCAGTGCAGCTTCACAGGAGAGGTGTTACATGGGAACGCCATGTCGCTCCCATTACCACCCACGTGGCCGCACTCTGCGCCAGTTGGAGCCTCCAGGTGCTCCTCAAGGGGAGCCCCATGTAGAGACCGTTACAATAGTCCAGGCAGGAGGAGGTGACGAGGGCATGAGTGACCGTGCATAAGGAGTCCCGATCTAGAAAGGGGCGCAACTGACGGATCAGGCGAACCTGATGAAAAATCCTCCTGGTCACGGCCATCAAGTGCTCTTCTAAAGACAGCCATGAATCACCGAATCCAGGAGGATGCCCAAGTTGCGCGCCCTTTCTGTGGGGGGCAATGATTCGCCCCCAATAGTCAGTGATGGCGTCAACTGACTATATCGGGACGTCGGAAACCACAGCCACTCGGTCTTGGATGGGTTGAGCCTGAGCCTATTCCTCCCCATCCAGATCCGTACGGCCTCCAGGCACCGGGACATCACTTCAAGGGCATTGTTGGGGTGGTCTGGGGTGGAGATGTACAGCTGGGTGTCATCAGTGTACTGGTGGTACTTCACCCCGAAACCACAGATGACCTCGCCCAGCGGCTTCACATAAATGTTGAACAGGAGGGGCGAGAGGACCAACCCTTGCAGCACCCGGCATATGAGGGGCCTCAGGGTTGACCTCTGCCCCCCTGTCAAAACAGATTGCGACCGGTCAGAGAGAAAGGAGGAGAACCACTGCAACACAGTGCCTCCCACCCCTAACTCTTCCAACCGGTGCAGCATGATACCATGGTCGATGGTATCAAAAGCCGCTGAGAGATCTAACAGGACCAGGACAGAGGAGCAACCCTTGTCCCGAGCCCTCCAGAGATCATCTACCAACGCGACCAATGCCGTTTCCGTGCTGTACCCGGGCCTGAAGCCCGACTGGAATGGATCCAGATACGGCGCTTCATCCAGGTGCTGGGTGAGCTGTTGCGCAACCACACTCTCAACAAACTTCACCACAAAGCAAAGGTTGGAGACCGGACGGTAGTTTACCAACATTGCCGGGTCCAGGGAAGGCTTCTTGAGGAGAGGCCTCACCACCGCCTCTTTCAAGGCGGCGGGAAAGTCACTCTCACCCAACGAAGCATTTATAATCCCCTGGAGCCAGCCTCGTGTCACTTCCCGGGAAGCCAGCACTAACCAGGAAGGACACAGGTCCAATAAACAAGTGGTTGTGTTCAGTCTGCCCAGAATCCTGTCCACGTCCTCAGGGGTCAGATTCAGAAAGACTGGCCCTCCAACTACTCTCTAGGCGTCTTTTCTGGCACTTCAACTCCCTCAGCTCCTCGGTGAACCAAGGAGCCAATTGAGATCGGCGCCGGGTCAGAGGCCGCAAAGGCACGACCCGATCCAGAGCTCCAGCGGCCGCCCTATCCCAGGCGGCCACTAAGTCTCCAGTCGAGGCGTGTGCCAGAGCCTCAGGAAATGGCCCAAGCTCCATCTGGAACCTGTCAGGTTCCATCAGGCGCCTGGGGCGGAACCATCTTACCAGCTCCGCCTTCCTGCGGCGGGGTGCAGCGGTTCAAAGGTCGAGACGAAGAGAGAGTGATCAGACCATGACAAGGGTTCGGTAACTATATCCCCTATCTCAAGATCCCTCGACCACTGTCCAGAGACAAAAACCAGATCCAGCGTCTTTCCCCCTGTGTGGGTAGGGCCATGAATTAACTGGGTCAGGCCCATAGCTGTCATGGAAGCCATGAACTCCCAAATGTCATTCAAACATTTAATCATTATAAACATTTCCATGTTTAATCAAAATATTTTATTTTTCTTGTCTCACAACCAACTATATTCTATTTCTTCTTTTTCCCATCTGTCTAAAGCTGTTCCTTTTCAAGTTCAATGTTATCAGAGTTAAAAACTCTGTAAAGTTTTGGTCTTTGTAGCATCTATTCCGTATATGGTATCATCGTCTCTTCTTTATTGCCGCATCCTTTTCTTTTGTTGTTGTGCCTGCTAGTTCAACTTTAATAGTTCTATTTTATTTCTTCTTTCTTGTCCTCCATAAAACCACCAATAGGCAGATTAGAAATCCCCAGAGCAATCCTCCTTGGTTGTTTTCAAAATAATCCAATTTAAGTAGCTAGATACATTGTTTCTCTTTCAAGCCAAAAGCAATCCACATTTTAGACTTTCACTTCGTCACGGCAATCCTCCATTTTATCCATTGTATAATTGTCCACTTGTCTTTTCTTTTCCTCTCCACTCCTGCTTATTGCCTCTTCCCTCTTTCTTTCTTCAAAAGTAATCAATTCCATTTTAGAAAAGTTTCAAAGTTTTATAACTTTACAGCAAACAGTCATTCCAAATTGGTCAGTAATGAAAATAACTCCTTAATGGGTCTTTCCCTCCTGTTAATTGCTTTACTGAGTCCTCTTGCCCCAATAGTCCATAGCCGCTGTTTAAGGCTAGGGGCTCACTTGTATAAATCCATATTTCAAGTGCTGTTCCTGCCTGGGTTAGGTCTCACTTACCTGGCTTCCAAACTCCTCGCTCTTTTTTCCTCTTTCTTCCTCCTGCTTCTCCGGTTGGCCCCGGCTTCAAGGCAGTCGCCATGGCTGCTGCTCCCCCGCCGCTGGCGCAGAGGACTTCCTCTGGCCCCGAGGAACCTGCCCATTCCTTGGGCCGTCCAAGGGATCCCTCTCTTTCCCCCTGTCCTGCCAGGACACAGTAGGTCCACAGACCTGTCGGCGACGGCTCAACAGTCGGGGATTCCGTAGGACTCATTAGAGCCCTGCCATTTTGTCGACTGGATCACCGCGGTGCCAACCGGAAGTCCCCATTTCCATGCGCCTTTGACACACACTTTTGCTGACCACATGGCCACAGAAGAGTCTTCGGACAACGCTGGCTCCCTTGGCCAGGAAACAGATGAGCACCATGCCTCAGAGTTGGGCATGACTGGGCAAGAGAAAAATTGGCCTTTTCTTTTGCACATGCACGCACATGCACACAAACACACACACACCCCAAGTGTGTTGGGAAGACTCTCTGGCAGCGCAGGAGAATGGGTGCTTACATCAGAAGGGGGAAGGGCAGTGAGGGGAGGATGATGACCCAGGGCCCTAGGCAAGACTTTCAAACTGGACCCTGGTCCATCCTCTGTTGCCGGTTTGCACTGCAGACCCCACAGTCCAGCCCTGACTATCTCACGTTCAGCTTTGGGACCTGCCCCCCACAAGGTTGGACAGCCAAGAAACAAATAGAGGAGGGGAGACGTCAGGCCAGAGTTGTCACTCAAGACATACGTGACTATTCTATTTCCTATTCTGTTTTCTTCTCCTCTCCTCTTCTCTCCTCTCCTCCTCTCCCATCCCCTATCCTACTCTACTCTGCTCTTGTGAGGAATGGAAGGATTTATATTCTTTGGGGACAAATGCTCATTAGCACTCTTTGTTTTGTTTCTCCAATGTAAAGTCCTGCACGTGTCTCACTGCATTGTGCTACATATATCACATTGCTCCATTGCGGTCAGGGTGTTATATCCTTGGGGTGGACAAGCTTCGGCGTTAGTTTATTTTTGCATATAAAGTGCGAATAGATATATTGTGTTGGTTATATTTAAGTTTGCACACACACCACAGAAACATACACACGAAGTGTCTTGGGAATACCCTCCGGTAGCCCAGGAGAATGGGTGCTTTCCTCCGAAGGGGGAAGGGCAGTGAGGGGAGGATGATGACCCAGGGCCACAGGGATTGAGGGCCCTAGGCAAGACTTTCATACTGGACCCTGGTCCATCCTCTGTTGCTGGCTTACGGCTGCATAGCTCACAGACCAGGCCTGACTGTCTCACGTTCAGCTTCAGGACCTGCCCCCCCAATGTTCCAGGGGGTCCTGCTCGACTGGTGCAACAGCTGGGGGCCAAGGCTGACCTCTCCCTCCCCCCTCCAGGCCCAGGCGTGATTGGAGGGAATTCTCAGGGCAAGCCCTGCTCCTTCCCCTTCAAGTTCCAGGGCCAGATGTACAGCAGCTGCACCACAGACGGACGCAGCGATGGGAAGCTCTGGTGTGCTACCACCAGAGACTACGATGCAGACTGGAAGTGGGGCTTTTGCCCTGACCAAGGTAAGGGGGAAGCCCCTTTCACTGACCCCCTGGGAATCTGGGGGCATATCACCCACTGGGGGCATATCCACCCACAGGGCATGATAACTCAGCTGTTACCAACACTGAATTGGTCAGCTGACAGCCCGAGTGGTACACGATGGAGTGAGCTCCCGTTCCTTCCTCCAGCTCCTTTCCACCCAGCAATTCGAAAGCAGGCAAATATGTGTAGATAAATAGGTGCCGTTTCTATGCGCCTTTGACGTACACTTTTGCTGACCACATGGCCACAGGAAAGTCTTTGGACAATGCTGGCTCCCTTTGTCAGGAAACAGATGAGCACCATGCCTCAGAGTTGGACATGACTGGTCAAGAGAAAAATTGGCCTTTTCTTTTGCACATGTGCGCACATACACAAAAACACACATACCCCCCACATGTGTTGGGAAGACCCTCCGGTAGCCCAGGAGAATGGGTGCTTTCCTCCGAAGGGGGAAGGGCAGTGAGGGGAGGAGGATGACCCTGGGGCCACAGGGATTGAGGGCCCTAGGCAAGACTTTCAAACTGGACCCTGGTCCATCCTCTGTTCCTGGCTTACGCTGCATAGCTCACAGACCAGGCCTGACTGTCTCACGTTCAGCTTCGGGACCTGCCCCCCCTATGTTCCAGGGGGTCCTACTCGACCGGTGCAACAGCTGGGGGCCAAGGCTGACCTCTCCCTCCCCCTCCAGGCCCAGCTGTGATTGGAGGGAACTCCCAGGGCAAGCCCTGCTCCTTCCCCTTCAAGTTCCAGGGCCAGATGTACAGCAGCTGCACCACAGATGGACGCAGGGATGGGAAGCTCTGGTGTGCCACCACCAGAGACTACGATGCAGACTGGAAGTGGGGCTTTTGCCCTGACCAAGGTAAGGGGGAAGCCCCTTTCACTGACCCCCTGGGAAACTGGCGGGAGGGGACTGCAACCAGTTTTGGTCACCATACTATAAAAAAGATGTTGAGATCTTGCAAAAGTTCAGAGAAGAGCAACTAAGGTGATCAAAGGCCTGGAGACTAAACCATATGAAGAATGGCTGCAGGATTTGGGTAGGGCTAGTCTAACAAAAGAAGAATTATGGGTGACCTGATAAGAAAGGGGCTACTACAAAGAAGAGGCGTCCAAATTATTTTCCAAAGCATCAGAAGGCAGGAAGTAAGAAGGAAAAGATGGAAACTAATCAATGGAATTCAGGAGAAACTTTCTTACAGTGAGGAAGATTAACCAGTGGAACTGCTTGCCTCTGGGAAGATGTGGGTCCTCCATCCCTGGAGGTTTTTATGAAGAGATGGGCAGCCCCTTTTCTGAAATGGTCTAGGGCCTCCTGCTGGGTAGGTGGTTGAACTAGAAGACCTCCGGGGTCCTTCAGCTCTTTTCTGATTAACCATCAGCACTCAATGTTAGAGTTTGCAGCAATCCAACCCAGCAGACAAGTAAATAATTCAGCAGGATTCATTTATAAAAGAAACTTCTTTATATACAATACCATACAGCAGAAGCCAGAACCAGAACCCATGGCTCTCGGACGCCAAACGGTTCCCATTGGCTGACTTGTGTGTTACGGCTATCCCAGCTCATAATTTCTCACACACTGACCCTCAAGGAACCACAACAATCAAGGCAAACACCGCAGACCAGCCCTAGGTAGAGCCTCCATGAAGGCCTGGAAAAGGTATCTTCAGATGTTACGATGCATCTGGACAAAATCAGGATGGGCAGGCAGGTTTCACGACCTCTTTTACGAGCAAGGAGGACAGTGTCTCTTGTGAGCTTTTGAGCTTTGGGCTTTGGTGAAGACTCCCGAAAAGACGGTGGACAGCCAAGAAACAAATAGAGGAGGGGGGAGATGTCAGGCCAGAGTTGTCACTCCCTGACCAAGGTAAGGGGGAAGCCCCTTTCACTGACCCCCTGGGAAACTGGCGGGGAGGGGACTGCAACCAGTTTTGGTCACCATACTATAAAAAAGATGTTGAGATCTTGCAAAAGTTCAGAGAAGAGCAACTAAGGTGATCAAAGGCCTGGAGACTAAACCATATGAAGAATGGCTGCAGGATTTGGGCAGGGCTAGTCTAAACAAAAGAAGAATTATGGGTGACCTGATAAGAAAGGGGCTACTACAAAGAAGAGGCGTCCAAATTATTTTCCAAAGCATCAGAAGGCAGGAAGTAAGAAGGAAAAGATGGAAACTAATCAATGGAATTCAGGAGAAACTTTCTTACAGTGAGGAAGATTAACCAGTGGAACTGCTTGCCTCTGGAAGATGTGGGTCCTCCATCCCTGGAGCTTTTTATGAAGAGACTGGGCAGCCCCTTTTCTGAAATGGTCTAGGGCCTCCTGCTGGAGTAGGTGGTTGAACTAGAAGACCTCCGGGGTCCCTTCAGCTCTTTTCTGATTAACCATCAGCACTCAATGTTAGAGTTTGCAGCAATCCAACCAGCAGACAAGTAAATAATTCAGCAGGATTCATTTATAAAAGAAACTTCTTTATATACAATACCATACAGCAGAAGCCAGAACCAGAACCCATGGCTCTCGGACGCCAAACGGTTCCCATTGGCTGACTTGTTGTTACGGCTATCCCAGCTCATAATTTCTCACACACTGACCCTCAAGGAACCACAACAATCAAGGCAGACCAGCCCTAGGTAGAGCCGCCATGAAGGCCTGGAAAAGGTATCTTCAGATGTTATGATGCATCTGGACCAAAATCAGGATCTGGCAGGCAGGTTTCCCACGACCTCTTTTACGAGCAAGGAGGACAGTGTCTCTTGTGAGCTTTTGAGCTTTGGGCTTTGGTGAAGACTCCCGAAAAGACGGTGGACAGCCAAGAAACAAATAGAGGAGGGGAGATGTCAGGCCAGAGTTGTCACTCAAGACATACATGACTATTCTATTTTCTATTCTATTGTCTCCTCTCCTCTCCTCTCCTCTCCCCTCCCCTCCCCTCCCCTACTCTACCCTACTCTGGTGAGGAATGGAAGGATTTATATTCTTTGGGGACAATTGCTCATTGGCACTCTTTGAGAGTCATTGAGGCCACTTGGAGGATTATCTGTGCCCTCAGCATCACCTGAAGACTGCAAATAGGTGTGTAGCCTTCTTGGAACTGCTGTATGGACTGCGTTGTAAACAGAAGATGGGTGGTGTTGTAACACACACACACAAACACACACACACACATACCCCACTGAGAAAGGGTTGTTCAATCTTAATGTAGATGGTGTCTTTGACCCCTTTTTCAATAGAGTGGTTCTCTCTATCAGAAAATGGATTTTGCTGTCTTCAAAAGAGTGAAATGCAGGTGGATTGCTAAATCTTGTTCTGATGGTTTTTTTCTCCCAGGTTGTGCCATGCATTTGGCAGTGGTTGTTTTGTTTCTCCAATGTAAAGTCCTGCACGTGTCTCACTGCATTGTGCTACATATATCACATTGCTCCATTGCGGTCAGGGTGTTTTATCCTTGGGGTGGACAAGCTTTGATGTTAGTTTATTTTTACATATAAAGTGTGAATTGTGTTGGTTATATTTAACTTTGCAAACACACCACACACACGTACACCCCACATGTGTTGGGAAGACCCTCCAGTAGCCCAGGAGAATGGGTGCTTTCCTCCGAAGGGGGAAGGGCAGTGAGGGGAGGAGGATGACCCAGGGGCCACAGGGATTGAGTGCCCGAGGCAAGACTTTCAAACTGGACCCTGGTCCATCCTCTGTTGCTGGTTTACGGCTCCAAAACCCACAGACCAGCCCTGACTGTCTCCCATTCAGCTTCGGGACCTGACGCCCCACAAGGTTCCACAGGGTTCTGTTCAACCGGTGCAACAGCTGGGGGCCAAGGCTGACCTCTCCCTTCCCCCTCCAGGCCTGGCTGTGATTGGAGGGAACTCCCAGGGCAAGCCCTGCTCCTTCCCCTTCAAGTTCCAGGGCCAGATGTACAGCAGCTGCACCACAGATGGACGCAGCGATGGGAAGCTCTGGTGTGCCACCACCAGAGACTACGATGCAGACTGGAAGTGGGGCTTTTGCCCTGACCAAGGTAAGGGGGAAGCCTCTTTCACTGACCCCCGGGACACTGGAGGGGAGGGGACTCGGCACACCCACCCACAGGGCACGATAGCTCAGCCATTGAAGACTCGCTTGGCATACAGCCATGCTGGCCACAGGACCATGGAGAATGTTTTTGGACAATGGTGGCTTCCCAGCCAAGAAACGGAGAGGCATCCTGTGCCCTTGAGTCAGACAGGACTGGACAAGGAATCCTTGATCTTTATGTCTATGGAGATTCTCAGTCATCCAGGTCCTGGTTGCTCCAAAAATGCTTTTGTAAAAGGCAACTGGCCTTTCTCTTTTTCTTCCTTGAAGACCTTTTGCTTCTCATCCCACAAACTTCTTCAGTTCTGACTGAGGGGCTTTTCTATAAGGTTGGATAAACAGAGGCATAGAATCAGGATCACATGAAGTACTGGTGCCCCCTTTATCAAACCCTAGTAAGGCCACACCTGGAATACTGCAACCAATTTTGGTCACCATACTATAAAAAAGATGTTGTGATCTTGCAAAAGTGCACATGTGCGCGTGCACATCAAGTATCTTGGGAGGACTCTCCGGCAGCCCAGGAGAATGGTTGCTTTCATCAGAAGGGGGAAGGGCAGTGAGGGGAGGATGATGACCCAGGGGCCACAGGGATTGAGGGTCCTACACAAGACTTTCAAAACTGGACCCTGGTCCATCCTCTGTTGCCGGTTTGCAGCTGCAGAGCCCACAGACCAGCCCTGACTGTCTCCCATTCAGCTTCGGGACCTGACCCCTCCAAGGCTCCAGGGGGTTCTGCTCAGCCGGTGAAAAAGCTGCGTCCCAAGGGTGGCCCCTCCGTATCCCGTCCAGGCATGGCCGTGATTGGAGGGAACTCCCAGGGCAAGCCCTGCTTCTTCCCCTTCAAGTTCCAGGGCCAGATGTACAGCAGCTGCACCACAGATGGACGCGCCGATGGGAAGCTCTGGTGCGCCACCACCAGAGACTATAATGCAGACTGGAAGTGGGGCTTTTGCCCTGACCAAGGTATGGGGGAAGCCTCTTTCACTGCCTTCCTGGTGGGGAGGACTCAGCACACCCACCCACAGGGCATGATAACTCAGTTGTTAACAGTTGGTCAGGTGACAGCCCGAGTGCTGCACGATAGGGTGAGTTCCTGTTCCTTGCTCCAGCTCCGTTCCACCCAGCAATTTGAAAGCAAGCAAATAAATAGGTATCATTTCCAAGTGCGTTTGATGTACACTTTTGCTGACCACATGGTCGCAGAAGAGACTTTGGACACTGCTGGCTCCCTTGGCCAGGAAACAGATGAGCACCATGCCTCAGAGTTGGACATGACTGGGCAAGAGAAAAATTGGCCTTTACTTTTGCACATGCGCACACATGCACACACACACACCCCAAGTGTTTTGGGAGGACTCTCTGGCAACCCAGGAGAATGGGTGCTTTCATCAGAAGCAGGAAGGACAGGGTGGGGGAGGATGTTGTCCCAGGGGTCACAGGCATTGAGAGCCCTATGCAAGAGTTTCAAAGCTGGACCCTGGTCCAGCCTGTGTTGCTGGTTTGTGGCTGCATAGCACACAGACCAGCCCTAACTGTCTCCCATTCAGCTTTAGGACCTGCCTCCTACAAGTCTCAAGGGGGTTCTGCTCGGCCGGTGAAACAGCTGCGGTCCAAGGCTGGCCTCTCCGTCCACCCTTCAGCCACCACCGTGTTTGGAGTCAACTCCCTGGGCCAGCCCTGCTCCTTCCCCTTCATGTTCCAGGGCCAGATGTACAGCAGCTGCACCAGAGAGGGACGCACCGATGGGAAGTTCTGGTGCGCCACCACCAGCAACTATGATTCAGACAGGAAGTGGGGCTTTTGCCCTGACCGAGGTATGGGGGAAGCCCTTTTTACTACTCCCCTGGGAAGCTGGGGGGGGGGGGGCTGTTGCTCACTCATGTACAGAGGGACGGAGTGCCTGGGGGGCATTGCATTTTGGGTGTGGACACGCACGCTTTTGGCACCCGAGCAATTAAAGTTTAGCCATCACTGAATTAGGTTTTTAAAATAACAGTTGGAGTTTATCTCACCCAGTTTCAATGCTCTGTCCACAGAGCGCTCCAACAGGAATCTTATGGTCCCAGTTTTCACAGCTTGTGAGTAGCCAAAAAAAAAGCTTTCTTCGGACATAATGAGGAAATTGAGAATTCCATGAGGTCGACAAAGCGCCTCTCCTTTCTTCACCACCCCTCCAAGGTGGCTTTGATGCCGTAAGTTCTCCCGACAGCAGTTGCTGGATAGATTTCATGGAGCTCAGCAGAAATCCAGCTGTTCTTGCCTCGACGTCAACCAGAAGTCTGCACTTTGTCACCATCTCTGACTGGCTGCCATACAGCCCCCACTTTTCCTCTTGAACGCCTCTGGATTTCATTTCTTTGTCCATGGCTTCTTTCCACTTTACTTGTTTAAATTTAGGTAATGCCAATACTGCTTTATAATTTCTTGGCTCCTACCATACATTACACACTTTTCCTGGCAGAATACCTGTCAGGTGGAATCCTATTGTTCCATCGCTCTGACCTGTGTGCCATTGACTGCTGCTGTGTTTCAACCCAACAGCTTTTTCAGCTTCTCCTACCTGAATGCTGACATCGTCACCAAGTGAGTTACCATCACTAAGCGAGTTACACTCACTAAGTTGATCACCATCACTAAGTGAATCATTCGAAAAAATTGCATCAATTCTTTTTCAATTTTATTTATTTTTATTTTATTTTATTAAATTTCTATACCGCCCTTCTCCCGAAGGACTCAGGGTGGTGAACAGCCACGAGATAAAACACATAAATACAAAAAATTTAAAATGAATTAAAAACGAATTAAATAATTTGGCTGAATTTAAAATACCCCATAATTTAAAACAAATTAAAATTTATATTTAAAAAATTTAAAAAATTTACATTTAAAAAGGGGAGAAGATTTAGGCCAGGCCAGCTAGATGGAACAGGAAAGTCTTAAGCGTGCGACGGAAGGTGCGCAGATCCGGGATCCTCCGTATCTCCGGGGGGAGCTCGTTCCAGATTGTAGGTGCCCTCACAGAGAAGGCTCTCCCCCTAGGGGCTGCCAGTCGACATTGTTTGGCCGACGGCACCCGGAGGAGCCCCTCTCTATGGGAGCGTACTGGCCGGTGGGAGGCTATTGGTGGTAGCAGGCGGTCCCGTAGATAACCAGGTCCTAAGCCATGGAGCGCTTTAAAGGTGATAACCAGAACCTTGAAGTGCACTCGGAAGACCACCGGGAGCCAGTGCAGCTCGCGCAGGAGAGGTGTTACATGGGAACTCCACGTTGCTCCCATAACCACCCGTGCGGCCGCACTCTGCGCCAGTTGGAGCCTCCAAGTGCACCTCAAGGGGAGCCCCATGTAGAGAGCGTTACAATAGTCCAGATGAGAGGTGACGAGGGCGTGAGTGACTGTGTGTAGAGAGTCTCGATCTAGAAAGGGATGCAACTGGCGGATCAGGCGAACCTGATGAAAAATCCTCCCGGTCACGGCTGTCAAGTGCTCTTCTAAAGACAGCCACTGGGTCTTGGATGGGTTGAGCCTGAGCCTGTTTCTCCCCATCCAGATCTGTATGGCCTCCAGGCACCGGGACATCACTTCAAGGGCATCGTTGGGGTGGTCCAGGGTGGAGATGTACAGCTGGGTGTCATCAGCCTACTGGTGGTACTTCACCCCGAAACCATGGATGATCTCGCCCAGCGGCTTTACATAAATGTTGAACAAAAGGGGCGAGAGAACCGACCCCTGCGGCACCCCACATATGAAGGGCCTCGGGGTCGACCTCTGCCCCCCTGTCAACACAAACTGCGACTGGTCAGAGAGAAAGGAGGAGAACCACCGTAATACGGTGCCTTCCACCCCCAACTCTTCCAACCGGTGCAGCATGATACCATGGTCGATGGTATCAAAAGCCACTGAGAGATCTAACAGGACCAGGACAGAGGAGCAACCCCTGTCCCAAGCCCTCCAAAGATCATCAACCAATGCGACCAATGCCGTTTCCGTGCTGTACCCAGGCCTGAAACCTGACTGGAACGGATCTAGAATTTTGCTCTGCAAAGCTTGCAGATCTTGAAATCACTATTCTTTGCTTCCATCGCTAAAACAATAGCTGTTGGAACAGTGGTTCTCAACCTTTGGGTCATGACCCCTTTGGGGGTCGAACAACCCTTTCACAGGGGTCGCCTAAGACCATCGGAAAACACATATTTTCAATGGTCTTAGGAATAATTTTATGGTTGGGGGTCACCACAACATGAGGAACTGTATTAAAGGGTTGCGGCATTAGGATGGTTGAGAACCACTGCTTTAGAACCTGGCTCACAGCCCATCAACCTGACCTTTCTATCCTTTGGTTGTCCCTTTCTTCTAACTGCTTTCGGAATATGCATCCATGCCCTTAAATTCCAAAAACCCTTAAATGTGCCAGAGATTGCTTTCTTCCATATAGCACTGCATATGGAGTATCATTGATGGATGAATTCCACAGCCTATTAATTAAATAATTAGCAGTCAACATGGCTTCACCCCAATATGACCTGCTCAGCCCAGAATCCTCCAGCATCAAAGTCCAAAACCATGAGTCCTTCATGGTTTGTAAGACTCCATTCATCCTCTCAACAACACCATTCTCAACTGCTGTGTATGGATTTGTGCATCTGTTTTATTCCTAATTGTCCCAACCACTGTTGAAAACTTGTTGACATGAGTTCTGTACTTCTGTCAGTTTGCAACTGGCATACCTGTTATTTATATCTCCTTACTATGAAGCTTACCCATTGTTTAAATTTCTCTAGCACCTCGATTTTACTCTTTAGTAAATAGCAGAACCCAAACCTGCTGTAGTCATCTACAATGACCAGCGCATACTTTGCTCCTCCCAAACTGGCTTGCATTGGCCCCACCAAATCTGCATGTACCAGCTCTAGAGCTCTTGTTCCCCGGCCTGCCTTCTGGAACGAGAGGGAGGAGAAAATGGCCCCCAAGATGCCAGTGTCAGCATTCCAGAAAACCCCCGACTCCCAGTAAAGACACGTAAGCAGGCATTTTCCAAAATTCTCTTTACTAGAAATAGGCAAACTGGGACATCTGGGAAATCCCGAATCTGAAAATCCCGGGCTTTCCTTCAGTAGTTCAAAGCTCCCAAAACCAACCCCTCCTCCCCAGTCGGTCACATGCTCCAATCACCATCTGTTTCACCTCGACCCAGCCCCTGACCACTCCTCCTCCAGATGCTGGATCATCCTGACCTTGACCGATAGAAGGAATGCTATTATGTCTACTAATTCCCCTCTCCTAAATCCCCCCTTCTACTTTCCCACACACGAGAAGGTGGCAGCATTGAAGCTTCCGGCCTAATATGGCTTCCAAGGCTGACAGCCAGCTGATTCGTGTCTTTGAGCTTTGCCCAGAACTGATGTCAAAGTGGCTGAGGCTTCCTTTGCCCATTTCTGAAGAGAAGGGTAACATTTGCCTTCCTCTCCTTCTCTGCCACTCCTCCAATGAGTTTTCATATTCATATTCCTCACTCTGATGTCCATTCCATCCACACTGGGTCCTAACTCCACATGTGACCCTTCCTCTGATCCCCAGGGCCTCATCTGGACATACATTCCATCATCTGATCATCCTCAACAATCTGGGTCCTCATTTTACCTACCTCAGAAAGACTGAAGGCTGAATCGACCTTGAGCCTGGTGAGATTCAAACTGCCAAATTGGAAGCAGCTGGCAGTCAGCAGGGGTAGCCTGCAATACTGCACTCTAACCACTGTGCCACCAAGGCTCTTTTTAATACTAACTCTTCCAAACATAATTGTGAATCCCCCTGCATGACATGTTCAAGCAACAAATGGCCTCTGGAATCCCACCAATTATGACCTTCAAGCAAAAAGGCTGTCCAGTTTCCTCTAAATCACTGGGAGTTTTCCTAGCCAAAACATACGTGATGGGATACCATATGAGTCAAACTAGGATGAGGTAGACTTCCTTAATGAAGTTCAGAATCCTGGCTTGAGCAGATGTATGGGGATACCAGAATCAGAAGAGAGCTGGAAGGCACTTTGGAGGCAGGGGTGAAATCTACTTACCTTCCCTACCAATTCAGAAGTTCATGCTCAGCACACGCTTGTTTGCTGCGCTCGCACTCGTGCACATGTCACATGCAATGTTGGACCCTATGTGCATGCACAAAGCCTGTGCATGTGCATGGACAGCGGGTCAAAAACAGGTTACTTCTGCTACCAGTTCACCAAACCACGCTACGCCACCACTACTGGTTTGTCCAAACCAGTGTGAACCGGTAGCATTTCACCCCTGTTTGGAGGTCTTCTAGTCTAGCCCCATGCTCAAGCAGGAGACCCTACACCATTTCAGACAAGTGGCTGTCCAGTCTCTTCTAGAAGACCTCCAGTGGTGGAGCCCCCACAACTTCTGGAGGGAAGCCATTCCCACTGGTTAATTGTCCTCCCTTTTTTGAAGTTTCTCCTCAATTCCAGGTTGCTTCTCTCCTTGTTTAGTTTCCACCCATTGCTTCTTGTCCTGCCTTCTGGTGCTTTGGAAAATAAATTGAACCCCTCTTCTTTGTGGCAGCCTCAGGTTGTGTTACTTACCTTTAGGGGGTTAATGAATTGGGGTGTTTTCCAGTCCCCTGAAGGAGGAGCCCAGCTAAGAGAACACGAATCTAAGACTCCGGCTGGAAAGGTCACAAATGCTCCCTTCTCAACATCTTCATTTCAAACATCTCATGATGGGGCTGATTCCTGAGGAGTCAAGAGTCAGGTGGTGCAACATCTGCATAGTAGTTTACTCACACGTTCTGTGCAAGAAGAGGCCATAAACATGAAATGTTTGCCCAGAGGTTGAGTAAACTGGGCTTTGCAGCACATCTTGAGGAATCTGCCCTGGTAAGCTTGAGTTTCCTCATTCTGTGGGTTGTGTGGTTCATGCCGAGTCTGAAGAGAGCATACTCTGTGGTTTGCATGCTACCCTGTCATAGGCTGATGGTTGATCTCCTTCACCAGCTTCATGTAGCTTATTAAACAGAAGACAGAAAGGACCAAGCCTGGAGGTGATCTATCATGAAGGGGTTGTCACGCCTGACTGGACCACCCACTTAGGTAGAACTGCTCCAACTCCCAACCATTTAGGTCAGGGGTCTCCAAACCTCTCCATAGATAGCTATGCAGGTCTGGGGAAATCTGGGAGCTGAAGTCCACAAGACTTCATTTAGGTGTCCTCTCAATTAGGCGATTGAGAAGCGTAGAATAAAAAATTTGGAAGGGCCCTTGGAGGTCTTCTAGTCCAACCTCCTGCCCAAAGGTGGAGACCCTATACCATTTCAGGCAAATGGGTGTCCAGTCTCCTCTTGAAAATCTCCATTGTTGGAGCACCCATAACTTCTGAAAACAAGCTGTTCCACTGGTTAATTGTTGTAACTGTCAGGAAATTTTTCTTTAGTTATAGGTTGCTTCTCTTCTTCTAAATCTATGTTTACATCATCCGTGACCTAGGAACGTCAAGTGTAAGTGACCATATCCATATGCGTAGAGTTCAAGCCAACTACTTATGTTATGTTATGTTATGTTATGTTATGTTATGTTATGTTATGTTATGTTATGTTATGTTATGTTATGTTATGTTATGTGCTATGCTATGCTATGCTATGCTTTGCTATGCTATGCTATGCTATGCTATGCTATGCTATGCTACATTATATTAACATTACATTACATTACATTACATTATATTATTATATTCTGCCTATAATACCAGACCTTCTGTGCTTCTGTGCCTGAAATCTCTCTGCAGTCCCAAACCAAAGAGGAGAAATCTCCTCATCTTTCCCATCACAGCCCCAGGGCAGCCCTGACAAGGAAGTTACGTCATCCCCTCAGCCGAGCAGCCCCCATATTCCACTTTCTACCAGGGACCCCCTAACTCCTTAACAGGGGACTTTCCCAGCTCTGCTGCAACTCTGGAAAGGCGAGTTTTGCTTGACCACAGAAATGACCCATTGACATCAACAGGCACCTGCCTAGCCTCCTCCAAACTGCTCAGCCAATCCAACTCTCAGATCCCCCACCTCTTGTTTGACCATCTTGCGAAAGAGGAGGAATTTGTATTCTCACTGCATTACGTTATCCTGCTTCCTGGATGTGAAATTCCCAGTCGCAAGAAGACTATTTAGTGCACGCAGCCCAAGTGTTGGGCAGACGGCTTCACCATGTCTTCTGGAGGTCTTCTTCTCCTGCTGGGACTCCTCACCCTCTGGGCAGAGCTGACCCCCGTCTCCGGCCAGGACCGTCCAAGTGAGTTTTCAGAAATGGGCTGAAGTGATGAGAGAGCAGAGTTCTTTTCCAGGACTGGAAAACCAAAGCCCTCAGTCTAGAACCTCTGGCTTGGTGGGGCTTCTGGGGAAGTTCTTGAGATGGTAGTTGGGTGTCAGCTGAACAGGAGATAAAAACTAACGCTACTATATTCTATTAAACCTCATTCAACTGGGAAGAATACTATCTGTATGTTTGTTTGTTTGTTTGTTTGTTTGTTTGATTTATATGCTGCCCTTCTCCGGAGACTCAGGGCGGCTTACAAGGTGTTAAGCAATAGCCTTCATACTTTTGTATATACCTGCTTAGTAGGGCTTTTTTGGCCCCCCCAATCGGTGTTCTTTTTTATACAAAATCATTTTATTGCCGCCACAATCCGGGTCCTCATTTTACCTACCTCGGAAGGATGGAAGGCTGAGTCAATCTTGAGCCTGGTGAGATCTGAACTTGCAGTAATTGCAGGCAGCTGGCAGCTAAGTGCTACTTAACAGCACTTTAGTCCGCTGCACCACCAAGGCTCTTGGTCTCCCTCTCCCCTTTTTAACACACTTTTTCTTTTTAAATTCTTCTTTGTTTTTTTATTCTTTTCTCTTTTTAAAAAATATTTTGGTGCTTTGTATTTTAATTTTCTTTGAATAAACTAAATATCATACAGGGGAAAAAGAGAGAATTTCAAGCAACAGGAACTCTCCATTCAGCCACCGGTTCCACTCCCCAGAGCAGGAAACCAAATTAAAACATCCCAGATGACTCTCAACTGCTTGCAATCTGAGCATGCTAGGAGGGCCCCAGGTTGGGGAAATATGTTGAAGACATTTGTGGTACCTGAATGAAATAGTAAAATAATACCTTCCCCTCTATTTGTCAGAGTTTTGTTATCTTCCTTCTGAGACCGGACCATGTAAAGCCAAAATGCCTCGCTTCTACTACAACTCAGCTTCAAATAAATGCCAAGAGTTTACCTATGGTGGGTGCCAGGGCAATGCCAACAATTTTGAGACCAGAGATGAATGCCACTACACCTGTGTTGGTAAGTAGGGAAGGAGTTCCGGACTGGCCTCTGAAAAAGAACTGCTGTCCCCAAAAATTAAGCATAGGGTGATTTAATGTAACATCCTGGTTCTCACAACTGGCTATGATTGATTCAGTAGAAGGGAATCTTTGTTGCTCTGAACTGTGGAATTTCTGGTGCTCTCTGAGCTTGGTAGTTTTCTTGCAAATGTTTCATGATGCAACTAGGGAACATCATCACCGCTAGAAGGAAGGGAGGAGGAGGAGGAGGAGTGTGGGATCCTTGGTGTTCTCTGAGACTGGTTGTTTTCTTGCAAAAGTTTTATTACCCAACTGGGTATAACACCAACAGTGCAACTGAGCGTGTGGTTTGCTCCCTGTTTATATGCAGTAGCTTCCCCTGCCAGTGTGGGTGTGGTTTTTCTCCTTGGTAGTTCCATAATGAGGATATTATTTTCTATTTTGTTTGTTTGTCCCTGTTATCTGAATGTTGGCTTGAACCTCAGTCCCTGTCCATGGCTGTGCTTTAACAGAATAACAGAGTTGGAAGAGAGGAGAGGAGAGGAGAGGGGCAAGGAGAGGAGAGAAAAGAGAAGAGAGGAGGGGAGAGGAGAGGAGAGGGGAGGGGAGGGGAGAGGAGAGACCCTCTATAGTTTCTAAGGCTGTATAGGAGAGAGCTTTCAGAACTGCAAGATTCTGTTAATGTAGCTTGACAATAAAGCAGAATCAGTTTCCTATCTGGTTTGCCTGCTAAGCCTGACACTTGGCCTTGGGATCTTTTGCAGAAAAACCTGGTGTGTGTCGCAAGGCCCCTCCAGACACAAGCACTATTTGTCTTGTGAACTGTGAAAATGACTGGAAATGCCTCGGGAAGCAGAAGTGCTGCAGTTATGCTTGCAAGATTGACTGCATGGACCCGGTCTAAGGTAACATTCTGACTAATGAACCCAACTGAAGCGAATACTTTCGAGGCTCTCCAAAGGTTGGGAGGCAAAGTTTAATGAGTACCTCATTTTGGTACTGAAGAAGGCAAAACCAGTTCTGATTATTTCCCGCAGAAAGCCACGTACTTAGAGTATAGAATTCCCCCTCCCCTTATTAGTGCAGGTCACATTCTCCAATTGAGTGTCATTATTTTGATATGAGAAAAAGTCTCTAGGCTTGGAAGACACCTGCTGATGTGTCCTTGGCTCTCAGGCTCTTCGGCTTGAAGTCTGGAGCCTGCATTCCATGCCACCCTTCCTTCCCCCCTTAGTTCTTTGGCAAGTTGAAAAGCAACAATGGTTCCAACGGCAGAAGTGCATTTCATTGTGCTGTCACTTGTATAGTTGGCTTAGACCAAAGGGATTGCTGTGTGGGACCTCCTAAACCAAGACTCGGTCTGGGCACATGCAGTCCCATCCATGCTCATCCCCTGAGCAGACCACAATTAATTCATGCTCAGCTGACAGGAAGGTCCATAGCTTCACCGGAGGGGGGAGGAGGCTGTAGGCTCACAAGCTCACATTTCTGATTGTGAGAAATGTTCTCTGTCCGAGTTAGAAAGCTCCCGTGAACATGCCCTTGTCTGTGCTCCAAGCAGTGGCAGTCTTGAGGTCTCCTGGAAACAGAGGATTGGGGAAAGATGCTGGAGGTCATCTAGTCCATCTTCCATCCAGTGCAGAAATCCTCAGAGCATCCTGGGCAGATGGATGTCCCTCCTTTGCTTGAAACCCTCAGGGATGGAGCCCCATAACTCCAAGGGGGAGGCTGCCCCATTGCTTCCCTTCTCTGCCAATCAGGACATTCCTTCTGATTTCAGGTTTGGGTCTTCCTAGTTGTAAGATTATCACTGGAGGACGCTCTGGGCAGAACCCTCATATCTGAATGTTTGTTTTCACAGCACCCCCAACGAGGAGACCCACCAGAATTGGAACTCCTGTTCGAACTTGAGCCAAAGACCCTTCTTCTGTCCCGGACCACCCTGGAGACCCTCCCCCCAAAACCCACCCTGGGTTCATTCCTTCTTCTCTGCAATAAAGCTTTGTTTCCAGCTGCCCTTTTGGTCTCAGGTGTCTTCTTTGGCTCCTTTGGGGGTTTCCCCTCCCTGCGTTGACCTGTGTCTCCCCCCCCACCCCATGTCAGAGGAAGAGGGACTGAGAGGCAGCACATCCTTCTCCAATGTGGCTTCCCAGAGAGAATGCACAGGAGAAGCACCTCTCGTAGACTTAGAGTAACTTTATTGTCACTTTGAATTTTTATTTTATTTTTTTTATTTATTAATTTAATTTGTATACCGCCCTTCTCCCAGAAGGGACTCAGGGCGGTGAACAGCCAAAATTAAAAAACATACAAATACAAAAATTAAGATAATTAAAAAGAATTAAATCACTAGCTTCCCAATTTAAAACCCCCAAATCCATAAAATTTAAAATCCCAATTTAAAAACCATTTATGCTAGGCCGGCTTGATGGAATAAAAACGTCTTCAGGGCTTTACGGAATGTATACTAAACATTAAAATTAAGTTTCGTTGCATTCAGCTCTCAAAGGTCACCCCCTCCAATATGCACTACATAAACATGACTAAATAAATAAATACAAAATTATGCATATACCCACATATATTATATGACATGGAGAAACAACACAGCCTAGTTCGGATGTATACATTCTGGCTCTTCTCAAAGCTAGAAATATCTGACACTCAGTCCCCATGAAGGGTTTACTCCAGAGCAAGTCTGGGATGGACCCAGAGTAAGTCTGGCTGGAGACAATGGGCAAATCAGAGACAGTTTTCTGCATGTGTTTAATGAAGCAGAAGAGGAAAAAAAAGAGAAGCAGAAGGGAAAAATTAAGAAAAGAAAACAGAATGGGAGGAAAAATATTAGGTATATGAGGGCTTCTTATGCATGTAGATAGAGTAAGTAAGGGATGTGGTGGCTCAGTGGCTAAGATGCTGAGTTTGTCGATCGAAAGGTCAGCAGTTCAGCGGTTCGAATCCCTAGTGCCATGTAACGGGGTTGAGCTCCCGTTCCTTGTCCCAGCTTCTGCCAACCTAGCTGTCCGAAAGCAGGTAAAAAATGAAAGTAGAAAAAATAGGGTCCACCTTTGGTGGGAAGGTAACAGCATTCCGTGTGCCTTTGGCGTTGAGTCCTGCCGGCCACATGACCACGGAGACGTCTTTGGACAGCGCTGGCTCTTCGGCTTTGAAACGGAGATGAGCATCGCCCCCTAGAGACAGGAACGACTAGCACATATGTGTGAGGGGAACCTTTCCCTTTACCTTAGAGTAAGTGTCTGTTTTAAACATATATCATTATAGTTGTCTGAGCAAAATCTCCTTTGTCTACTACCTGTTCACAAGTCACCAATAATTTCATTACCTCAAAATGGAGTGATGAATCTCTTAGCAGAGAGAAAAGCATCCACTTCCTCTCTCCATTCATCAGTTTCCACTTAAAAGTGCAGGGACGAAAAGAACTCAGTCATTGGGGAACCTTCAACCTTTCCCAGAGTCCAACTAACGGCTGCAGCGCCCCCTCCTGGAATAGAGCAGCCGAGGGTCTCCGCAAAGCAGATTCCCACGCCGCCTCCTCCATCTGTCTCCCACCGCCTGGCCATCCCCCCCTTCTCTTCTTCACCCAGCCACAGTGGACGTCCTTCTCCTTTGGGGTTTCTTGCACACTCGGCTGGCAGGGAATTCTACTTCACGCCCATTTGCACACCAGCTCCCACCAGTTCAACACCCCCCCCCCACTGGAGCAGAGCCACCAGAGCCAGTAAGAGCCTTGGTAGTACAGGGGTTTAAGGCACCCTGTTATTAAGCTGGTTATTAAGACCAGCTGCCTGCAATTACTGCAGGGTTCGTATCTCACCAGGCTCAAGGTTGACTCAGCCTTCCATCCTTTCTAAGGTAGGTAAATTGAGGACCCAGATTGTGGGGGCAATAAGCTGACTTTGTATAAATACACAAAAGGATGAAGGCTATTGCTTAGCGCATTGTAAGCCGCCCTGAGTCTTCGGAGAAGGGCGGCATATAAATCAAATTAAAAAAAAAAAAGCCATCTTTCTGGTCAGCTCCTTAAAGCAAAGAGATCTGCGCAGCAAAGGGATAAGGGGTTGGGGTGGTGCAACAAAAAAATAATTTTTTAAAAATGGATTTTTTAAAAGATAAAACAAAGTGAAATTTGTATCAGTGGAGTGTGGCTTCCCGCTTTCCACCGTGTGAAAGTGAGCACCGCTCATTGCTTGGGGTGGGATGGGGGGGGGGCGAGCAGCGGCAAGCTACATCCAGTCTTTGGCTACCTCTGTCCTGCTTGCCTGAGGTCAATCGGAAATTAGAACCGTAAATAAGTGTACACTGTGAATGCAACACAACTGCATTGCTTTTAAGGAGAGAATCAACCTAGAACTAAGGAGAAATTCCCTCGCAGTGAGAACAATTAACCAGTGGAACAGCTTGCCACCAGAAGTTGTGGGGGCTTCATCAGTGGAAGTTTTTAAACAGAGATTGGCAGCAATTTGCCTAGAATGGGACAGGGTCTCTTGCTTGGGTAAGGGGTTGGACTAGAAGACCTCCAAGGTCCCTTCCAACTCTGTTATTCTATTACTTTCTATTAGCATGTCCACAGTTTCAGTTGTCATGCTAATAAACTCATATTAGCTTAGGAGACTGATGGCCGGGCTCCTCCCAAACCCCACCCTGGGCTCATTCCTTCTCTTCTGCAATAAATCATTGGGTCCTTGTTCACCTCTTCATCTCAGGTGTCTTCTTTGGCCCCTTTGGGGCTTTCCTTCCCCTTGACCTGTCTCTCCCCCCCATGTTAGAAGAAGAGGAGCTGATGGGCAGCACATCGTTCCCCAATGTGGCTTTCCAGAGAGAGTGCATGGGGGAAGCCTCTCTTAGAGCCAGAAATCCCTGAAACTCAGTCCCCACAAAGGGCTTACTCCAGAGTAAATATGGGGTAGACGCGGAGACTCTGTTACTCTGTGATGGCTCCACACGGATGGTCTTGCTGGAGACAATGGGGGAGATCAGAGAAAATTTTCTGCCTTTATTTAATGAAGCAGAACAGAGAGAGAGAGAGAGAGAGGAGCAGCAGGAAAAAAATCAGAAAAAGAATACAGAATGGCAGGAAAAATGTTAGGTATACGAGGGCTTCTTATGCATGTAGATAGAGTAAGTGTCTGTATGTTATTATAGCTGTCCATGCAGAATCTTTGCATGCCACCTGTTCATAAATCACCAATAATTTCATTTCCTCCATTTAGAATGATGAATCTCTCAGCAGAGGAAAAGCATTTACTTCCTCTCTCCATTCATCAATTTCCACCTAAAGGGGCAGTGATGAAAAGAACGTGGGCATCGGGGCCACCCCCCCTTTCTCTTTTTCACACAGCCATCATGGATGTCTTCCTCCTTTTGGGTTTCTTGCACACTCAGCTGGGAGGGAATTCCACTTCACGGCCATTTGCACACCAGTTCCTGCCAGTTCACACACACCCCTCCCCCACTAGAGCAGAGCCACCCAGCCGGTCTCTCCCTAAAGCAAAGGTATCGCCACAGCAAAGGGATAAGGGGTTGGGATAGTGCATCAAAATAATAATCTATGCCCACATATATTATATGACATGGAGAAACAACACAGTCTAGTTCAGATGTATTTCATATTCATATTGTACCTGATTTGGCTGCATTAGGGGACCGACAACTGGGCCACCAGCCCCATTATCCTTTCAAAGAGGATGTCAGTGAAGGGGATTTTATTCATTCATTCATTCATCCATTCATTCATTCATTCATTCATTCATTTATTAAATTTATATGCTGCCCCTCTCCGGAGACTCAGGGCGGATTGTATTACCAGCCACTAAAACATCCTCGGTTTGCCTCTTGAGGGTTCCTAAAACTCTGCTAATGCTAAAATCCTGCCTCCTGATGGGATGAAAAGTGTAAATCCTCCAAAATTGAATTTAAGCTGGTTGTCAGGTATTAAATTGCTAAGAGAAAGCCTTGAGTATTCTTGTTTTGGTCCTGGGAAAATGTACCATGAGTTCAAAGATGGAGAAGGGGTTGGTTGAAGGGTCAAAACTGAAGATTCAATTCAATCTTCAAGATTCACAGGATCAGGCAGGCTTTGTAGCTTTCAAAGAAACATAAGGACCTCAGGAAATGCATACCATGAGAGGAGCAGAGTTCCCAAGTGATCCATTAAAACTCTAGAATCCAGCTTACCAGAAACAAGCCAGGATTCTGAGCTTGTGTGGTCTGCAAGAAGACACAGGGAAGGGAAGGAGAGGAGTGGCATCAAATGAAACATGATGTTGTCACATACATTCTGTTATTCATTTTGTCTGTGTTTTCATCATGGCTTGTATTGGATACCAATGTGAGTCACAGCAAAATTGCTCTACAAGAAGACATGGCTGAACATAGCCTTCAGCAGTAGGATTGGACTTCAGTTGGTTGTCCTTCAGAGCTGCAGATCAAGGAAGTTCCTCTTACAAGGGGTGACCTCTAGCTGGTCCTAACCCTCAAGAGAGAGACAATACTTCCTTGGTAAGTAGGCAGATCACATGTACAATTTGGAGCTCATCCTTAGATTCTTGGAGTACCTGATAATGTGTCACACAACACACTAAGCCAAAACCAGATAAGTCATTTGAATGGACCAGCTCTCCCCTTCCTCTTTGCTTTCTCATTCTGAGGCTTGGTGGACCACCAATCTGTTCCAGGTGAAGATGTTGATTTGGCAGGTCACCTGGAAGAATCACATGAATCTGGCACTGAAGATTGTCTCTAAGTTTCAAGATGTCAATGAAAAGATTTACCTTGGAACATCTCCATGCCCTGAATTGGTTCTTTCATTCATGGGCAACTATATAACTGGCAGCCCAAGAGAAGATTAGTGGGCAAAGGTTTGAGCACACCAAGGAGTCTCCATCCATCCATCCATCCATCCATCCATCCATCCATCCATCCATCCATGTAAGTCAACTGTGTGATGGTCCAAAGGTAGCCCAGATGGTGGAAGAGGCCCCTTCTGAGAAAGTTGATGGATATGTAAGATTGGGGTTGAGTCTCCCATCCAGCCATTTCTGAATCTTTTGCTCCAGAGTCGGAGGTGCAACTATGAAGTGTTCCAGCAGGCTTAGAAGGAGCTACCCACATCTTCTGCAGAATTGAAAATTGAGGTTCTCATTGCTTGAAAAGGGGGCTTGTTCAATCAGTTTCCTCCAGTTGTCTCTTCTACAGAGACTGGACAGCCACCAGTTACTTCTGGGCTCTATCGCTTGAGTTGAGGGGGCTACAAAATAATTGACTCTGTCCTTCTTCTAGAGAATTAGATGCTCTATGCAGACAGAAGATTGAAATGCCAATCTCTGAGTCATGGGCTGCTTCCAAGGGCTCTATAAGGGGAATTATGGCTACCATTTATGTTATGTAAGAGCAGCTCAGTGTCAGCCATTTTGAGCCTTTGAGGCGCTGCCGTAAAAGGAAATGATTAGAATAGAACAAAATCAGACCTCTTCCTTCCCTCTCTTCCAAAAAGTGAGAAGTAACATGATTATTTGAGATAACCTCTAGTTTGAGGCTGAGGGAAATGGCTCCCCTTCCCCTCTTCCCATCAGCTCTGATCCACTGAATCTAAATATTGGTGTTCTTATTCCAATTTTATATAGCCAAGGATTCGTTTCTGACTTCCTGTCAACCTGTTGCTTAGAAGGAGCGCTCAGTCACCATGGATCTAGTCCTCAAGAGGCTCTGGGTTGGCTTGCTGGTCTTGTTCTGTGTTGAGATGGTCCTTTCTGACACAGGAGATACATGTGCAACTAATATGAACTTTCAACCAGAGGCATTAAAGCACAGTAAGTAAATGGCATACTTCCTGCTAGCTAAGATTGTTTTAAGAATACTGGAGAAAATGTGTGTGTGTGTGTGTGTGTGTGTGTGTGTGTGTGTGTGTGTGTGTGTGTGTGTATGGGTTTTCTACCGAAGCAACCTGGTCTACCCAAATATGGGAAGGAGCATATTGCTTCCTTTACGCCTTTCAGCCCCAATCCATCAGCCCTCAGGCAGTCCCTTTCATGACAAACTATTTTGTGTTAAATTTATATTTACTGACAAAGCAATAAAGGGGGACTAGTATAGATCTATTTCAAGCTATTTAGTTCTCATCAGCTAGCCATACCCTTCTGGGATTCGAACCTGGCCTTGCTTGCATATTAGGCAGATGTATTAACCTCTAAGCTACAGGTTCTCCTTGCTTTGTCAGCTTGTACCAGGGAAGATTAAATAAAGGAAAAAGGAAGCAGTATGCTCCTTCCCATATCTGGATATAAGACGGTGAAAATAAGAGGGTGAAAATTTGGGTGCGTCTTATACACCGAATGTAGCCCTGCCCAGCCTCTGAAATGGAGGTTTCAGAGGCTGGAAAAAGCCTCTGAAACCTCCATTTGAGAGGCTGAACAAAAGGCCTCTGAAGCAGGGGTTTCAGGGGCTGATCTGCTTCCTTCCTGGGAGGCGGAGGAAGGGGAAGGGGAAGAGGAAGAGGAGGAGAAGGACTGCGGCATTCATGATGCTCTCTGAGTTCTTATAGACATTTCATTACCCATCTAAGGAACATAATCTGTACTAGAAGGGAGGGGGGGTTGTGGCAAGGAGGAGGGGCAGGAGGAGAATCCTTGGTGCTCCCTGAGAATTGAAATATCACACAAAGAAAACCCCACGTTTACTATGTCATGTAAAGAACAGTTGCTGGAACTGGGTATGTTGTTTAGTCCAATGAAGAGAAGGGTTAGGGGGGTGACATGACGGCAGCGTTCCAATATTTGAGGGGCTGCCACAAAGAGGAGGGGGGGTCTGACCTATTCTCCAAAGCACCTGAAGGCAGGACAAGAAACAATGGATGGAAACTAATTAATGAGAGAAGCAACCTGGAACCCCTAACAGTGAGTACAATTCACTGTGGATCGCCTTGCCTCCAGAAATTGTGGGTGCTCCATCACTGGAGGCTTTTAAGAAGAGACTGGACAGCCATTTGTCTGGAATGGTATAAGGTCTCACTGTAGGGGCTGGACTAGAACACCTCCAAGGTCCCTTCTCACTCTGTCATTCTGGATTCTTTGCCCCTGTCCTGAGGCAAAGTTTCTCTGCAGTCGTACCTGAACAAAAGAGGAGAAGTGTCCTCATGTCTTACACCCAGCTTGAGGGCAGCCCTGATAAGGAAGTTGTGTCATCACAGCAAGTGAGCAACCTACACATTTCCACAGATCAGGGACACCCCCAACTCATTAACACGGGACTTTCCCCGGCTCTGCTGCAACTCTGGAAAGGTGAGCTTTGCTTAACCACAGAATTGACCCCTGGACATCAACAGGGACCTGTTCAACCATCTTGTGAAAGAGGAAAGAATTTGGATTCTCAGTGCATTACGTCATCCTTCATCCAGGATCTGGAGGTGAGAAATGGGCAGAATAAATAGAGCCAGAAGCCCAAGGGTGGGGCAGACGGATTCATCATGTCTTCTGGAGGTCTTCTTCTCCTGCTGGGACTCCTCAGCCTGTGGACAGAGCTGACCCCTGTCTCCGGCCAGGACCGTCCAAGTGAGCTTTCAAAAAGATCTTGAGACCTTTTGCAGGGAGGGGCTGAAGTGACCAGAGTTCCCCCCCAGGAAAGGGAAACCAAAGACCCCAGTCTAGAACCTCTGGCTTGGTGGGGCTTCTTCTGGGGAGGTTCTGGAGATGGTGGTTGGGTGTCAGCTGAGTAGGAGACAGAAATGGGAAGGGCCCCCAAGAAAGAGAGATGCAATTTTAGGTGGGGACCGACCTATCTTTACTCAATGCAGCAGCAGAATCAGGATTTTAAGCAACAGGAACAATCCAGTCAGCCATCTGATCCAACCCCCAGAGCAGGACATGAGATTAAAACATCCCAGATGTCTCTCGACTGTTTGCAATCTGAACATTGAAATCTGACCAAGAAGAGATTCAACCTGGAAATAAGGAGAAACTTCCTGACAGTGAGAGCAATCAACCCATGGAACAGAAGTTGCCTCCAGAAGTTGTGTGAGCTTCATCACTGGACTCTTTCAAGAAGAGACTGGACTGCCATTTGCTGGGGATGGTGTAGGGTTTGCTGCTTGGGTGGTGGGTTGGACTAGATGATCTCCAAGGTTTGTTCAAACTCTGTTAATCTATCCTATTTTAACATGCTAGGAGGGCACCAGGTTGAGGAAGTGTGTTGAAGACATTTGTGCTAGCTAATCAAATAACACCTTCCCCTCCATTGTCACAGAGTATTGTGATCTTCCTGCTGACCCCGGACCATGTAGAGCAAGAATAACTCGCTTCTACTACAACTCGGATTCCAAACAATGCGAGGAGTTTAATTACGGTGGATGCCATGGGAATGAGAATAATTTTAAGACCAAAGATAAATGTCACTACACCTGTGTTGGTAAGTAGGGGAGGAGCTGCAGACTGACTCTTCCAATAAAAGAGGATTCATGTAGCTCAAGGTTGAACTGTGGGGTCACTGGTGCTTCCTAAGCTTGGTTGTTTTCTTGCAGATGGTTCATGACCCAAGTAGGTAACATCACCAGTGATAGAAGGGAGTGGAGTTTTCAGGGAGGAGGAGGAGGAGGAGGAGGAGGAGGAGGAGGAGGAGGAGGAGGAGGAGGAGGAGGACTGTAGGGTCCTTGGTTCTCTCTGAGCTTGGTTGTTTCCTTGCAGACATTTTATTACCCAACTAGAGAACATCATCAGTGCTAGACGGGAGAGGAGGAGATCTTGGTTGTTTCCTTGCAGATTTTTCAATGTCTGACTAGGGACATCTTCAGTGCCACTGTGTGGGGAGGTTTGCTCCCTGTTTATATACTGCAGCTTTCCTTGCAAGTCTTGGTCAGAGGGTTGTTTTCTTTTTGACAGTTCCTTGATTGGGGAATTGTTTTCTGTGTGGTTGTTTGTCCCTGCTTATATGGTTGTTGGCATAACCACATTAGACACTAATCAGCATTTAGCCTAAGGACACCCTGCCCTCTTCTGGAGCCATCAAAGGCCCATCTCTACCTGGGTCCAGGTGTGTGTGCTGAGTGGCCCAGCTCAGAGCTTCAACCTCCCTCCCTGACCCTCCTCTGCATTGAGCTGAACAACTTCAGGATAACTTCCAGGAGGCCCAAGGAAAGAGGACCTCTCTGGATGTCCAGAGGGAGACCTCTGTCTTTCCCCCCCTCTGTTTTGGGAGAGGGGGCTTCAGGAGTGGGCAGAGCCAGCGGAGAAAGGCTCTACTCCCATACCCTGGAATCCCTTCCTGGTGGGGAAGGCAGACTGAGATGGACCCCCAGCAGAGCTAAAGGAGAACCATGTTCTTCATTCATGGAAACGGGGGGTGCCCATTTGTACGCCTAGCATCCAGAGTCAAGAGAGAAGACCCCAGTTATGAAGTCCAGCCTGGGATGCTAAGATAAGGTGACCAGATTTTAACATTGGTAAAGAGGGACATTGTGGGCGTGGCTTATTTTGTGGGCGTGGCTAGCTGGTCATGTGACCGGGTGGCCATGGCTATGTGTATAGGGACTACTCAGAGGGCTGGAAAGTCATTTCTGACAGGTCCTCGCACTTTTGACTGGTCCTCACACTTATGACCATCCTCACATTTATGCCCGTGCAGCATTCTTAACAACCATGTCACTCATTTCACAACTGCTTCTCTTCACCATGGTGACAAGATAGGGCAAAAACGTAAAATGTGAGGACAGTCGTAAGTTCGAGGACTGGTCAAAAGTGCGAGGACCAGTCAAAAATAACTTTTTCAGCCCTCTGAGTAGTCCATATGCATAAAAGGATACAGTAATAGAGAGGGATGAAGGAAGGGAAGGGAAATTAGAGTAGGAGTGACGGTAAGAGAGGGAGGAAGAGAGGAGGAGAAGGAGAAAGGAAGAGGAAATAGGGAGGAGAAGAAGAGGGTGGGGGGAAGAGAAAGTAAGAAGGAAAGAAAAGAGAGGTGGTAGGTTTGAGGAGAAAGATTGCTGTACACTAAAAAAGATGAAAGGGAAGAAAGCCAACCCCAAACAAATATAAAGATATTAAGATAAAGAATGAATTGTTAAACTTTAAAGAATAAAAGAGAACAAATATGAATAAATAGCAATAATTAGAAACACACATACAAACATACAATGTATTTTCTTTGAACAGAATATTTGGCCGGTTCACAAATTTAAACAGTGTTTAGTCATTTCAACTAAATTTACAATTTCTATATTTCCTTTTTGCCATATTTATTCCTCATCTATTTTTTTAAAAAAACAATATTACCCTTCATCCTCATCTCTAATCTTAATCAAATTCAATTTTTCCCTTCTATTCTATATTATACCCCTTCCCATTGTCATCTATTTTTATATCCATCCTCACATTGATTAATTATGTAATTATGTAATACAGTTGTTTAATACAAATTCAACATTTTAATATAAATCAATTAGTTATATAACTATCTTTTTTGTATATTAATCAATATGAACATGAATATTCCAATTATTTCCATGCAATCCAATTTCTTACAAATCAATTAATTATACTTACCTATAATAATAAACCAAATAATTTCCCCCATATATTCCTCCAAACCACAACTTAACCATTTCTGCTTTCAACACAGTATACAATTAATAGTATCTCAATTATTACAATTCCCTAGTTAAAAAGAGCTTTTTTTTCTTTTGTGTTTTAAAATCTTGAACTCTCCTCTTTTGCCCTAAATAATTTCCCATTGTTTGCACCTACCTTTTTTGGTGAGGAAAAGGAAAATAAATCTACTGCCTAATTTTCCAACGTTGCAAGCAAACAGCAAAGCCAACAGCCTGTTTTACTTTCAGTTTCGTTTTGAGCTTGGTTTGCACAAAGAGAAAAAAAAAACTGCTGAGCAATTTAGCAAGAGCAGAGCCCTGCGCAAATCAGCTGAGAGGGGGAAGCCGAGCTAATCAACGTAGGGCGGCCCTTTGAAGCCCCGAGGCAAGAGTTTAAACAGGTTTTTTCCCTCTAGCCATCAGCTGGGACTCAGGAGGCAGCCGGGACTCAGGAGGCAGAATGAAAATTCGGGACTTTTTTAAAACGCCGCGGGACGTGGGACAAATTGCTCAAAAGCGGGACTGTCCCGCCAAAAGCGGGACGTCTGGTCACCTTATGCTAAGAGGTTGACCTCAGAAGGAAATGGCTGCACCTTGTGAGGACGCAGAGAGTGGGAGACGCTCCACCTGCCCCTGTCTCCTTTGGATGTATGGAGATGTTTTGGGTTCTGAAAGGCCCAGAGATGGGATCTTGCTTGATCTGGGGTGCCAATTCCAGGGGAATCTCTCAGCCTTGGGATCTTCTCTTTTGCAGAAAAACCTGGGGTGTGTGGCAAGGCTCCTCCAGTAATCACTATTTGTCCTGTGAGATGTCGAAGTGACTGGGAATGTGATGGGAAGCAGAAGTGTTGCACTTACGGTTGCGTTACCGACTGCATGGATGTTAGCTAAGGTAACAACGATACAAGTTTGCTTAGACCAAAGGAACGTCTGTGTGGGGTCTCCGAGGGCAAGACTTGGCCTGGGCACCTTCAGATTTCCCGGGCTGTGCGCCTGCAGGCTCCCTTGTCCATCAAAAGTACAGCTAAGGTGAAAAAAGGAAGGTGGTGGAAGCTTCATGCAGCGAGCACAAACATTAACCTTTGCACGGTGTGGTGGGGCCCTTCTTCCTGATAGATACCCCCCCCTCTGTGGAAGCCCTCAGGCTGGCCCTCCACATCCCCCTCCCACTCTCTCTTGACTTCTCCTCCTCTTGAACTTCCATTGGGAGAACGGTGGCCGCCCAGTTCAGCTGCTGCTGCGGGACACTGTGTTGGAGGAGATGTTTCTCCTTCCTGCCTGGTCAGGAAGCCAGAAGGTCCCAGGCAATGAGGACTTCCAGGAGAAACAGAAGCGAGGACAAAACACCTTTGCCCACTTTGGACCAGCTCATCCTCTGGGCAGACCAGAACTGGTCCAAGCTCAGGGGACAGGAAGGTCCAGAGCTTCACCAGGCGTTTGGGTCACAATCTCACACTTCTGGCTTTAAGAAATGCTCCCTCTCCAAGTTAGGAAGCTCAAGTGAACATGACCTTCCCCGTGCTCCAAGCACTGGCCTTGAGGTGTCCTGGATAGAGGGGATGGGGAAAGGACCCTGGAGGTCTTCTAGTCCACCCTCCTTCCAGTGCAGGAACCCACAGTGATGGAGCCCCATAACTCCAGGGGGGAGGCTGCCCCATTGCTTCCCTTCTCTCCCAATCAGGCCATTCTTCCTGATTTCAGATTTGGGTCTCCCTGGTTGTAAGATGAGGCAGGGAGAAGCACTGGAGGCTGTTCTGGACAGAAACCTCATATCTGAATGTTTGTTTTTACAGTCTCACCAGCGAGGATCCGAAATTGGATCTAGTGTTTCAGCTTGACCCAAAGAGCCTTCTTCTGTCCTGGATCATCCTGGGGACCCTCCTCCCCAAACTACATCCTGGATTTATTCTTTTTGTTCTGCAATAAAGCTTTGGGATCCAGCTGCCCTCTTGGTCTCAGGTGTCTTCTTTGGCCCCTTTGGGGGTTTCCCCTCCCCACCTAGACCCGTGTCTCTCCCCACCCCATGTCAGAGGAAGAGGGGCTGAGAGGCAGCACATCCTTCCACAATGTGGCTTCCCAGAGAGAATGCGCAGGGGAAGCCTCTCTCGGAGCCAGAAATCCCTGAAACTCAGTCCCTACGACGGGATTACTCCAGAGTTAAGTCTGGGGTGGATGCAGAGACTCTGAGATGGCTCCACAGGGATGGTCTGGCTGGAGACAATGAGGCAAATCAGAGAAAGTTTTCTGCCTTTACTTAATGAAGCAGTACAGAAAAAAAAGAAGAAAAACAGGAAAACAGCAGGAAAAAACATTAGATGCACAAGGGGTTCTTATGGATGTAGATACGTGTCTATTTTACACATATGTCATTATAGTTGTCCGTGCAAAATCTCCTTTGCCTGCCACCTGTTTGTAAGTCACCAGGAACTTCAATTCCTCAGCAAGGAGAACCCAAAGCCTCTGCAGCAGAATTGCTTCTGACCATTTTCCCTTGGGCCCTTTCCAATGTACCCAAATGCTCATTAAAAGTCTTGGCTTTCTTCTCTCCAGAATGACCCCTCCAGGCTCTTCGGCCTGTCCCCATAATCCACATCCAGGAAATTCTATATCCCCTTTCTTGTTGCTGGATCAGCACAGGGAAAAAAAGACGTGACTCAGCAGAGGTCCATTCAGCACTTTAATTCAGCTCATACGGAACTGCTGGCTGAGCTGCCGAGCCTTCTATACAGCTCCGGCAAGCTAGCCGGCCAATGACATCCATTTAAACTTCCCACCGGTGGATTAGCCATCCACCGGAGGATGCCCATATTAGGACACAACAGTTGTCCTTTGCCAAATCTATTCTAACCTTTAGGTAACCTTCTGGAAAACTGGTGCCCTGAGTCACAGGCAGAATCATTTGAAACCCAGCGATCTTTAAAACCTTTTCGTGAAGGTAACATCATCAATGCTAGAAGGGAGGGGCGGTTGAAGAGAGGAGGAGGAGGAAGAGGAGGAAGAGCAATATTATTTTAGAAACGACTGCCCATCTTCCCTGTTGTGTGTGTACCCCTACTTCATGACTTGAGTCTGGACCTTTGCTTCGTCTGACCGTGTATTTGGACCTTGGACCTTGTTCTGACCTAGGCTTAACAGAATCACGAAACAGACTCCTTCTCCTGAAAAAATGCCCTTTTTATTTGGCTAATGTGAATTCCTCACATTCATATCCAGCAACGTCCTGACAATAAGCCTTTCTAGGTTTAATTGCAACAACAGACCATATCAGACCTTTGATAATTGGCAAGGAGTCTCTGTGAGGCACAAACTCAGATACGCAAATCTTCACACTAATAAATGAACTAATTGTCTCCTGAAACACCACTCCCCTTTTGCTCCCATTTATTTCCTATGGGAGTGGCCATTCAGCGCCCACTTCTGTCTTTACTCCCGAGTCGACCCCTGTTCCTTAATTGTTCTCTTCTCCTGACAGCTCTGCGCATGCACACATAGGAAACAGGCTCCAGCTGTTCTCCTGTCCCACTGATCTCCGACTTTGAAGGTAGCTGATAACTGTCGGATGGCCCTGGCCCCCTCTCTGCCTCCGACACAGAGCCCACATCAGAGCCTTCCCCAGACTCCAGGACTGGCCCATGTTCCTCCTCAACCTCCTCACTGTCCGAGGCTGCCACCAGCTCTGCTGGTCACTGGTAGGCCACAACAGAGTTGCTCATTGGATTCTGGACTCATAGCTTGGCTTGGTTACCATGTGTGGACTTTGGACTGTGCCTGGATTTCAGACTTTGTGTGTGTAGATTTGTGGACTTGTGCCTCCACTCTTAGACTTGTGACTCTCTGCCTAGATGGAACAGTACTGGACACAACAGAACTTCACATTTGGTGTGAGTGGGAACCTGGGGAAGGTGAGAAGATCCAGAAGGAGGAGAAGGCTATGTGCAACCTTTATGGTGTCTGAACAGCGGAAGTGCAAGGCTGGGTTGAATAAAAGGACATTTCAGTCCTGCTTTGAGGAACCGAGAAGATCCATTGCAGGCGAAGAGACACTCTTTTTCTAATTTACAGTTTTACAGATTAACAAAATTGGAAGGGACCTTGTAGGTTATGTAGTCCAATCCCCTACCCAAGCAGGAGACTCTACACCATTTCTGACAGAGGGCAGTCCAGTCTCTTCTTGAAAGCCTCCAGGGATTTTGTAACGCTAATAAACCGGGCAGATGGTTGGCTTACACATTGAGGAATAAACAAAGCATACGGACTATTGATAGTATTGATATTGGAGGGAAAGAAATTTTTCAACAAAAATTAATTAAAGAAGCTTTTGTGGATTATTATACCAAACTATATGCCAAAGAGGAGGTACAGAATGGACTTATAGAAAAATATTTAAACGATAAAAGAGTTACAAAAATTACTGATCAACAAAAGGAAAGAATGAATTATCCTATAACAGAGGAGGAGATAATAGCAGCAATTAAACAGTTAAAAACAGCCAAAGCTCCTGGCACGGATGGTTTGACCGCAGTGTATTATAAAACTTTGCAAGCTGAAATGGTGGGACAACTCAGAGATTTATTTTGCAATATTCAACAAGGGGGTAAAATACCCCCATCCTGGACAACTGCTTATATATCTTTGATACCAAAAGAACAAGTTGGTCCTAAAAAACCAGAGAACTATAGACCAATATCTCTTTTGAATACAGATTATAAAATCTATGCGAAAGTACTAGCCAACAGGTTGATGCCAGTAATCCAAAAGGTGATTCATGAGGACCAAGCGGGATTTATTGAGGGCAGACACATGAAGGATAATGTAAGGCAAGTAATAGATTTATTGGAATATCTTGAGAAGAATAAACAGATTCCTGCAGTGCTGGTCTTTTTGGATGCAGAGAAGGCCTTTGATAGAGTGGATTGGAATTTTCTACTAAAGACTTTAAAAAAGATGGATTTTGGGGATCAATTTATACAGGCGATTTCAGCAATTTACCAAGAGCAAAAGGCACAGATCATTATTAATGGAAGTTTGACAACAGAGTTTAAAATTGAAAAAGGAACAAGACAGGGATGTCCGTTGTCCCCACTTTTATTTATTCTAACATTAGAAGTCTTGCTAAATACAATACGAGACTCTAATATCTTGAAAGGTATAATGATTAGGCAAGAGGATTACAGAATAAAGGCATTTGCAGATGATCTGGTTGTTACTCTATCACAACCAATGGAATCAATAATCTTGATGAAGGACATTATACAAGACTATGGTAAAGTTTCAGGTTTTAGACTGAATTCAAAAAAGACTAAAATGATAGCTAAAAACATGACACAAGATCGTAAACATGAGCTAGAAAGGAGGGCAGGTTTTGAGACTGTACCTAAGGTAAAATATCTAGGAGTTCAGGTTGCAGAATCAAACATGAAATTGTTTCAAAATAACTATGAGGTGTTGTGGCGAGAGGTGCAGAAAGACATGGAGACTTGGAAAAAACTGCAGCTGTCTCTACTTGGAAGAATAGCAGCAGTTAAGATGAACATTTTGCCAAGATTTCTTTTTTTGTTTCAAATGATTCCGGTGCTTAAAAGTGATAAACAATTGAAAGTCTGGCAAACTGGACTCAATAAGTTTGTCTGGAACGAGAAAAAGCCGAGAGTGAAATTGAAAATTATGCAAGATGTTCCAGAAAGAGGAGGTCTTAAACTTCCAAACCTACAGTTATATTATGATGCAGCAGCTTTAACTTTAACAAGTGATTGGTTTGGAAGTAAAAAGGCTGGAATATTGAATGCAGAAAGTTTTGATCTCGAATTTGGATGGCATGCTTACTTATTTTATGATGACAAAGTTGATAAAGTATTTAAAAGTCATATACTTAGAGACTCTTTGATGAGAGTTTGGAAGAAGCACCGACTCAAATGGGATTAATAAATACCGCTATGGCTGGATCTTGGTCATACTTTGTGGAATACAAATATAATGTCACTCGGGGGGTTTTTATACAAAGAGGTTCTTTTTACAGATGCGGGCAGATGGCAGCTGAAGACATTGCAGACACTGTTGGACGAAGGGATTAATCTAACATGGTTACAATATAATCAATTACAATTGAGATGGAAAGAGGACCAAAAAACTGGTATTATGTTGCACGAAGAAGAATTGGTTAGACATATAAAAGAGAAAGGTCCAATGCATATCAAAAGGCTTTATAATGTTTTGCTAGAAAGGGATTCAGAAACTGAATTAGTTAATGATTGTATGATTAAGTGGGCACAAAATTTTGAAGAACCAGTGATGTTGGAAACATGGGAAAAAATTTGGGTTCAGAATGTTAAATTTACACAGTCGCAGAACCTGAGGGAAAATTTCTATAAAATGTTTTATAGATGGCATTTAGATCCCAAAAAGTTGTCATGTATGTACCCTAATGTTCAGCCAAAATGTTGGAGATGTGAATGTTTGGATGCTACGTATTATCATGTTTGGTGGACCTGTAGGAAAGTTAAGGCTTTTTGGATAAAAATTTGGTGGGTCATGCAGAATGTTTTGAAGAAAAAAATTCAATTCTCTCCACAATTGTTTTTATTGGGTATAGTTAAGGGTTTTACATCGGGTGAAACAAAACTGATATTGTATATGATAACAGCAGCAAGATTGTTGATAGGTAAATATTGGAAAAATGAAGTTTTGCCCACTATTGAGGAATGGACTTTGAAGATGGCCAGTTTTGCAGAGATGGCGAAGATTTCAGCATACTTAAAAGATTGCTCACAAGAGACTTATGAATGGGAATGGAAAAGATGGATAGAATATGTTCAGAACAAATATCAAACTAGAAAGTACCAAATAGCTTTTATTTGAAAATAATGTTTTAGAAATATTTTAATGTAATGAGGTAAAAAGAAAAATTATACAGGGGAGGGAGGGGTTCAAGTTTACACATAAGTGTCATATTAAGGGTTTTTTTTCTTGTGTTTTTTTTTTTTTACGAGTTATGAGTATATTATAGGGAAGTCTGGGGGGAGGGGAGGGTTAGGGAGGGTTAGGGAGGTTGGGAAGTTTGGGGGGGGTGGAGGGGGGGGGAAAAGGGGTGAAAATGTAATTGTAAAACTTTTGCAATAAAAAAAAAAAAAAGAAAGCCTCCAGGGATGAAGCTCCCACAACTTCTGAAAGCAGCTTCTGTTCCATGGGTTGATGGCTCTCACTGTCAGAAAATATTTCCAGGTTGAATCTCTCCTTGTTCAGTTTCCATCCTTTATTCTATGTCTGACCCTCAAAGGTGCTTTGGAAAATAGCATGACCCCTCCCCTCTCTGTGGCAGCCCCTCAAATATTAGAACATTGCTATCATGCCTCCTCTGGTCCTTCTCATCACTAGACTAGTCAGGCTAGCCAGGCCTAATTCCTGCAACCGTTCATTGTATGTTTGAGCCTCCATTATCCATTACACAATGGACCCTTGGCCTTTCCTATGTCAGGTGATGCCAACAGGTAAGGGAAAACCAGTCATCTGCATCAAGGGAGGCCTGTTGTGTTTGAACAGGTGAGCCCTGGGGCCGCTGCTTCTTCCTGGATTCTGGCTTATACAACAACATCCTGGGTTGCAAAGCCTGTTTTGGAACTTCCTGCAAGAGTTCCCAAGGAACTTCCTGCAAGAGTCACGCTCGCCTCTCATGGTCCCAGCTGTGTCCTACAGCATGAAGGGCATTCGGGGGACTCTGGAAGAGGGATCCAGTAGAAGTTCTATAGAAGTTCCCATTTGGTGGGGACTTGGGGAATAATGCCAGGGGCTCAGAGTGCCTCACTAAAGTCCTTAAGCTGCATTGTACAGGAGAGGAGAGTCCGGCTGGTGAAGACTGGATTTTAAAATTGACCGAATTGGCAGAGATGGCAAAATGAACTGCCTTGATTAGAGATAAAGGACTAAATTGCTTTATAAGAGACTGGAAACCATTTGCGGGCTTTCTACGTGTCAAACACAATAGCAGACGGTGAACAGAGGGATTTGAAGACTATGGTAATGTTTGGGCTAACCTGTTTTATATATATATTTTATATTTTTTATTTATTTTTATAACATATATATATAATAGACCGTGTTTCCCCAAAAATAAGACCCAGGGTTTTTTTGAACCCTGAAATAAGCACTTGGCCTTATTTTGGGGGAGGTCTTATTATTTTGGGGTGCATGGAGCAAGATGGGGCTCCTCTTGCTGTCTTACCTGATTTCCAGCTTTGCGGTTAAATATTTTTGGGGAGGGCTTATTTTCAGGGGATGCTTATTTTTAACGCATGCGCTCAAAAGTCTGATTGGGCTTATTATCAGAGGATGTCTTATTTTCAGGGAAACAGGGTATATATATATATATGCAAGTCTTGGTGTATTCGGGTCTTTTCCCGTATAAGATTGAGAGTATCTTGGCAATGTTTTGACAAGGAAACGTTGCCAAGATACTTTCAATCTTACACGGGAAAAGACCCGAATACACCAAGACTTGCATACCTGTACCTGTGAAAATCTACGAAAACAAATCGAATAACCAAAGACCTACATACAAACACCCGCGAAAACCTCAGAAAACAAATATATATATATAAATTCGATTATTAGATAGAGATCTCCTCTGAAATATTATTATATAATATTTTTCTTGTTAAATAAGGATGAGAAAGTTTATAACTATTTACAGACCCATTATGTAAGACGAGGAGAATTGATCAAGGTTTTTTTTTTTTAATTTTACTTTTCAGCACCCAGTCAAGGTGGATGTTTCCATATGTTTAATATTGGATGTTTAGGTCTTTTTTTTTTCTTTTTTTTTCTTTTCTTTTCTTTTTTTCTACACATTTTGTTACTGTTGTTACTGTTGAATCTTGTACTTTTTCTGTTTTTTTTTCTATTTTGTATTTTATTTCCATTGATAAATATATAGATGAAAAAATAAAGTCCTTAAACTGCTCATTTGTGTGTGAGCAGGACTGGAACAGGACAATAGCCCCCCACCCATTCTACCTTCCCCCAAACTGACCGGCCAATCCAACTCTCAGATTCTCCTCTCTTGTTTGACCATCTTCTGAAAGAGGAAGGAAGGAATCCGGATCCTCACTGCATTACGTCATCCTTCATCCAGGATCTGGAGGTGAGAAATGGGCAGATAAATAGAGCCAGCAGCCCGAGTGTGGGGCAGACGGCTTCATCATGTCTTCTGGAGGTCTTCTTCTCCTGCTGGGATTCCTCAGCCTCTGGGCAGAGCTGACCCCTGTCTCCGGCCAGGACCGTCCAAGTGAGCTTTCAGAAAGATCTTGAGACCCTTTGAAGGGAGGGGCTGAAGTGATCAGAGTTCTCCCCCAGGAAAGGGAAACCAAAGATCCCCAGTCTAGAAGCTCTGGCTTGGTGGGGCTTCTTCTGGGGAGGTTCTGGAGATGGTGGTTGGGTGTCAGGAGACAGAAATGGGAGGGGGCCCAAGAAAGAGGGATGCAATTTTAGGGGAGGGCCGACCTATCTTTACTCAATGCAGCAGCAGAATCAGGATTTTAAGTAACAGGAACAATCCAGTCAGCCATCTGATCCAGCCTCCAGAGCAGGAAACCAAATGAAAACATCCCAGATGGTTCTCAACTGCTTACAATCTGAGCATGCTAAGAGGGCACCAGGTTGGGGAAGTGCCTTAAAAACTTTTGTTCTGTCTAATCAAATAACATCCCCTCTCGCCTTTCCATTTGTCACAGTGTTTTGTTATCTTCCTCCTGAGACCGGAATATGTAGAGCCAATGTACCTGCCTTCTACTACAACCCAGCTTCAAAGGAATGTCAAGAATTTGCTTATGGTGGTTGTGGGGGCAATGCCAACAGGTTTGAGACCAAAGATGACTGCAAGTACGCCTGTGCATGTAAGTAGGGAAGGAGTTCTGGACTGGCCTCTTCATTGAAAAAGATCTGCTCTCTCTTAACATTAAGCATAAAATGGGTTAATGAAGCATCATGGTTCTCACAACAAGCTATGATTGATTCAGGAGAAGGGAATCTTTGTCACTCAGGCTGAACTGTGGAATTTCTGGTGCTCTCTGGGCTGGGTGGGTTTTTTTGCTGTTTCATGACCAAACTAGGGAACATCATCAGTGCTAGAATGGAGTGGACTTTGCAGAGAGGAGGAGGAGGAGGAGGAGGAGGAGGAGGAAGAAGAAGAAGAAGAAGAAGAAGAAGAAGAAGAGGAGGAGGAGAGGAGAGGAGAGGAGAGGAGAAGGGAAGGGAAGGGAAGGGAAGAGAAGAGAAGAGAAGAGAAGAGAAGAGAAGAGAAGAGAAGAGAAGAGAAGAGAAGAGAAGAGAAGAGAGAGGAGGATGGTTGTTTTGTTGCAGACGTGTCATGACACAACTAGGGAACATCATTATTGCAGCTGAGTATGGGGTTTGCTCCCTGTTTTGATACTTCAGCTGGCCCTGCAAATCTTGGTGGGGGGGTCTTATCAATAGTTCCTGGATTAGGGAAATTTTTTTTGTTGGGGTTTTTGTCCCTGCTTATGTGGACGTTGGCATGATGGCTCCATCCTGCCCCATCCATGATCCACCAAGGCCCCAATTCTTTTTTTTTTACCATCAAGTTTTTTTAAAAAAATTATATATATGTATTTTGAATACAGTTTGTTGTCCGAGCATTTCATTTTACAGAAGAAAAAAACCAAAGTAACAAATATACTGATAGTAATATTAGTAATACACATAATAATAACCATATTTATAATCACATTAGCTAATTTATAATCATATCAATTGTGTTAGCATACTTATAAACAACCTTCATATTTTACTTATACATAACAATGCTCTTTCTTCATCTAATTTCTACCTCTTTGTCACTAACCATTGACAAAACCTATTCCACATTAAATAATACTCTGTATCTCCATTATCTTTTATTTTCAATGTCAATCTGTCCATCTCTGCACAATCCAGTATTTTCCTAATTATGTTTTCGTCTGGTGGGGTGTTCTCATTTTTCCAATATTGTGCAAATACAATTCTCGCTGCCATCAGTACAAGTAACATTAAATATATAGTCCCTTTATCATAACTTTCTGGCATTATACCTGACAAAAATATTTCTAGCTTTAAATCTGCAGAAGTTGTGAATGCTCTAACACTGGAAATTTTTAAGAAGATGTTGGATAACCATTTATCTGAAGCGGTGTAGGGTTTCCTGCCTGGGCAGGGGGTTGGACTAGAAGACCTCCAAGGTCCCTTCCAACTCTGTTTATTCTATTTCTATTTCTAAATCTATATGCTGCTTAATCATCTTTTCCAACCCAATTCTGAGGGAGCGCAGGTGCCTGTGCTGAGAGAGCCACTCAGATCTTCAAGCTCCCCATTTAGCCTAAGAACTTCAGGCAACCTCCAGGAGGTCCAAGGAAAGAAGACCTCTCTGGTCGTCCTGCCTCTGCTTGCTATCTTACCCCCCTTCTGTATTTGGGGAGGGGTCTGTGGTAGTCTGCAGAACTAGCACAGAAAGTCTCTGCCTCCCATTCCCTGAAATTCCTCCTTCCTGTTTGATGGAAACCGGGGCTGTGCATGTCCACCCCTGATCCCAGCCAAGAGAGGAGGGGCCATTTAGAGTGTCCATCCCCCTCCTGGGTCCTGAGAGGTTGACCCCAGAGGGAGATGGTTGTGCTTTGTGGAGAAGGCGGTGAGGAGGTGGGATTCTGGCAATGTATCATCTTGGATATATGGAGATGTTTTGGGTCCTGAAAGATCCAAAGATGGGATCTTGCTTGATCTGGGACTCCAATTCCAGGAGAATCTCTCAGCCTTGGGATCTTCTATTTTGCAAGAGAACCTGAGGGGTGTCCCCTGGGCTCTCCATTCCTTCCTTGTCTCAGGAAGTGTGAAAATGACTGGAATTGTGCTGGGCAGCAGAAGTGTTGCCATTACGGTTGCCTGTCTGAGTGCAAGGATCCTGCCTACGTTGTTCCTTGTGTCATTTGCTTAGAGCAAAGGAACGGCTGTGTGGGGTCTCCTAGGCCTAGATGTGGTCTGGGCACAGGCAGGTCTCTCTGGGACCTTTCAGGCTCTCCTTGTGTCCATCAAAAGTGGAGCTTCACCAGGCGTTTAAGGTCACAATCTCACACTTCTGGCTGTAAGAAATGCTCCCTCTCCAAGTTAGGAAGCTCAAGTGAACATGACCTTCCCCGTGCTCCAAGCACTGGCCTTGAGGTGTCCTGGATAGAGGGGATGGGGAAAGGACCCTGGAGGTCTTCCAGTGCAGGAACCCTCAGTGATGGAGCCCCATAACTCCAGGGGGGAGGCTGCCCCATTGCTTCCCTTCTCTCCCAATCAGGCCATTCTTCCTGATTTCAGATTTGGGTCTCCCTGGTTGTAACTTGTAAGATGAGGCAGTGGGGAGCACCGGAGGCCGTTCTGGGCAGAAACCTCACATCTGAATGTTTGTTTTTACAGAATCCCCAACGAGGAGATCCACCAGAATTGGATCCAGTGTTCCAACTTGACCCAAAGATCCTTCTTCTGTCTTGGACCACCCTGGAGACCCTCCCCCCAAACCCCACCCTGGGCTCATTCCTTTTTCTCTGCAATAAAGCTTTGGTTCCAGCTGCCCTCTTGGTCTCAGGTGTCTTCTCTGGCCCCTTTGCGGTTTTCACTCCCTATCTTGACCCATGTCTCTCCCCCCACCCCCCGTGTCAGAGGAAGAGGAGCTGAGAGGCAGCACATCGTTCTCCAATGTGGCTTCCCAGAGAGAATGCACAGGGGAAGCACCTCTCAGAGCCAGAAATCCCTGAAACTCAGTCCCTACAAAGGTCTTCCTCCAGAGTTATGTCTGGGGTGGACACAGAGACTCTGCAATGGCTCCACAGGGATGGTCTGGCTGGAGGCCATGAGGCAAATCAGAGAAAGTTTTCTGCCTTTATTTAACTAAGCAGAACAGGGGGGAAAAAGGAGCAGGAAAAAACAGAGAAAGAAAACAAAATGGCAGGAAGAATATTAAATATATGTGGGCTTCTCATACTTGTCCATGGAAAATCTTTTTTGCTTACCACTTGTTCCTAAGTCATGAGTACCTTCATCTCCTCACCATGTAGAGGGAGGGAGGAAGGAAGGAAGGAAGGAAGGGGGGAGGGAGGGAGGGAGGGAGGGAAGGAAGGAAGGGAGGGAGGAAGGGAGGGAAGGAGAGGGAGGGAGGGGGAGGGGGGAGGGAGGGAAGGAAGGAAGGAAGGGAGGGAGGGGGAGGGAGGGAGGGAGGAAGGAAGGAAGGGAGGGAGGGAGGGAGGGAAGGAAGGAAGGGAGGGAGGGAGAGAGGGAAGGAGGAAGGAAAGAAGGAAGGGAGGAAGGGGGTAGGGAGGGAGGGAGGGAAGGAGGGAGGGAGGGAGGAAGGAAGGGAGGGAGGAAGGGGGGAGGGGAGGGAGGGAAGGAAGGAAGGGGGGAGGGAGGGAGGGAAGGGAGGGAGGGAGGGAGGGAGGGAAGGAAGGAAGGAAGGAAGGAAGGAAGGAAGGAAGGAAGGAAGGAAGGAAGGGTGTTGTGTGAACAAAGCCAGGTGTAATTGTGAGATCAACTGTTGGGCTGGAACCTCGCCTGCCACCTGGCCTGACCTCAGATAAGCCTCCTTTCTCAGCCCAGCTTCCCCCACAGGGCTGTTGTGAAAAGAAGAGCCATTCCAATTCCTGGAGCTGGTGATAGCAATCTATAAATTCCTGGCCATATAAATCTAACTGGAGTACATACCTTAATTTGCCAGATCTGCTTACTCAAGTATGGCCTTCATTCAGCAGGCAGGTGGCACCACCTGCCCAGGTGTTTGTGCTCAGATTCTCAGGAAACTCTCTTCCCCCAGTGATAGGTCCCAGCAAGCCAGTGGTGGGATGCAAAATTTTTTACTACCAATTCTGTGGGCATCGCTTGGTGGGCGTGGCAGGGGAAAGATACTGCAAAATCCCCATTTCCTCCCAATCATCTGGGACTCGAGAGGCAGAGAATAGGTGGGGGCGGGGCCAGTCAGAGGTGGTATTTGCTGGCTCTCCGAACTACTCAAAATTTCCACTACCGGTTCTCCAGAACTGGTCAGAACCTGCTGAAACCCACCTCTGCAGCCAGCCCTTCCCTGCATGGCCAAGGCAAAGGGTCACTCCTGATCTGAGGCCATCCTTGCTCTGCTCCGAGTATTCCTCTTTACACGAATCCTCGTGCAACACCCTGAACAAACTGCCTCGTTCACCTTCTGTGGTCACACACAGATGCTCCTCAAAGGGCTCTTGCAGCTGTGGCAAAGAGCCCTTCCAGTTGGTGAGAATTGGTGGCATCTTACCCTCCCCCTCCGGGAAAATTCTCCCTCACCCACCCACTCTGGAACAGAATGTCTGCAGGGATGCCCCCTCAAAGAGAGTGGAGAATTTCTTTCCTCTGCTCTGCTCGGCTCCCCACTGGGGCCTTGGCCAAATGTATTCATCTATTCATCGTATTTCGATTAAAAATCGAAATTTTTTGATTTTTTGACATCATATTTTGATTTAAAAAACTCAGGAGACAAAACTACAAAATCCAAAGTATTATAAATGGATGTTGAGATGTTGAGACTCTAACAAGAGTGCAGAGAAGAGCAGCAACGATGATTAGGGAACTGGAGGCTAAAAGATATGAAGAATGGTTGCAGGAATTGAAAAGTTTACTGAAAAGAAGGACTAGGGGAATATAAATATAAATATTTATATAAATATAAATATTTGAAAATATTTTTTATGAAAATAGGGGAAAGCCATATTGGTAGTTGGTTAGAATAACAAACTCACTCTGGTTCACAAACCACAATGGTAGCAGATCCATCCAACCGATGATAGCACAATGGTAGCAACTCCACACACAATGGTAGCTTATCATCAACTGAATACGTTACAGTACCTTTCTTAAATACGTTTACAACCAGTGATTATCTAATTACAGCATGACTCAGCATTACAATGAATCAGCAGGAAAACTTTAAAGTCACACAATACATATTCATATTAAAGTCACAGAACACATATATTGCCTGGACAACTTGTTAGGCTCAAGCCATATCCTAACACTCCCCATTTAGCCTAAGAACTTTAGGCAACTTCCAGGAGGTCCAAGGAAAGAAGACTTCTCTGGTTGCCCATCATCTGCTTGGGGGAGGGTCCTATCTTATCCCCTCTGTATTTGGGGAGGGGGCTCTGGGGGTGTGCAGAACCAGCACAGAAAGTCTCTACTTTCCATTCCATGAAATTCCTCCTTCCTCTTTGGTGGAAACTGGAGTTGTGCAGGTCCACCCCTGATCCCAGCCAAGAGAGGGGGTCCCATTTATAGTGTCCCTCCCTCCCCCAGGGTCTGAGAGGTTGACCCCAGAGGGAAATGGCTGTGCTTTGTGGGGTAGGAAGTGGGGAGGTGGGATTCTGGCAATGTATCATCCTGCATGTATGGAGATGTTTGGGGTCCAGAAATTTCCAGAGATGAGATCTTTCTTGAACTGGGATTCCAATTCCAGCAGATTCTCTCAGCCTTGGGATTGTCTTCCTGCCTTGGGATTGGGAAGAAAAATGTGGGAAGTGTCCCCACATCCCTCAACAACATTCTTGTCTCCAAATATGTGAAAATGACTGGAATTGTGCTGGGGAGCAGAAATGTTGCCATTACGGTTGCCTGTCTGAGTGCAAGGATCCTGTCTACAGGAAGTAAGGTATGTGCTGTAGGTTGTTCCTTGTGTCATTTGCTTGTGTCATTTGCTTGTTCCTTGTGTCTCCTAGGCCTAGACGTGATCTGGGCACAGGCAGGTCTCTCTGGGACCTTTCAGGCTCTCCTCGTGTCCATCAAAGGTGGAGCTGATGTAAGAAAAAGGGAAGTGCCATGATGCTGAAGCAGAACTTGGTGTTCTGGGTCCTTCTTCCTGATAGGTACCCATCCCCATTCTGTGGAAGCCCTCAGGCTGACCTTCCATGTCTCCCACCCACTTGCTTTTGAATTCTCCTCCTGAACCACCATTGGTAGAACGGTGCCCTCCAACAGTTCAGCTGCTTGTGGGCACTGTGTTGAAGAAGATGGTTCTCCTTCCCGCCTGGTCAGGAAGCCAGAGGGTCCCAGGCAATGAGGACTTCCAGGAGAAACAGAAGCTAGAACAGAAACACATTTGCCCACTTTGGACCAGCTCATCCTCTGGGCAGACCAGAACTGGTCCAAGCTCAGGGGACAGGAAGGTCCAGAGCTTCACCAGGCCTTTAGGGTCACAATCTCACACTTCTGGCTGTAAGAAATGCTCCCTCTCCAAATTAGGAAGCTCAAGTGAACATGACCTTGCCCATGCTCCAAGCATTGGCCTTGGGGTCTCTAGAAGGAGAGGATGGGGAAAAAATACTGGAGGTCCTCTAGTCCATCCTCCTTCAAGTGCAGAAATCCTCAGAGCATCCTGGAGAGATTCTGTCCCACCTTTTCTGGAAACCTCCAGTGATGAGGCTCCATAACTCCAAGGGGGAGGCTGCCCCATTGTTTCCTGGCTCTCTCCTAATCAAAACATTCCTCCTGATTTCAGATTTGGGTCTCCATGGTTCTAAGATGAGACAGGGGTAAGCACTGGAGGCCGTTCTGGGCACAAACCTCACATCTCAATGTTTGCATCACCAACGAGGAGACTCTTCTGAATTGGATCCAGTGTTCCAACTTGACCCAAAGAGCCTTCTTCTGTCCTGGACCACCCTGGAGACCCTCCCCCCAAAACCCACCCTGGGCTCATTCCTTTTTCTCTGTAATAAAGCATGGGTTCCAGCTGCCATCTCAGTCTCAGGTGTCTTCTTTGGCTCTTTGTGGTTTTCCCTCCCCAAAGGGGTGAGAGGCAGCGCATCGTTCTCCAATGTGGCTTCCCAGAGAGAATGCACAGGAAGAAGCCTCTCTCAGAGCCAGAAATTCCTGACACTCAGTCCCTACGAAGGTCTTCCTCTAGAGCTAAGTCTGGGATAGCAATAGCAATAGCAATAGCTCTTAGACTTATATACCATTTTACAGTGCATTACAGCCTTCTCTAAGTGGTTTACAGAGTCAGCCTATTGCCCCTTCCTTCCTTCCTTCCTTCCTTCCTTCCTTCCTTCCTTCCTTCCTTCCTTCCTTCCTTCCTCCCTCCCTCCCTCCCCTCCCTCCCTCCCTCCCTCCCTTCTTTCCTTCTCACTTAGCTCTTAGACTTATATACCACTTTACAGTGCATTACAGCCTTCTCTAAGTGGTTTACAGAGTCAGCCTCTTGCCCCCAACAATCTGGGTTGTCATTTTATCAACCTCGGAAGGTGGGAAGGCTGAGTCAACCTGGAGTGTTATGGAGGGTTGGTAGACCGCAACCTTATCTCTTTACAATTCACCAAACAGACAAGTCTCAGAAGAGTTCAGACTAAACTGTTTTTATTTACATAAATAAAACAAAGTCTATTAAAAGAACATCAGTAGTCAGTTTCCTTTTGCAGTGTCCGGTCAGCTCTTTCTGCCATCGCTCTGTGCGTTTGGAGTCCAGGTCTTCCTTCCTCAGAAGGAGGAGGCTTTAGTAACTTCAGCTTTGCCTCTGACCCTGAACTGAGTTGCCTGCTGGCAAGCAGCTCCTTATATACTCTCT